ATAATAATAGCGGTTAATCCTTTATCCGTAGTGATCAGACATGAGCTCTCATAATAATAATAATAGCGGTTAATCCTTAATCCGTAGTGATCAGACATGAGCTCTCATAATAATAATAATAATAGCGGTTAATCCTTTATCCGTAGTGATCAGACATGAGCACTCATAATAATAATAATAGCGGTTAATCCTTAATCCGTAGTGATCAGACATGAGCTCTCATTATAATAAAAATAATAGAAGCGGTTAATCCTTTATCCGTAGTGATCAGACATGAGCTCTCATAATAATAAAAATAGCGGTTAATCCTTAATCCGTAGTGATCAGACATGAGCTCTCATAATAATAATAATAATGGCGGTTAATCCTTAATCCTTAATCAGACATGAGCTCTCGTTCTTTAAGTTTTATTGAATAAAGAAATAAAATGCCGTCATTTGCAAACTTCTTGGGCAAAATGCACAACTAAACAACGAAAAAAAAGTATTTAAAAAATGTTTTCCAAAAATTCTAAAAGCTGAGTTTGAATCAAAAATCCGATAAAATTATATAATACTGAGGTTGGAAATTTTTATTCTTAATCCCTTTAGAAGGCACTTAACTTTTTAGTTCCGACGGATTAAGTTAATTTTTCTTAAGATTGTCCAGTGATCGCGAAAAATGTGCAGTAGGGGTATAAGTAACTGAGGAAACAATTTTTGTTCAACTTTTACGATCAAGGTGTCATTCGAAAGCTCTATATTTCAGTTATTTCATTATGTGAAATTTTTCTTTCTAGGCTTCATACTTTTTTTGTTACAACCAATTATTTGAGCGTAAGTCGAAAATCGATTTCCCGAATTTTTCACGTCTCATTTTCATTCGTTCATAGAGTATGGAAAAATTTAAAGATTTTCGAAAAAAATTTAAAAATTATAAGCTGTTAGTCTTAGGTTTCATTTTTAATTAAATTTTTGGATCAGCGATTATTACTTTTGAAGCTAAAGCAATCTAAAAAAAAATATGCATTAAAACCTTGCCCAGACCACAAAAATAATTTTTTTAAAAACTTTCTTATTGAAATCAGTTGGTACACTCCACAGCTCGCTGTTTCTATCAAATTTTTTTATCTAACCCACCAGGGTACAAAAATAAAACATTTTTTGTGAATCTGAAATTACAAAAAAACTTTTAAAAAGTCATCACTTTATTTAATAATATTTTTACTTTAGAAATGATGTTCACGCTTTCATATGTTATTAGTCCATTTATATGATAGGTTCAAGGTATTAGGTAGTTAAATAGGCCAAAAATGTTGTAAGTTTTTTTCGGGGCCTTCTAAGGGACTGTTCACGCAAAAAAAGAACACATTCTCAAATGTAAACTTATGTCTTAGAGAGCACAAGCCGTCCAAGGTATCGTTTTATAGGTAAAAGCATATGCATGTTCAACAATGATATCATTTTTAGAAAAATTTACCACCGAGGTCATTATCCGCAAATTTGATTTCTAAGGGGTCATTTTAGGAGGTCTAATTATATTAATTATTATTATAATTAATATTAAAATCCGCCGAATTTAGAGTAAAAAGTTCCCAATTATTTTTAATAAATCTGAAATGGTGCCCCGACCACAGTTCTCTCCAACTCTATAAACCTTACACCGTACATTCAACTGGGAGAAGGAATACTAGATTTTTTAATATTCGAAAAGATTTTACGGTCAAATTCCCTCAATCCAGAGTTCCATCTAAGCAAGCTGTCCGAGACATTGTCAAAAAGTTTGATAACACATCTACTGTTCTCAATCTAAACTCTAAGAAAAGCCAAAGGAACACCTATGTGGGCGACCATATTTGGGAATAATTTACTCTAAATTCGGCGGATTTTCTTTAGCATGCATTGACAAAAAATAGTAAGAAACGATTCGCCATTACGGTATGAGTGCTCCATTGACATAATATGACCTCCAAAATGACCACTTGGAGGTCAAAAAGGTCAAAAGTGCCGTCGACGGAAATGTTAATGACATAAGAATAGTAAGAATGGATTCACCATGTGGATTTGCTCCTATTTCGGTACCCATGACGATATGAGTGCTCTATTGATATAATATGGCCTCCAAAATGACCACTTGGGGGTCAAAATGGGCAGTTGTGACCTCGGGAGTCAAATTTTCATAAAAAAAGATTGAAAATGGATTTACCATGGGCGTTTACCCCTGTTTAGACACCCATGACGATGTTTGTGTGCTATTAATATAATTAGACCTCCTAAAATGACCCCTTAGAAATCAAATTTGCGGATAATGACCTTGGTGGTAAATTTTTCTAAAAATGATATCATTGTTGAACATGCATATGCTTTTACCTATAAAACGATACCTTGGACGGCTTGTGCTCTCTAAGACATAAGTTTACATTTGAGAATGTGTTCTTTTTTTGCGTGAACAGTCCCTTAGAAGGCCCCCTGAAAAAAACTTACAACATTTTTGGCCTATTTAACTACCTAATACCTTGAACCTATCATATAAATGGACTAATAACATATGAAAGCGTGAACATCATTTCTAAAGTAAAAATATTATTAATTAAAGTGATGACTTTTTAAAAGTTTTTTTTTTGTAATTTCAGATTCACAAAAAATGTTTTATTTTTGTACCCTGGTGGGTTAGATAAAAAAATTTGATTGAAATAGCGAGCTGTGGATTGTACCAACTGATTTCAAAAAGAAAATTTAAAAAAAAAATTATTTTTGCGGTCTGGGCAAGGTTCGTACGGAGGTACCCGTAGCTCTCTTTTCGTTTTTTTTCAATGCATATATTTTTTTTAAATTGCTTTAGCTTCAAAAGTAATAATCGCTGATCCAAAATTTTAGTTAAAAATGAAACCTAAGACTAACAGCTTATAATTTAAAAAAAAATTTCGAAAATCTTTAAATTATTCACGGATCAAACTTGTTAAATATTACAAACCTGTGAGAGAATAACTTCCTTCATTGTTTCTTCATGTTGTGAATAATATCCAACATAGTTTACAGATTCACGCCTTATCCCAGTCAGTTTACCTAGAAAATGATAAATGAATGTATATATATATATATATATATATATATATACATATATATATAAAAAATATACATCTTTATAATAAAGCTCTTGGCTCATACATATATTTGTATGTATATAAGTGTACATAGACTAAAACATTCATTTTTTTCAAAATCAATTTTTTTTCTCAAATGCTTCTAAAATTCCACGAGTAACGCCGGGCACTTCAGCTCGTATATAAGATATATATTATATGTGTATATAGATAAGCAACCAATGATTAGTTCAGAAAATCCCAAACCAGCGTAATTAACATGGGAAGTTTTCAGCGGAACTTAATATTAGCTATAAGGAAGACAAGGGAATAAGAATAGTTAAGCAGTTAACCCAATTCAACAAATATAAGAGCAATATCTATTTCAAGAGATGGGGTAGAATCAAAGAGAATAGAATATATATTAGAGTGGAATTTAGACTTTAGATTTTTTTAAGCTGTTAAATAAACTTTATAAAATGAATTAGGTGAATAAAAAAACATCATTTGATTTATAGTTATAACGGAAAATCATCGTTTGTAAAGTGAAAGGCATGAAACCAGCCAATTTCATAATTTGGTTTTCTATTAATATTAATTTTAGATTTTCTTTAAAATGATATTCCAGGGCCCAAAAGGTTATATAGCACAAATATGTAAAGTACACCTGCAGTATGGAAACAGTACAACAAAATGGCCGTTTTACACTTTTTTCTAGTAAATTCCCCTCTAATATATATTCTATTCTCTTTGGGTAGAATCTAAATATTTTGAACGGCTTTCTGCATTTTCAGTGGCCTCTTTCCCCATAAACAATGAACAACCCAATTTGATAAGCAAAAACCAAACTGCAGATTTCTTAAAATGGTTGTTTACCGATAAGAAATATTTCACAACATACCACAATTTTTGAAAATAGAAACACGATTGTACCAATCTTAATACTTAAAGATGTCCGTGAATCACCGATTAGTCCTCTCAAAAAAATAGTGTTGTTTGCCAAAAAACCAAAAATCTTTTGAATTTTGTGAATTTGGTGCAAAAATATGATAAAAACAAGATGTTTAACATTGATTATGTAAAAATAAATTTATCTTAAAAATAAAACCTTTGCCCGTGAATTAAGGGTTGTTCGGTAGATGATAACTGGACAATAATGATCAGGTCTTGTGAATAGGGTCAACCACCACCACCAAAATATGAATATTAACAGGTTCAACAAAGCTTGAGGATTTTAAGCAATATTTACAACAGGAGTAAGGTTTACTATTTTTCTGTAGATCTTCTTATTGCAAATACTCTCGGGTTTAGGACTCAGTTTAGATGGTTAATGTTACATCATCTAAACTATGCCCAGTATTTTGGAGAATTAATCCAGTCTGAGTATACATGAACTTGGAACCATGAGTGTTAGCTCTCTTGTTGGGATAGATGTTAGGTACTTTCCCAAAGGCATTTTCCCAAGAGGCAATTTCCCAAGTGACAACTTCCCAAGTCTGTCCTAACCGCAACGCTCGGCCCTTAGCATGTTCTAGCAGCGGCGCTCGGCCCCCTAGCCTATCCTAGCCACAGCGCTCGGCCCTCGTTGCAGCCTGTGGTGCCTCAGAAGGCCTAACCTAACCTTTGGGAAATTGACACTTGAAATTTATCCTTTGGGAAAATGTCCTTGGGAAAATACCTAATACCGTTGGGATTCTGGGTCTTAGTTGAACTGTTTTAACAGGGTAATAGAAACATATCTAAGAACAGGAAGTTACACAGTGTTTTCCACAAAATAAGAGACTTAAGAGACGTTCTTTCATTCATGGTTTTCTTAAGCTTTAAACTTGTATCTTTCGTTGGTAAATCATTTCATTGACATTTAAATTACTATGTTTAATGCAGAGGCTCTAATATAATCTTCAGGACTTTATTTGTAATAATTAAGGTCATTATTAGTGAATAGGTGCAACGTCATGTTATTGGGTAAATTATCAGTTAATCCCTTGCTCTGCCCTGAATAGCCCAAAGTGATACCAAGTGTAAAATGGTTTCCAAAATATCTTCTGGTATAAATTAGCTAAGATACCAGAAAACCACAGCACACAGCTTGTGTAGACATGTACAGTATTTATACCGCCACCTCATCTATTCTTAATATGTACATGTTAGAGAGTGCAGCCCCTAGCTTCTACTAACTATCTACTAAATATTTTGTACAATACATTACAAGAACGTTAAGGATTAGATGTCATATTGAGAATATTTTGTATTCATTTCCAGGTTTATGAATGTCCAGTTTCAGATTTAGGAGCAAAATCTTTGGATTGAGTTTATTTGATTTAACAAAAACTCTCTGTATATGCGTAGTGAAAAATCCCAAAATTCTAATTGATGTATTGGTTAGTAGCATATTGTATTGTTTTCAGGGGAAAACTTATTCTTAGGCAGAAAATTAAGTTTTCCCCAAGGTTATTATCCTTGATATATATTCAATTCCTGTCTTAATAAGGAATAATATATAAAAACCCAATAAAGTGACAGTACAGTATTTGTGCGTAAATTACAGTTATCTGAGGATTTTGGATATTTTTCCAGAAGAAACTTGAATTTCCAGATTGCTGATTTTCCTGGAAAAACGGGAAAAAAATAAAAGTTAGGATTAAACTCAAACTCATCTTCAATTCAAGAAAAGGAGAAAAGTGTATTTAACTAATAAGAAAGTAATAAAGGGACTGTAAGCGTAATTTGAAGTAACCCTCCATGCAAAGAAACAATGTATGATTCACAACGGTACCCTTATAAGCTTTTCTGATCAAGTATAAATTTTTTATTAATGTCTATAATTTCGAAAACTATTTTTAACTGTGGTTTCTCTACAAAAGTGACTTGCGCATTTCTACGGCAGAAAAATATATAAAATAATCGGAACTTAATACTTACTTACTTATAACCTAGAAAATCGACAATATGTTCCAAATTATTGATCTGATAAAGGGTTTAAGGATCGGACATACCCATTATTGCATGGAGGGACACTAGAAATTAAGCATACAATCCTTTTAACATTAAAAAACTTACTGAGAATTTGAGATTTGATCATTCCTCCTCCTGTATCCTCCTCAGCTCCCTTCTCCAACTCTAGTTCTCCACCAGTCTCAGAAGGAAGCAGGGCCTTAATAAAAACAAATCATGATTGCAAAAAATGTATATTTTATCAATATTTAATTCCATCCTCCTTCATTAATCCAGATTCCAGATCAGACAGCTCATTATTTAACATTTTAGGCCATCCTAGCCGCAGCGCTTGGCCCAGAAATTGTGTTAACATAACCTAACCTAAAATAGGGTGTCATGGCAGCATATTATTGAACATATTAAAAGAAATTAAATTCAACTTTTTAAACATGAATGTAGAAAAAATGATATTATCCATTGTAGGACAAATCATTGTATCCCCTCTCTGTAGGACAAATAATGTAGAGTGTAATTGAATTATAGGACGAATGATGTAGAGTGCAATTGAATTATAGGACAAATGATGTTTCTCTCTCTCTCTCTGTAGGACAATTGATGAGTACAATAGAAGTGTAGGACAAATGATGATATCTTCTTTCTGTAGGAGAAATGATGTGTAGGACAATTGAGCCGTAGGACAACTGAAGTGTTGGACAACTAAGGTGTAGGACAAATGATGTGTAGGACAAATAATGGTTCCCCGCCCGGTAGGACAAATGATATGTAGGACAAATCATGGTTCCCCGCCCGGTAGGATAAATGATGTGTAAGACAAACGATTTGTAGGACAAATGACATAGCTCCGTAATGGATGTATCACAGAACATATTGGTTCTATCGTACAAATGTCTTAATTGAAATTTTTATGAATATGCCTGAAAATTTTAAAAGATTATATCACCAGCCATAAAAAATACAGGATTCTTAATCGTAATCTGCGCGTACTATGATATGGGACGCCATTTTACCTGGATAAGAGGCGGAGTCGGAGCTCTAGGTATAACAAGCCCTGAGGGAGGGTTGACTGGAGTAGAGATCTTGAAGAGACTATTGTTAACAACAGCAGAAACTACAGCTCTGAAGTTCCCTTGCTTCTTCTCCACGTCAAGCATAGGCAGTAGATCACGCTTAGAGGTCATCACCACAAAGTACTTAATATTGAAATATTGAATTAGATTATAGATAAAACTGATCTTAACGAAAACAAATCTAAATACTGAACCAAGCAACATTTAAAAACCCATTACAAAACTTAATTCAGAAACAATTGCTGCTATTTAAAGGGAGTGACAGGGCTATGTAAGGTAGTTGAACTGAGTATTGAGTATGCAGTGTTGTGGAAAACTTCTTTCGGATTCATTTGAGACATATTAAACTTTTTAAAGATATGTAAATCATGAGTTTGAGCGCAAATTCGACGTTCAAAACTCCTAATTTGGGGGGGTGGGGATACGTGTTGTCAGTTCAACTACCTTACATAGCCGGGCACTCCCTTCAACAATAAACTAAAGTTAATTTACATTTATATCCGGAAGAACTTATGAGATTGCATTTATTGAGATAATGACAAGGCACAATGAGAAGATTAATTGAGGATTTACAATTTACATACATTGCAGCTTTATCTAATAGGATACATTGATGCAAATAAAGTACAAAGATAAAAACTTAATAACATTCTGCCTGTTGTACTACAGGGTATCCCGGCCAATAAACATTGAAATTGAGTGACAATTTCGAGATAGTCTTATAAAATTTTTTTAATCAAGTGACACCATATATTATTGAGAAAGCTCGCATTCGTTCGATTTTTGTCTGCTCGAGTTTAGAATTTGTTTATGTTTTAATTGCACACCGTTGTATTCAGTGAGATTAGAAAATTCCTGTACATAAACAAACTACAGTTGTCCGTATTTACTTTTCATCATGCAGTAACATTACAGACACATCATACAGCCTTTAACCGTTTCTATAAATTAACTCTAGCAGACATGATTATCTTAACAAATCAGGTATTACAATGTAATTCACAAAAAAGAGGATATAAAATTCGTAATTTCATTCTAAGGGCGTACACAGAAATACATCTAGAGGGTGGTTTTTTTTTGCCCCCCCCCCCTAGGAGCTCCTGGGGGGGGGACAAAATAAAAATTTGGATTTACTTGGATACATTAAAGGTACACAATACACATACAGTCCATACAGTCCAATTACAATAAAAGCACTACTTTATCTCTCCTTCAAACAAAACTAGCAGAACTAAAACAGAAAACTTTTTCTTATGTTCCTCACTCTTAAGTTTCAGATTTTAAGTGTGATAGATCTGAGTTTAAGGAGGGGAAGCACTGCCCCGTCCTGTGTACACCCTTGCTCAATTCCCTCGTATATTGGGACACCATGTTAATAAATGGTTACCTTGAGAGACAAAACATTCTTCTGGTTTTCCGTTAAATCCGCTGGACAAGGATCATATGACAGGATAAGAGAAACGTCAAAATCATCAACACGCTTGGCATCCTGAGAAAGATTAATGTTTATGCTCAGATTATTCTCAAAAGTCCTGGTAGAATATATAAGAGAATTTTTTTATTATTGTCAGTATATTTATATTGTAGAATGTTACATGGACCAAACCTCAGAAGAGTAAATAAAGTAGATGTTAGTTTCAAATTTTATTGAAAATATATTTCGGCCTGGGTTGACCCTCGTCGTCAGTTCTTGAGATTGTTTCTGTCATTAAGATTAAAAATGTTATATCTATATATTATGTACAATGTACATAATATATTTCTCATATATCTATATGTTATGTACAATGTACATAATACATTTCTCATATATCTATGCTGATAATTTTTAGGTTATTTTACGAATATCTAGCACATCAATATACACATATTGATTAGTATCTTTGGATCCTTTTGATCTTTTCTTTGATTTTTTTTCTATTTCTGTTCTTTTAGTTTGGGTTTTTGGGGACTCATCCATATAACAAGATTTTATTTGTTAAGAACTATTTGGAGAAACTATTTTTGACTAAAAAGTTATAAGAAATATTAATAAATAATTATTAATCTGGTTTTGGATAATATATATTATGTATAACAAAATAATGTAATGCCTAAAAAGAAATGTAACTGCAGAGGGAAAAATAGTTGTCCTTTAAATGGAAAATGTTTAATCAAATCTATCGTGTACAGAGCAGAAATAAAATCAGACCAAGATACAGTGGCATATATTGGTTTGGCTTCTAACACATTTAAAGAAAGATACATGAATCACACATCATCTTTTAGGAATCAGAAATACAAAGAAAGTTCGACACTTTCCAAGTACATTTGGAAATTAAAGGATCAAAATAAACCTTATGAAATAAAATGGTTTATCGACATGTATGCACCCTCATATCATCCAACCAAGAAGCGATGCAATTTATGCATCACAGAAAAAAACCCTTATCCTCACATTTACACATCATCATCTTCAAAATCAGCGCAGTGAATTAATAAATACATGTCGGCATAGAAGAAAATATCTATTATCATCGATTTAGCAAAATGTGATCATGTTTTTATAAGTATCTAATAATTTGTATATTGCAGTTAAGTGCTGTATTTTTTAAAAAGTGAAAATCATTGCAAAGAAATGTTTGTAATAATAATTTTTTAGAAAATACGCAATATGTGATGAAAAAATCTTGAAATTTTAGTTGTTCAAAGAATTGTAACTACTCAGGATCGTCATGATAGACGTGAAACATTATGTTTAGTATAATTCTTTATTTAATAAAAATGTGAAGTTAAAAACTGAAATACATATATATACATATATATTATATATATTTATACATATATATACTGCGCTGCCGAGGTCACTGTAACAGTTACTCCCGCCGTTTACCCATACTTGAACGATTTTACCGGGAAACTAAATTTTCGCTATTAAAGTCAACCCACAATTAACTTAACAATATCAAGCTAAGAACTAAGAACATTCTCGTGGGTCTCCCGAACTACCCTATAAAAATTTGAGGCAGATCGGTCCAGGGGTTCCTGAGTTATGATCGGACAAACAAACACCCTAACAGAGATTACAACTTTATTATACTTATGATACATACAAAGGAAATGGGGAATGGGGGGATGTTACCCTCTCCCCACGAATTTTCTGAATATCTAACATGCATGAAACACGTCTGAACAGAATAAGCCTAGTGATGATGCAGTTTTAAAATATTGGTTTCTGTATTAAGAGTGTTCTTCTTCTTAGAAGTGATAATACTTGTTATAGAAAAAAAATCTACCCACAAAAACAGTGTAGTTGGCAAAATTTATCTGTCCATTATAGCTTACGTATACGTGCATCGTCTCTGAAAAGTATATATAAAAAGTATATATAAAAAGTATAATAAAAAGTATAACACTATGCGTTAATTTTATTTAAAGATTAATGATGTAAAACAATTTATATACGTTTTAAAGATTAAAATATAAATGTCTATATATATAATATTTTTTTTTTGCAAAGTGTCACAGTCTCATTGGATCGAATGTGTTCCAAGAAAAATACGATTTTTTTCGCCAATGAATGAAATCCATTTTAAGAATTAATATATTTTGAACATTAAGCAACTGAGAATATTGTTGATTGAGTCTGAAACCAAAATTACCTGGTGATCCCTGTAGCTAACTTTATGGTTCGAGATCTGGACAAGTATAAACTCATTGTCAAACTCAGAGTTTGGATCTACGAACACCGGCTCCATCCTGATCACCTCCATGTTGTACTGCTTCTCGTGGGAGAGGAGGTAGTTGTACAGTATGACGGGAGATACACCCTGAATACAAAGAAAATGTTTTTATACCGCATCTTCCCCCTCCCCCCCCCCGCCCCAGAATTTATCTGTTTAAAGATAAGTAAAAAAAGTTTAAACTAGGACTGAAAGGTTTTATAAAGTAGTGTTTCCACATTTGTATGAAATGCCGTTTCCCACTAGAATTGCTTTGCCTTTGAGTTGGTGTGTGTTTGTGTGTGTGTGTGTGTGTGGGAGGGGGGGGGGGGCGCTCTAGTTCTCATGCCAGCTTATACTAGTGTGAAATAGGTAAACCGGAGATACAATTCTGCTATACATTTTTGTATTTATTTTATGAAAAGCTTTTTTTAATTGTTAAAAAAATGTTTCCCCATATTTTAGCCATCCTTCCATCTTGTTTTATTTACCTGACTAATGATATGGAGAACACCAGTATGAATAAAATTCCGAGCAAAGTTTGGACCTTTACTGTAATATTTCATGAAATCTTCAAGGAAGGAAACAACATGGAAACCTTTCCTCAGCTGAGAAGGTTTTTGTCCAATATATCCAGACACAGTTCTCAGATGATAATCATACGTGAAACTGTGAAGATGGATCAGTAGTTTAATGTTATCACATTCTTCCAGAAATGTTGTTGTGAAGTTTCTATGACTGATATTATGATTGGAGAAGGAGAGATGTAACCTCTGTGCCTCTAGAGCATGAAACTTGGTGTAGAAGAAGGGTTCAGATACTCCAATCTCAAATATGAGAAGACCACCTAGCAAAGACTTCTGAAGATAAACAACCTTCGATTTCATCTTTGAAGAGCTTGTTGCAGTTCTTCTCCTTAGAACAGGACGGTCAACAGAACTCTCCATAGAGTTCCGGGTCTTCCTGGTTGCCTTGGGATGACTGATATTTATAAGAGTAAATCCTAGAGTCTGAAGGTATTGTTCATACTCCTGGAAGAAGTTGGAGACGAGATCAAGATGAAACTTCTCATCCAGGTTTACCCTGACAGGTTTAGGCGAACCTGTCGGAGATTTTCCGGTTGGACTCGAGGCGTAAAATCCTGATTGGCTCGTTACAGACTTGGACCGTTTGGTTTTCTCTTTCTGGAATGAATTCCCAGAGGTGTGTCTTGTTTTCTCAGATTGAACCGAACTAGCTGTTGGTTTTGACGAAGGTTCCTCCTCAGCTGTAGTCGGAGAATGTGAATCCGCTCCGTGATCTCGCGTCTTATTAGCATTCATCCTCCATAGAGGTAGGAAGAGTAGAGGAGTAAAGACGTAGTGGAGCATTCTGGATTTTTGTTTGAAATATTTAATCAAATCCTCTGTGTAGTTAACACTGCAGTTTTCACCTCGTGAATTCCAGAGATGGTAGAGTGCCTGAAGATACTGTTTACTCTCAGAATTATTAATCCGATGAATTTGTTTCTCTGCTTCCATTAGAATATCCGTCCCTGCTAACCTCTTTCTATCAGGATAATCTATCTTAGCGTTTCTGAACACAAATTGAAAATCAGCCAATTCCTCAGGTTTGGATTTTCCAGTTGGAACAGCACCCGGAGAATTATACTTGAGAAGGTTCTCAACCTGTCCTCGCTCTCCAATCCGTTCACGCAGAGGTTTCTTCTGGGTTCGGAGGAAGGCTTGGTTGTGGAAGAGTCCTAGTTTCTGGGATACTATGGAGGAGAGTAAACAGGATCTTGCTGTAAACCAATCTCCTAATCCTGAAGTCAGAGATTTGAGTTTATCCACACAATCTCGGGATATATTGTAGAAGTAAAATTCTATGCTCTCTTTATTCACCTAAAATAGAAAAAAATACACGTGGTTTTAATCTTTTATCGCCTTTTGACTAACATTACCAACCCGTAATTACCCGATAATTTTTTGTTTTCAGTGATTTTTTGTGTGTGGAAAATTATGAAAGGGAGTTTTGATTTGAATTGCGGATTATACTCAAAACGGGAAAGTGGGGTTTGTTCTCAAAACGCGACAATGATTCCAATTTGAGATATATTCAAGAGAAACCGGACATTGTCTTGAAAACGGTCAAAGGTTTTGATACATTATTATGAATGGGAATGGCTGTCCTCGTAATGTTATAGTTTTTATTATCGACTTTTACTCTTGATATGGCCTGGGATCCTTAACACCCAATCTTTAAATTTGTGCCCATTTCAAACACTCGGTGTTAACGTGGTTTGGAACTAATGTCCCCTGCAATAGTTTTCTTAATATCTAAAAATTAATATAAAAGTCTAAGTATTTCACTGAATGGCTTAAAATTTGACGACATTTTGCTAAAATATTTTTTCTCAACAATTCCAGTATTTACTGGTAGTGTCAATCTATAGTGTCAAAATTTGGAGGAAAAGCAATGTTTTCAAAACTGTCTATTTTAAGCATTTGCTTCTCCAACTATATATACTACATTTTAGCTCTGACAGAAAATATATGCAAAAATTATCGTTTCTTGGTTAGTTTTAACATATTATTTTAGGATAAAGATATGGCAAAGTTTACTGATAGCAAACTTTACAGAAAACAGTTTTGAAATGTTTGAAGTTTTATTTTAAGTTTAATAAAACAAACCAAAACAATTAACAACACTAGTTGCTGGTTATCCAATTAAATATTCATGTTTTCGATAAATTGAAACCGTACATTTTAGCTTTAAAAACTTTGTATAATTTAAGAAAAGAAAACATTAACAAACCTTCCCAACGATAATTCTCTGCCTCGGTATGAATATTTCTGTATTCCCCTGGAGAGACAAGAATCCCCCTCCTACTGCCAGGTTTGGAGAACTAGCAGAACCAGGAGTTACAGGAGTCTGTGGCAACCCAGAGCCTGGAATATTTGGTTTTTAAAAACTTACCAGGGTCGATCAATATAAAGTAAAAAATTTAAATGTAGGTTACTACCTGGAGTATAGAATACAGAGGAATCTCCAAGAGGCATGGTTTGGAGGAGAGAAGGAAACTTTTGTAAGTTGACAGGAGAAGCAGTTTTCAAGAAGTTTAAATCCTGATTTTCATCAATAACATGCTTCCAGGTTTTTATATTCCGTCCGACAATAAAGAATTCATCTGTTGGTTTAGAGGTGGAGAATGGAAGATAAATATTTTTAGGAGTTTGTTTATTGAAGAGTTTAACATCTAGGTCAAGAACAGTATCACGGATAATGTTTGCAAGCTCCTTCAGCAGGGTTGGGAACTCATGTTTAGTTGAAATATTGACACTGTGTTTATGACAGGATGGTGATTCAAGATCTTTCCCAACCTCAAACCAACTCCATAGGGATTTATGCATAACCACAGATAATGATCCTCGGTCACCAAGTTCTAGAGGAGTTGGAACCTTATCCGCAGGTTCAGGATCAAGAACTTCGCTGGCCTCTTTTCCAACCACAACTATCTGAGGAACACTAGAACTTGAACTGTATCCGTATGCGACAATAGCTTCCTCACTCAACCTTTTCAAGGTCAGTTTCTTCGGTTCTGGTTTTAGTTGCTCCAGCTCCATAGACGTGTTAAATACCAAATCTACTGAAGAATTCAGATCTGTTATTGTGTCAGTTTCCAGGTCTTCCTCATTGATTCCAACACAGATAGGCTCTGGTAAAAGTTTAAATTCTACCACAACGTCCCAAAGCGAATGCATTATTGCATTCTCTAGATGTGAAGTTAACTTCGACATGTCTACACGACCAGACTCCCAAACCTTGAACTGGATTAGTGCCATGGGACCTGGGCCTGGAGTCTTGGGTTCCTCATCCTCAATGTATAATTCCGTTTGGATTAGTTCGGTTAGATCTGATATATTAGGAGGGGTTGAAGATAAGGAACTGACAGGTTTGGGATGAGAGCAAGGACGGAAAAAATTTCCTTTTCCATCCACAATGGACATTGCTAAACATGCAATACCATTCTTACCTCCCTTTTCGTTGTGATCATTGTAAATAAACACATCTGCGTCCGAGGCGAATGAGTTGGGATGAAGATGATCTTCTGTTGAACTGGTATCCTTGAACCTTCTAGTGTTCCCAGCAGTATAGTTCGGCTGGATAAATAAAGTGTTATGAACTAAGTTCTGTTTAAGATAGAACACAATGGCAAGCAGATACGGCATTGCCTGTACATGAACCTTAAACTGAAGAGTAGAGGTTGGTAGACTACCAGGTTTCTGTAGGAATAATACATCCTCTGTTGCCAGTTTACACCTTATGTTCCTCTTCAGCATTGTACTGATCACTTCCACCACCTTGTCGTCGAGCTTCTTCTGCAATACTGCTGTCAGATCCTCCTTCACATTCTTCCCGACCTCAGTTATACCGTACACCTTGAAAATTATCTGATCTTCATTCTTACTCCGGTCCGACTCTCCGACAGAGTTAGATCTTGAGGTGACGTGGTGCGAATCCTCACGGTAGTAATCTAAAGAGGTTTTCCTCATTTGCTTAGAAGATCCAACCGAAGACGTTCTTGAGAACGTATCTTCTTCTTTAGAGATTATGGAGGTTTGTCGGCTGATAACAGAATGAGGATAAATTTGTGTCATCTGTTCAGATATCTTTATGTAGTAAATATTCTTCTTATCGTCCATGTGTACAAACATGTCGGATCTATTAGACACCATGTTGTGGAGTAAAACTGTTTTGACTGTTTGCAGACCCCAGGATTGAATATGTCCCTGACCCTGTTTCAGTCTGGGATGAAGAGAAAACGAGGTTCTCCAAACTTCAGGACAATGAAACTTTCCTGGAACCCATCTCATGTTAAGGTTAGCTTCCAGGTAAGGGGCATCAGAATAATCTTCCATGGAGAGTTGTCGTCCATTGTCCCTCCATGCGTCTTCGTTGGTTTCCGGTTCCAGGAGCCGGTTACAGAGACGAGTCTCATTTAGATCCTGGAGCAGGAGATCCTGGTTCACCTTGATACAGAGATCAGTAATTTGAGATTTCAACTCCTCTTGGATGAATTTCCATGCGGGGACAGGAAAATCTTGCTCCCTGTGATGTACAAATAGTAAAACACGCTCCTCTTCTATTTTGACAATAAGCCTCCAATCCAGGACTAGAGAATTGGAAAATTTCTCAGGGCCAAGCTTTAGCTCTAGATCATACTTATCAAATTTATCAAACTTATCAAACTTATCAAACTGAACTGGCAAGTCTAGATGTTCCTCTTGTCTGCTTCCTGTATTCTCCTCCCCAAAAGCTATTGATTGATTGTATGTCTCCTTTACTGGAGAAAGTTGAATCTGTCTACCTTGTCGCATGTATTTACGTTTCCCTGTTTGGCAGTACTCATCCACAGGAAGATTTAGTGAACGCTCTAAACATTAAGATGTATGTACTCAGTGACTCTGTTTACATTTAATAAAATAAAAAGATGAAAATTCAATCCAAATCATTCATCTAGTAATATATCGGTCAAAAACATCCAGATAAAAAAATATCTTCATTTGCAGACAGGCGTATGGTTTTGGGATCAAAACTGGCTTGTGTTTGAAACCATGGAAAAGAAGTTTAAAATAATATAAATCTTACCGTTTTATTGTGCGGCATCATATTTAAAAATATATAAACTCAGCTTTAAATCAAATTAAAAAAGTATAATTTTATTAGCTTAATTGCTTAAAGGGAGTGTTCGCGAAAAATGAAAGGGGGTATAGGCTTAATGCGATAAAAAAGCGCTTTTGATCGCTTCTAATCTCACTTCTATCTGTTGCGTCTATATACAAATGTGGCGAAAGATAATCGATGACCATAGGGTGTAATATCTGAATGATTTGTTTGAAATTAAATAGATTTTTTTACGGTCTAAGTCGTATCATGCATCTTTCTGAATTTGTATGGATACTACGTTCTTCGGTATTAGTCGTTTTTAGCAACTTTCTCCTTATAGACGCAACAAATAGAAGTAAGATTAGAAGCGATCAAAAGCGCTTTTTTCGCATTGAGCCTATACCCCCATTCATTTTTCGCAAACACTCCCTTTAAAGGCAATTTAATTTTTTTTCTTTTGGGGGTTAATTTCTTGAGATTTAAAATTTGTTGATAACAAAATCTTGTAAACTAATTTAAAATGATCAATTATTCATTTATTAGAAGCTAAAAAATTCTTACCTAGATAGTAAAACTCTTTTTCCTGCTTCAGTACAAAACCTTGAACATTGATTTTCCCAAACAGTTCTTTGAATTTTCCCAAACTTGTCTCTTTGCCAAACACAAACTCCAACTCAACAGCCTCCATCATAGATCCTGGTCTATCTCTAGTCGAGGCCTGAACGTGTTTACAGATAAAATCCAATGTCTGGTAGGTGAGAGGAGAGGATTTACTCAGAGCAAACCCAATCTCGTCCATAAGCATCCAGTTCAACTCATCCTTGATGTCCATGACAGCTTTGTGCTGGTAGGCTGGAAGATGGGATAATATATCCTCTGAACCAATATCATCTCCGATGAGATCATGTATATCTGCAAGATCTTCTTCAGGTGCACTTCGTGAGTTTCTAAAGGACGAGGTTGAGCAGAGAGAGGTAGATCTTAGAGTTCCGACATTCTCCGTAATATTCCGAACACTTTGAGGCAGTGTCATACATACGATATCTATCCTAAGTCCCAGGGCTCCAACCAGGATATCTTGCTCGGGATCAGGCAAGTTTTTGTCTTGAAATATCTCACACATACAAGATGGAAGATAACTTACAGGGACACTAATGATATCCTGGTTCTCCTGAGAAATAGAGAAGGAAAACTGAATAAAGAGCGGCGGAGAAAACTCGTCTGAATCCCGATCAATCTCATCATCATCTGAGTCCCATTCTTCCTCAGATTGAGAAACAAAAGACAAACTACTGTGAAAGTCTCTCTGCGCTGTCTCTATTTCAGTTTCCGTTTGACTTTTGTTGAACTTCAAACTTTGGTTTGAGACGTTAGACCTAAACTCAATAGTTTTATCATCTTCCTCCTCCCCTTTAGGCCGATAAGAGTTAAGATGTTTAGAGTTGCTCCCGCTGGATTTAGTTTCATCCCGTCTCCTTGAACTCATCCTAACCAACTCTCCGAAGTCAAGACCAGGAGGACAGAAGAAGAATATATCCTCTAGCCCTGGCACAGACCTAAACTTACTTCCAACAATTTCTAAGAACTTCTTCTGAACCGATTTATGCCAGCTATCCTGCTTGAAGCAACTCACTGCGGACTTCACCGCATTTATATCGAGTACTTCGGGGTTCTCTTTCTGAAGGTATAAATGAGGGCAGACAGCTTTCACATAGGTTTCAAGTTCAAGATCATAGGTAGTGTCATTGTCACAATAATCAACAGCATGTTTAATATCATAGCTATGAATGGGAAGTTTAAGCTGCAGACTGCGGAAAAGAACACTGACAAAAGATTTAAAGTAAATCATCTTGATAACATGATACCACTGCTTTACATCTTTATCAATATGGCAACTATGATCTGTAAACTCATTCGAGGTTGGTCCCTCGGGTTCAGGAGTTTTCTGAGTAGAAAACCTGGGATCATCACTGACCTCCTTCTCACTCCTGATTTCAGGTTTGAACAAAAAGTTCAGATGATGATTTCTGGGAGGCTCTACTCGTTCTTTGTAAATAACACTATTTGTTAGACCGAGGAAACTACAATCATAAACATATATAGGGATACTCAAAGATCCAACTACTTGTCTTGTATTTAGGGATATAATTGGAGATGAGCATTGTAAGGATTCCACAGCTGGGACTTCATCCTTGCTCAGGGGTCTATGACGTCTCCTTGTATTTTCCTCCGCTATGGGACTTGAAAGCTTCTGTTCGATACTATCTGTCATATCCCTATCTCTCGCTTCCTTCAACTTCTTCTTTAGCAAAGCTTTAGCACGAAACTGAGATAATCCATCCAGAGAAGCAGTTCTGTCCCGCATGGGTCCAGGATCTCCAGAGAGTTTACGCATAGGAACTATTTTTGGTCGGTTCATCTCAAACACATCAGATCCAGACCTTTGTCTACTCATACCCTGCAGATTTTCCAATCTTGGAGATCTTAACTCCATCGGTTCCTTAGGTACCGTCTCTAGATTAGGAATTGAAGAGTTTATGCTTATATCATCAAGATTCCCGATCAATTCAGTGTTCGAGGTTGGTAATGGTTCTTTGATGACATCTACAATATCAGAATTGCTTCCTTCAAGTACGTCAGGACTAATTGTAAGTATTCTCAAATCCTCAAAGGAGGCCGGGACAAGAGTTAAAACCATGTGAGTAGGACTAATTGCTTTGAGAAAACATTTCCATTTAGGATCTCCGCACACATACTCACTATTACTAAAATCATGTTGACTGTGACTATCCCTATGTGTGTCAGCAAGACTGCTGGTTACAGAGTTCCCACTGGGAAACCTCCGTGAGTTGTATTCGGTCCTCTGAGGCTGGTGGGAAGATACACTGGTGGAGTGCATTGACCTCCGTCCAGATGCATTATGGTTCGGTTGCAGATGAAAATTCGATGTATGACGTTTTCGAATGATTTCTGGAAGAGCTTTGCAGTCGTTGCATGAGAGGCTTAGTTCCCTGTCTGAAACCTCCGTCAGCTCTTTGATAAAACTTTCAAAAAGCATGGCATTCGGTCTGTCCGCCGTACTCTTGAGAGAGTTAAACAACGAAAATGAATTTTCTGGCACGACTCCAATCAAATTCTGAATAAAAAGAGAAAATATCATTTCTGTCTGATCAGCTTTAGGAAGTAGATTAAGCAGATCAAATGCAAATGGAACCTCGTGTATAGAGGCTCCAACTGATGGTAAACTTTTCTCTGGCAGAAAAGCGTTCTGATTAGTGTAGATATGAGAGATTGAAAAAGTGTCAGTAAGGGGGGAGGTGATACAAGGGTTCTGACACATCATCACTAGGTGCTCAAATGTTACCAAGGTTGATATACACTCCAGGTCTTTGGAAAACATGGTGGTCGATATTTCCCTACTTTGCTTCCCTGCTAGATATTTATTGTGCTGATGTTGGCTTATTATTCCATCCTGGGGTTCAGTCCAGACCTCCAGAACTATCTGAACTTCTCCATCAGCATCGTTTGATGCATCGTCTTTAACAGATCCTAGAGGAAACTCTTCTTCACTGATACTCTCTCCGGAGCTGGTTGTTGTTGTGTGAGGTGGGAAGATAATATATTGAATAACACAAGATTGAGGAACTAGATCACGAGAACTTTCTCCGTCCGCGCACATTGGAACCTCTAACACCATATTCTGAACTCCTTTGGCAGAGTGAGCAAACGTAAACCCTTCTTGTATCCGGGCTTTACAAACAGTTTGGAGAATCCGACTAACAGCGGTTGGAGATATTGCCACACTTGGAGTATTCTGTAAAGAATAGATCCATCTTTGATGGTTCAAGTATCTAGATAGGGTGAGGAATGCAGCAGATGCATTTTTACTCTGCTCATTTTCCATTTTCTGAGCTGTAGAGGAACCTTGAGTTCTGGTATGTAAGGATCCCAACAAGCTTCTGTAGTCCGAAGGTACATTCTCATACCTGACTAGGATTTTCTCAACAGGTTTATTTAGAAGATTGCATGAGAAAACATCAGGGAAATATGAACCTGAAGTTACATGGGATCTAGAGCTAGGTTTTCTATCAATGTCCAAGGGAGATGTTTCTGATGAATATTTTATTTTATATATTGGAATATCTCGCCAGGTAACTCGTTGTTTCATCGTAAGTTCTTCTAATTTCCTGACAAGATCTGACACAATTGTGTGACGCTCTGACCCAGGTATCCCTCCTAGGAATGCAACCCAGACCACGAGACAGGGAGGTTTAGAGGTCACCTTAATCACATAGAACGAGGTCGGGTGCCCCTGCTCATCCTTGATAAAAGAAATATACGAATGGCTTTCTAGAAGACAGAACTCTGACGAGTTCTTGATGAGTTCAGATACTTTGCTTGCTGCCTTCTTACAGAGGACTGGATGGTACCTTCCTGTACTGCTGGACATTAGTAGATGTTTAGTCAGTGGTTGGTCGTGTTGAAGTAACAGAGTAATCCTAGTAAAAACATTATAGACTTTAGTATTTAGAAAAATCGTGATAGAATCAAAATTCCCATCTTTTAAAACTTGTAAGTTTGATAACAAGAAGTAGAAAAGATTAAAGTATACAAATACATTTAAAAAGGCAAAACTGCCAACTCGTGAACTAACCTATGGGTATGCATCCATCTATGCCAGATATTGATATCAAGAGAGAAGATTGGTCTCCAGAAGTTTACAAAGGATGGTATTGTATCCTGGGAGTAGAGAACAGGGGCTCCTGTACCCTGAGCCAGCGTGAACAGGGGTAAACCGTTCCTGTATACAAAAATGTTATAATCCTTAAACTTATTTCAAGTTTTAAAAATGAATAAAATACTTTTAAAACCTCTATTTGGTTTACAGATTCGTTAATGGAAAATTTTGTAATTCAAAATGTAAGGTGGAGCAAAAAGAATTGCGGTGTTAAGGTGAAGAGTTTTTGTCACAAACTCTAATTTTTTAATCCTTTTATATCTTTGCTACATGATGGTGTAAACATTTGATATTTCTAACTATGAATTCTGTTGGATCAAATAGTCGAAGTTTATATTATCCAATTCTTAAACCATAAAAATCAGTTACTTCTGACTCCTGTTCTTAAAAATGATTATTTACTTAATAGATGAAGAAATTTTAAATGGAAGTTTCTGGGGATGATTTAAATAATTGCAGTTATCAACTATGAAAGGAGGATAAAACTCCAAGTTATAAACCTGATAGTATCCGGGAGTGTGTAGTTGCTGGCCTGTGACGCAAAGGAGTTGATGTGAACCAGGAGTTTATCCGTCTGGTTCAGCTGCTGCAGGGTCAGGTAGAACTTCTTTATCACAGAGGTTCGGTAGTGACTAGAGAACTTCTTATTGGTCTGACAGACAATGTCGTAAATAATATCGTAGGGACCCTCAACAGATACCTGGAAAAACAAGATTATAATCATAGACCACGAGTTGAAAAGAATAGAAAACATAATAAAAACTATATCGGAATCATTTTTCTTTCCATCTAATTCTTACTACAGAAATTTAATGTTTTATTTGTTTTAAGATAAGGATCATATAGAAGATAGCTCGTCTTTATTCACTTTATGTCGTAAGGACGATATTCTTGTTTACTGTTTGTTGGTTCTTGATTTTACTTGTAAAATGTTCCAAGTAGAGACAACTCTTTCACTGACATTTTTTCTTGTATCCGTTTTTGATTTGAAGCGAACCAATTTGTGATGATATTCAGACAATCTGATGATTCTTTCAGCCGATTTCAGTGTCAAATCTTCGAAACTATGAATTCTCCTACATAAATGCTCACCTCTACTCTGCACCGTGTGGATTCAGGACCCTCCTGACTCCAGATAGAAGATATAGTGTAGTGGATAAACGTGTGGTACTTCCAGGGTAGAGTCAGCTTAACCTTCATCTCCTTATCCTTCAGATCCAAGGTGTTTACCGTATATCCTTCACGTAACCTTTAACATAAGACATCTATGAATATATTTGTCATGACTGTATGTATGTTTGTATCCAATAAACGTCAAAACGGCTAAACCGACCAGACAAAGTTATGTGTAAGACTTCATGTGACCCCATGTGAACTTGTGAAGGTCAAAATTAGTGTCATTTCAAAAAACTTTAATTTAGAAAAATTACCAATAAAAAAAAGTCCACGAAAAAATGGAAAAAAGAAAATTATGACAAATGAGATGGGCGGATAGTTAATTCTTTGAGAGTTTATATATTGACCTGCAGGATAGGATTGAGATAAGCGTCGAGTTAACCGTCATCTCTAACCTCTTCTTACACACCAGAGCCTCCTCAGCAACCGTGGTGAAGAACTGGTTTTTAATCTCGGTATACCGACCCTTCCTCCATAGATCAAGGTCGGACGGAACCAAGGCAGGTTTCATTTCAATTCCTTCCAAACACTTCCTGAAGCTCCAGGCTAGGAAAGCTTCATGATACTGGTTCATCTCGTAGAGATAAGGTTCGGAGGGTTCAATGTGAACTTCAGGAACTCGGGGTAAATATGCCCCAGAGGTTGCCAAGGACATAAATTGCATGAGCTCGTTGTAAGGACAGTATCCAAATCCTGGAAATAATTAATGTTGAGAAAAGTTTAATGGTTTAAAAATTAAATGTGAACCTGAGTGAGGATGGTATGAGGATGAGACTTCTAAGAATGAGAGACAGATACTACGGGATCGAAGTTGGTTCAGTAGGGCATCCATTATATTTACATCAGGTACGCTAAAACAAAATAAAGAAGATATCAATCCGGGGTTATTTAAAAACTCTTTCCCCGGCTTAACTATCAATTCCCACCTACCCAATTGGGAAAGCAAACCCTTGTTAAAGAGCTGTTATAGCCCTGTAATTAATCTGATTTTTTAATTAGCCAAAAAATTTTACCTTTAAGGAACTGTAATTCTAACTAACCCTCACATGCAATTATAAAATAGCATGTCCGGTTTACAACGGTAACCTTAAAAGCTTTGCCTGATCAAGAATAAATGAGATATCAATGTTTTGCTTTTAGAAATTTGATAGTTTTTGAATTGCGTATTACGGTTTACAGAAACAATATGGTTTAACACCAGATATAAAAACGATGATATCTTCCACATTATTTATCAGATATCTGACTGAATATATCAGGCATGCTATTCTTTTAATGCAGGGTCTCTTAAAATAACAAGGACAGTCCCTTTAAACTGCTAAATCTCTGCTGTCCTAACCTAATAACTCCGTCTGTGATAATCAGTATAGTTGCTGAACTGTTCTCTGGTAGGAGCTGAAGAGCTAACATTCCTGTCTGAACCATATTCACAAATCCTTAACAAAGTTTAATCTAGAAAAATGTATTATAGGTTTATATAAACTTGTTTTGAAAAAGAGAGAAATTCTAAAAACACTTTTACGCCGCAAATAATTTACGACGATTCTCTAAACTTAATTTCTTCACCGATGTATAACAGTATATTGATAACCGAATTCAAAATAAATAAATTCTGTAGTCTATATCTTTTTATAAAACACAAAAATATATTTGTAAACCTGTGTCTGGAGCTGCCATTGGAACACTGGGAGCCAACGGTGATCCCTCAACACTCTCCTCAAAAAGATCTCCGACGATCCTCTCGGACTGAAGCTTGATCATCTCAAGCTCATCAATTACAAACGATGCGATCTTAGAAACATGATCTTCAAGTTCATGAAGACCTTGTTTAACATCAACCATAAATGTTTCTAGATTCTCCGGGGTCACCAACCAACCCTGTAAATAATCCATTCTTAAAGAGGAAAACGTAGTTTTTAAAACTTTTTTCTAAGTAACTTTTCACACAGCCTTTATTAAAGGGCGACATAGTTTAATTTTAGATAAAAATAAACAATAACATACGAGTAATGTTTTGCTTACTTGATGAAGAACTTTCTGAGCTCCATTGCAGAGAAATGGAGTCCAAGCTATCACAGTGACGTATATATCCGGAGTAAATAAAACCTGGGAACCAGGAATAGTGAAGGGACGAATAACCCCTTCTAGAGATCTTCTCAAAGCTTTTATCTAAATAAATAATTATTAATTATATTATTAATGATATAAATGTCAAATCTAAAGTAAAATTTTTACAGTGAAAATTGTATTCATTTAATCTTCTCTTATGATAATAAATTCTATTTTGAGAATGAGATTATTAAACTTCAAATTATCTCACCAATTGATCAACTAGTACACAGTTCTTCTTGATATCCGTGACTGCAACGGAAGGAGTAAAGTCCAACATGTAGACGAACCTATACTGCTGGGATAGGAAGGTCACCATGGTCCCAGATGTTACCTAAATATAATATTTGATTGATTAGATAGATAAGTACTTTTTAGTAGTAAAATAAAAAATATATTATTTTGACAAAGAGCATTTCATCAAAACAAATTCAGCTGAACTATATATTTGGCTAAACCTCATATATATAGCAATGTGTACATATTGTACAAAACTGTACGCTTTAGAATACATAACCTTTGCTTTCTCATGTTCTACCTTATATTTGTACAAGTGTCCTGTGTCCCAATCCCACTCTGCAGGAACCGGTTCCTCCGGCATTACGGAGACGACCTCCAGGTCTCCGGTGAACTGGGAGAGCTCTTGTCTGTTCTGCACGTCAATCACTGTGTTCATGTGGTAGAAATACCAGAGTGCACGTGTATTTCGAGATAATCTAAAATATAAGTTAAATTCACATTTAAATATTTTTACAAAAAAGATTGACACAGTGATTCAATAAAAGTGTAGCAATCGTGTCACAAGACATAATTTTCCAACATTTCATTAGTTGACCTGTATTCTTTCTTCATGATTAGAAATATCCTGTCTGCTGTCAAAACTTCAACTTCTTGATTCTCAGGGTTTGAGTTATCGTCTCTCCAGATATCATCATCTTTCATCTCTTTCTCTCCATCGCTATCCCCCTTCTCATGGTTTACTCCCTCCTGGTCCAAACTCTCTTCCATACCTTGCTCATTCTTCTTGCCAGGATCCTCTTCCCTTCCCTCCTCGTCACTTTCCGTCTCATGATTATTACTCTCCTCATTCACCTCTTTTTCTTCATCGACTTCTTTCTCAAAGCAATCATACTCTTCATTCCTGTCATGATTCTCATCCTCTTCATCCTCCAGCTTGTCTTGGTCTTCATCTTTCTTATCATTGTTATAACACTCTACCTTGTCCAGGTCTTCATCTTCCTTATCATTGTTATCATCCTGTACCTTGTCTTGGTCTTCATCTTCCTTATCATTGTTATAACACTCTACCTTGTCCAGGTCTTCATCTTCCTTATCATTGTTATCATCCTGTACCTTGTCTTGGTCTTCATCTTCCTTATCATTGTTATCATCCTCTACTATGTCTTGGTCTTCATCTTCCTTATCATTGTTATCATCCTCTACTATGTCTTGGTCTTCTTCTACCTTGTTCAGACTATCTTCCTCTTCCTTATAATTGTTTTCATTTTCAATATCTTCAATACCATCAACATTTTGTTTTAGTTCTCGAGTTTCTAGATCGTTCTGAGTGAAAATTTTATCATCATATTCTTTTCTTTTTACGGGAAAAGGCATTTCTTCCTTTCCATTCTCCTCTTCCTTTTGCATAATCCTTACCACATCTCCCACATCTCCTTCCGACATTATATCATATTATACATTTTGTCTGTAATTATAAACTTTAACATACGAGGGAAGTTCAATAAGTTTTGAGAACATTTTTTTAAGGTACTTTTAGACGTCTCAGCCCTTCATTATTTTATTTTAGTTCACTATAGTTATACCGGTTCAATTTTCTTACCAGCTAATGTCGATCAGATAATATGTTGGATGCAATTAGCTTTCTCCCGGATCCCGTTAACGATGCTTGTCACAGCCTAAATATCTTATCTACAGACTACGAATGTAGATTTATAATCAATAAATATCTTATCTACAGACTTAAACTTTATTCATTTAAGCGTGTTCTAGAGGTTGGGTAACATTACAAGTCAAAGGAGGGTAAGTCTTTATTGTAGAAAGGGTCCTTGAGGGTTTTTATTGTTGTAATCTATATTTCAGCCAGTGCTTAGGATCCGGATCCGGATCCATTGGATCCGCAAGATTTTGGCTTCCTGGATCCGGATCCTGATCCGAAAAAATATGCAGATCCACGGATCCGGATCCAAGGGGTAAAATATAAACCAAAAACTGCAAAAAAAATTTTTTTACTCGGATCCGCAGGAAGCCAAAATCTTGCGGATCCAACGGATCCGGATCCTAAGCACTGGCTGAAATATAGATTAAAAAAATAAAAACCCTAAGGACCCTTACAATAAAGACTTACCCTCCTTTGGCTTTTTAATGTTACCCAACCTCTAGACCACGCTTAATTGGATAAAGTTTAAGTCTGTAGATAAATTTCCTCATTTCTGAATAGTTTCTAAGTTTTAGGATAAAAACAAGCGAAAAAAAACTTGAAAATTATTTTTTGTTAAAAAAATTCAGTAAATCTTAAAGAAATGACCTGAAACCGGATCCATTTTTTTCCAATGCGGATCCGGATCCGCATCAAAATTAAATGGATCCTAAGCACTGATTTCAGCAATAAAAAAGTATCTTCTCCTAGGATCTCTTTGGAGCAAATGTTGTCCAAATCTTTGCCATTTTTCAAACCTTGCTTTACAACTTTGTTTGTAGCATCATAGCAGATGTCAAACTTATCAATAATCATCAACTAAGAAGCCTTGAATTAGTTTGACTGTTTGTTGGGTTTTTTGAATTTTTTTCTGCTCTGACATTTCCTCGTTCTGCCAACACTATTGTAGACTAGTGCTGTGTCAATATTATTATCCTCGAATGCATTTTAGATCATGTCAAAGTTTGTAAAGTTTTTGGCACTAACTTTTGGTGTATCGAGCATCCCAAGTGTCCCCTTTCCCTGGTTGGTATTAAAAACATTCCCGTGCTGTGCCAACGGAGCTAAACAACCTCCAGGAAAAGGCGGATTACATAGAAATAAAAAGTTTTATGAATAAAGTCCTTAAGAGGAAGACAACCGGGATGAATACAGTAAGCTTTGAAAAAAAAATCACAGGGCTCAGACGTCTAGCAGTACCTTTAAAAATGTTTCGCACAACTTATAAAACATACGTCGTTTCATTAAATAAGACTAAATCACAGCCAGTATGTTGTTGAAACAGCACCGTTATTCTACAAACTCATTATATAATGATTGGAGTTTTTAAAAATTAGAGCCTCACAACTCAATATCAAGGAATATGTTAAGAAATGAAACCGTAAACCAAAATTTCTTGATGGAGAAGGACAAATTTCTTTGTATAATGTATTATAGTTACTATGTGGGGCCAATGGTTTCAATCCACTGAAGAGTAAAGATACATATTGATATCTATGGTCTTTTAATTTTTTTCTTCATCTTTTTGAGATGCGAGCTCTCTAAAAATAATATTTTAATGAAGTGTTAAACTAATTATTTGTGTTTTATGTTCTGTCCGAGGGCGGATCTATGAGCTTCTCCGTACCATAGTTCTGCAAACAGTCTACTCTCATACTCATCCGAGGATATTCCCGTATACTCATCTATAACAGAAGATATATGAATAGTGAATATATAGATAACATTGAATGTACCTTGTACATGTACATTACAGCAGTGCATTGTACAGTACATTTAAGCATCGTACGGTAAGGTACAAAACAGTAATAATAGTACAGTTCAGTAATTTTTTTTGTTTCTTACCTGGAATACTTAGTCTTTGCCGCAGAACAGCTTTAGTATTCTTTATAACTAGTGGAGTACAATGTTTTGTTCTTCTCTCCAACCATTCTAATCCGTCCTCTACTCCTCTTCCTTCAGATACGTCCGCATCAAAGTATCCTAATCTCAACCCTTCCTCCGCTCGTAGTTTCCTGCCAGATATAATAAGATCTAGAGCACGGTTGTATCCGACAAGGTTTACTAGTAATCCTCCTCCCCCGAACCCGGTACACAAACCCATCTTTATTGAAATAAAAACTTGACATAATAACTACTTTGTTTTCATTTTTATCTTATTGTAAAAGCAATATAATATATGTCATTAAGTTGATAAAAAGCTATGTTGGACACCATCAGCAAGTAAACTCGTAACACATGGACATGTAATAAGTATAAAATGATATAGTTGCCCCTTCGGTTAACAATAAAACCGCAGCTTGAAAGTTTTCACACAAAAGGTCTTCGTCCCCCGATAAGTACAAAATTTATAATATGCGGTGTCGGGTACTTTTATTAGTAAACAATAAAAATAAGAGATTAAAAGCGTAAAACCCATTTTTGGCCATTTTGAAGACTTCAATCTAGCATAAAAGCTAAAGAGTAAGTTTTATTTTCCCTTGGTTTGAACAAAAGCTACAAACGCTGAGCTAGTTGCTAAACGATGATCTGTTGTTGTGGCAAGCTCTGCTCCTCCCCCTAGGGCAGGTCCCTCCAGTACACTAACCGTCACCAGGGGTAGGTTCTGTAGCTTCCTACTCACATGGTTCATCAAAACGGACATTCGGAACCCTTTCTCAGGACTGTCTCCGCTCTTAACTTATCCCGGGGAGGTGTAAATTTAACTTTAGAGAAGGGAAAAGTTCAAACTTGTTCCTGAGAATACAAATTTGACAAATTGAAGAATTAATCTTACTCCTCAGTACCTGTAGTTAGATGTCCTCCGGAACAGAAATAATTTGCTGGATTTTTCGCTCCGGACAGAAGAATTCCTTTTCCGGTTTTCCAGGTTCCCAGTTCCTCAAGAGTTTCATCCAACTCAACCATCATAGACCCAGTTAGTGCGTTGTAACTCTCGGGATAGTTTAAAACAAGCTCCGCGATACCCGAACTTTCGTTCTTTGAGAGTGTTATAGAACCTCCGGATAGTTTTGCAAGTTCAGTTTTGATCTCCGATATCGGAGTCAGTGGTTGTGTGTGGTAAGCTCTTCTAATACTTCTTCCCCACATATTCCTCTCTGAAAATATATATGTCTAATTATATCAATATTATATAAATAATACCTCTGTATTTGAGTGTAAAAATAAGTAGAGCAAAATAGTTTTCTTCTATTCTAATCACATGAGTTTATTCTCATTAAGATCAATAAAGTAAGTAGATAAGACGTAAATCAAGCTCGACCTTAGCGCATCACAAGATAATAATAATAATATATACGCTACAAAATACAAAATACAAATTGTAATATTAGGTAAAATCATCATCTATATATCTAGACTATGAAAGACTAGAGAATTATCAATGTTACAAAGCAGGATAATCAAGAATTAGGTCAGGGGCGGATACAGGATTTAAGTGAGGGGGGGGGGGCAAGATTTTTTAGGAACACTTTATTTAATAATACCTTGCCTTAGCATTATTTGAAGATATATAACATACTAGCTTGGGAACCAAGCGTTGCCTTAAGCGAAATTTTTTTTTCTTTATAAGACTCAAAAAGAGTCAAAATTAATGACTTAAGACTAAAAAACTAGATTTATAACTTTTCACACATTATAGTTTATTAAGACAGATATTTTTCCTGTTTTGCACTAGGGTTTCTTTCCCTTAAGCATGCTATTGAGAAGCTATTCTGAAAATAGGAACAAAAAAATTCCAAATTCAGGGGGGGCGAATGTCCCCCCCCTTGTAACCGCCCCTGAATTAGGTACACGAGGTACACCAGAACAAATAATCCATTTTTTAAAATATATCTTCAACCATTGGTTATATTATAAAGATTGTTTATCGGACGGTAAAATACTAAAATCACGGTCTGTAATTTGAACAAAATTGTGCGCTTTTTAATCATAAATTTGAGGCCATACAAGCATTAAGCAAGAGGTGTCATATATTAGACAAAATGTTTCTTCAGCATTAGTTCTAGAAAGTTTGTATATGATAACCTTAAAGCATACGCTGTTAAATATCTCGGATATCTCAGGAGAAGTATTGCAGATTACAAATGAAAACCAAATTTTAATTCAATCCTTTCATACGAAACCATTTTTAACTAATTTAGAGAGGGTCCCCAACAAATTAAAGCTGTGTGTTATTGACTTATTATAGCTAACAGTTTGTTATTGTTATTGTATGCTTTAAAGTTATCAAGCACTAAGATGCAGATTTAACATAGCAAAGACATCTCCTGTTCAATCTTGTTTAATCTGTGGTTGGTTAGGATGAATTAGGATTAAAGGCAGGCTGCTTCTCTGAGTAGGATTGAGTAGGTCCAGAGTGAGGTTGAGGAGTACTCGGAGGTCCAGGATATGGAGGAGGTTGGGCCGGATAACCAGGAGGTGGACCTCCAACATCAGTGCAGGGTTGAGGTAAATATCCTGTGGGCTGTGGAGGATACTGAGGATATGCTGGATGCTGTGTGTACGGATAGGGTTGAGGCTGAGGACGAGATTGAATAAGAGCTCCTGAAAAGAAAAAGTAACGTATTCTTATGTCTAATTTTGTCCAATTAATATTAAGTCCAGAGTCCGAATTCAATGAATTTGAGCCGCGTCTCAAATCCGCCAAAAACCGGTTTCAATTGAGCGCATCTTGAAACATTTGATACAATTTGAAGTGCAATGAACCATATTTGAGCCGCGGCTCAAATTCTTTAAATTCGGCCTCTGATTCAGTAATCGGTAAAAGTATGAACGAAATTTCCAGTTTGCATGAATTGTTAAAAGTATTGAAAAATAACGAAAAGGAAAGTTCTAAATTATTTTTGAAGCTTTTGAGTAGGCTATGAGAACCTTGTTTACAGAGCAAAACTTCCACTACGCACCGTATAAGACCTTTATCTTTTTATTGTTGAAGTTTATTAATTTAACACAATAGTGAATATGTAAACCCACTGTACACAGACTAGACAGGGATATGTAAATATCTAAAACCAATGTTCACAGACTAGACAGGGATATGTAAATATGTAAACCCAATGTTCACAGACTAGACCAGAATATGTGAATATTTAAACCCACTGTACACAGACTAGACCAGAATATGTAAATATGTAAACTCTCTGTACACAGACTAGACAGGGATATGTAAATATATAAACCCTCTGTAACCAGACTAGACAGGGATATGTAAATATGTAAACCCTCTGTACACAGACTAGACAGGGATATGTAAATATGTAAACCCACTGTACACAGACTAGACCAGAATATGTGAATATGTAAACCCACTGTACACAGACTAGATCAGAATATGTGAATATGTAAACCCAATGTTCACAGACTAGACAGGGATATGTAAATATGTAAACCCACTGTAACCAGACTAGACAGGGATATGTAAATATGTAAACCAAATGTAACTAGACTAGACAAAGATATGTAAATATGTACACCCTCTGTATCTAGTCCAGACAAGTATTTAAACATGAATCACGTGATTACCTCGTGGTTGGGTAGGATATAAGGCCTGGGCTAGCTGGGTTCCTAAACATGAACATATGTCAAAAATTCTCTAAATGTACAAAGTCCGAACAATCCGCTCAACGTTATAGTGTTAACAAATCTTAATTTTTAAAGAATTTCAAAAATTAGAAGGAATAACAAAGGAGGGGTCGGGAAGGGGGGGGGGCGGAATTTTGAAAATGATTACATTATCATTATCATTATTATTATTATATTATTATATCATTATTATTATTATATCATTATATCATTATATCATTATATCACTATCATTATATCATTATATCATTATCATTAATAATTATCACAAAAAACCCAAATATTCCTATGAAAGTATAGAAGAACGAACCTGCAGGATTATGAACCATCCCTCTGGTTCTTTTCCTTCTCTTAGCTAGGAAACAGCAGGGTATACAGCAACATCCAACCAGGATTAGGAATGCAATAACAAAGAGACTACCCACCACAATACCGATCAACTTTGCAATACTAAAATATTGCAAAATGGAGATAAAGTTCTTAAAAATTAAACCTAGCCTGATCATATCATGCATATTCATTCATCAACTAAAGGAAACAAGACAAGACAAGTGTGTTCAGATCTAAAACTGTGTAGGGACCAAAGTTAGGTTACATCGATTAAAACATATTGACGGAATTATAATAAGAAGGGTGGTTTTTGGTAAAAAATGATAAAATATGCTGAAGTGCAATGACCATTTTTTCTGTATGTCTGAGATATCTATCTTTACTTTATCCCAACCTCTAGTTGTGCCTTTTACTACCATGCATATTATAAAAATGTAATTGTGATATTTTAATTTTCTAAAAAAAAATATTAAAAAAATTTGAAAATTCCATAACCAATAGGCCCAAAGAACGCAGAATTTATTTGTCTCGGTTTCCGGAATTCAAGAAGTTCCGATTTATTTCCGAACTCAGAAGTTCCGGATATTTACGACTTCCGAATCATCTGAATCATAAGAAACAAATGGGATAATGTTGAGGTAAAAGCAGTCGTGATAGACGTTGGAAGTACTCTTATAAATATGCTTTTACATTATAGAGAAATTTAAAAGCAATATGTATTTTAAGAAGAAACCGAGTTTTCCCACAAACTCCGATTTTCTATTCCCAATATGACAAATTACGCTAATGTTCTTTGATATTTCAAAATATAAATTCTGTTAGATCAAATAATCTAAATTTGAGATTTTGAAGGTTTACGTTTACACCACCAGGTTGCAAAAATATAGGGATTAGAAAATTTGAGTGTTTGACAAAAACTCAGTTCCTTTATTCAAATTTAGAAAATAAAACGAGATAATTAAGGAAACCAAGCAAAACAAATATGCATTCTGTTATCATTCTCGGAGCAAGAATGAATTCAGTTTTAAAAATTCTCCTGCGCATGGTTGGATTCAGTTTTAAACATTCTCCGGAGCAATGTAAGGTTCAGTTTAAAACATTCTCCGGAGCAAGGTTCGATAATCGATTCAGTTTGAAAAATTCTCCGGAGCAAGGTTGGATTCACTTAGAAGCATTCTTCGAAAGGAAATTGATTGAGTTTAAAATATTTCTTAAAAATAAAAACTTTTTCCTTTCTCTTTTCTCTTACCCTTCAAAGTCGTCGTCAAAGTCCTCATCAAAATCTCTGAATATCGCTTTCTTCTTCCTTTTCAAACAGAAAATGTGTTAGAATATTGACATCGAGCTTTGAACCGGTCAGGGGTTGAATCCGTGTATACATTTTTGAAATTATTAAAACTATTTACAGAGTTTATTAACCATTCTGAATCCAAGACCGAAAAAAGTGTTGAAATACAAAAAAAAACTGAACCAAAAGTTTTTTATTTTTAGAAAAAAATTAAGTAATTAATAAAATTATAAAAAAATACAATTACATATATATATAAAAAAAAGTAAAAAGAGGTATTATGATAATTAAAAGCAATATAATNCTATACTTAAAAGATCAATATAAGGAGCGTGTAAGAATGAATATTCTTCAACTAGTGTAAGAATTTCCATTCTTTAATGCTTGGAGCGTGTAAGAATATACATTCTTTCACGCTCTGACCGTGTAATAATTTCCATTCTTACACGGTCTGAGCGTTAAAGAATGAAAATTCTACACCTACAGTGTAATAATAAGCATTCTTAAACGCAAGGAAGCGAACAATATTAAAATTGTTCCTCCTGAACCGTGTAATAATGGGAATTCTTACATGATAGCTTTACTACTATGGAACCGATCAGATATGATATAATAAAAAATATGAAAGAATGCGAGGAATTAAACAACGTGCTAAAAAACAAAACCTATGTTCGAAACGGTGTTCCATCTTAGAGACATTTAATAGGAAAAAAATCTTCGAGAAAACTCACCTTCTCAGGCCCCCAAGGCACTATACCCTACCAATACCAAGTTGCCCAATATAAGGCCATTTATGTCAAAGGGCATCTATGAAATGTAACGCGCACTTCGAAACTAGGTTTTATTTTATTTTACAAATTCTTTTTATAAACCATATCTTGCTAAGCTTACCCTTCTATAGTGTTCTCAAAGAGCTGGCCGACAGTGACCACCTTCTCTTCTTTATGGCTGTCCTTCTTCCCTTCAAGGTCACCATCGAGGTTAAGATCCGTTCCCTGCTCCACCTCCGTCGTGGGTCCGAACTCCAATATCACTTTATTTTCCCTGAGAGGCTTGTCACAGCAAAACCTATAAATTAATATTACTAAAGCATTCATTTTTATTTAAGGACTTTACCAGCTATTAAATTCCTTGTTTCGTAGTTTTTCCAGAGGTCAAACATTTTTATTTAAGGACTTTAGCAGCTATTAAATGCCTTGTTTCGTAGTTTTTCCAGAGGTCAAACATTTTTATTGTGAATCATAGGATCAAGAAGTTACACATAGTTTTAGACGTCTGAAGGAGTAAGATAATTTCTTGTCTATTTCTTTTAGATATTCCACGCTTCTACACAATTTTTGACCTCTGATCTGGAACCTTTTTAATGAACGCAATGTGCTTTTCTTAGATCGGATAATTATTCTATTATAATCAGGAAGGAAGGAACTAGTCTGAATCATAAAAGAAGGAAAACTCTCTTATCCATTTAAACAGTTTCCAGCTCTTGTTAGTCAGTTTAAAGTTAATCGTAGTGAACATCACCTGCCCCAAGAAGGTCCACAACAGTATTTATAAGAAGCTGGATCATCAGATTCGGGGCAGGATTTATAAGTTGTAACTCCAAATACTTCCTTCTTACAGGTTTCCGCCTCTAGAAAAACAATTGGATAAATAACATGGAAGGCAAAATTAAAAAACTACATATTCCGCCTCCCCCTCCCCCCCCCAAAAAAATCCTTTTATTAGTTTTAAATATGCTACCGACTTATACGGAGGGGGGGGGGGGGAGAAGCACCATCTACGAAAAGTTACAAAGGAATTGAGTCGTTGCCACAAACTCTGAATTTATAATCCCTATATCTTTGGAACCCAATGTCGTACATCTTTGATATTTCAAACTTATATCATTTGATCTAACAGAATTCATAGTTTGAAATATCTAAGGTCTACGACATTGGAATCCAAAGATTATAAATTCAAAGTTTGTGGCAAAGACTCAATTCCTTTACCTGAATTGTCTACGCTAAAGATGAAAAGTAGAAGAATACGAAAAAGCCATTGTAACATTTTCTGAAATAAGTTTTACAAACTATATGATTATTAAATAGTCTGTTTTACAGTTTCTGTATTTTAACTTAGAACTCTATTAAATGCTAAAACCAAATTTTCTAATGAGTATCACAGTCATATTAAACAAGGGATTTAATGGAATTGAAAATTGGAGAGGACTTTGGATAATAATTTTTAGTATCGATGCTGTTTTTTTTCAACCTTTGTTGCATTTGAAGAGAGTACTATCTACTTTTTTGCAAAGATTTTTTTCCCAACATACAACCCTCCCATGAGCAACATCATTCCGACTCCGACCTTGGCATTCTCGACAAACTTGTCCTCGGTCGTCTTCAAGATAATCTCTCGGGTCTCTTCGGACCATCTCGTCACGCGGCAGAAACTTGGACGCTTCTTTATCCTTAACAAGAATATCATGATGTTCTAAATTAATTGATAATAAAATTGCTTCTTTTAAAATTAGAAAAAAAAATAGATATTTCATACTTTAGTTGAAGACGTATTTTTTAATATTAGTAAAAAGCAAATAAAAACTAATATTTTTAGATTTAGTGTTGATCATAACCTAGAGAACTGACCTATCGTAGTAAACTGTAAGATGAGGTCTAACACCGTCAGTAAACATCTCTAATTCCAGACCGATCTGCCAGATACGATGCAGGAGTAGTCCTGATACGTAATCAATTAATATCGAGATCTGCAAAATCAAATCAAGTGGTAGTAAACTCGACAAACTGCTATTTAATTCAATTATTCGAGTGTCTTAAAAAGTATCCTTTACTGATACCAATATTTTCTGTTTAAATTTGTTATATTTTTTAAAGAACCTTTGCAAAAAAATATAAAATTTAGTGTTTTAGGAGTGCAAACTTGATTAACTCTAAAAACTTTGGATCCGGATCCATTTTACCATGCAATGAGGGTCCAAACTTCAGATATGTTTGAAAATACAATGAATTTAAGAACGGGTTTGATTTGATTTGACGGGTTAAGCAAAAAATATATTACCGAGTAAAATATCTGCTGAGCCGAATATGTGTCCGCCTAACCATAAGCTTGCATCCGGCTTCCCCAGTTCCGCCTCAAAGAAGTCCAAGACTGCGGATACGCTTCGGAGAACAGAGTTATATTCGTCGTAGTTGACGTAGCGGGATATATTCTTCTGGTGCTCCTCTCCGTACTCTAGTAGGGACTGGGTTACAGCTGGGTCCGAAGAATTAAGTGCAGCTTCTTGCAACCTTGCTCCGCGGTTTAAAACATACTCCCGTGCCATCTCTGGGTAGTCTCCATTACTGTATGGGTACCTTAGAAGTTGGAACAGGATGACTCAGTTTCTTTGTTTACAAATAATTATAAATGTCAATAAAAAAACTTTAAGGTTAAAACATTAATTTAGTGAATATCCATGCCTGAGAACTTTTGATAACTCGAGATGGAATGCAAGACCATATGTCATGTGACCAACAGGAACAGAATCAAGTTTATCAAGATATGCCTCACTTTTTCCTGCAAAAAAAGATTGCATAAAAGAAATAATTGGAGGTTCATAACTATAAATATTAACCTTTGAATACATCTCTCATTGAATATGGTTCGGTTGTTTTAAGATATTCTCTGATTCTCGGAGCTCCGACAAGGGTTACTTCTTCAATTTTGAGAACCGGCACATTGCCTCTCTCGCTGAGAGCAAGGAACTCGGGGCTGAAGTTTCAAAGTAAGCACAACATATTATTATATGATAAAATACCAAAACAGCAGGAATGAGAAATCTATGAGTAAATGCTGGATACAAAAAGACGTCATCTCTATGCTCCTATCTGGAACCCTGATGACAAATCTACAAGTATAATTACCCTAATAACTTCAATAATTCTTTGAACTATCATTTGACAATAAAGTACTTTATCGGCGTGAACTGTACTTTTCTTTTCCTGATTTAATAACATTTTTTATATTTCTAGAGTACGCTAGTATTCCAGAAAGAGAAGAAGAAATTATTAGAAGAAATATAAAAACGAGATTATCTAAGAACACGGGAAGCACTTGATCCGATATGATATGATCAAGTTTTGATATCAAGAGTGTGTTTCAAAAGTATAAGTCAAGAGAATCCAATCTCTCTTTTCGATAAAATATTATACAAGTGTAAAAAAGATAATCCATTGACAATAAAGATTCAAGGATGTCAGAATATTTAGAGTAAGGGGTAAGGGTTGTATTCACACCAGCTCAACAGTTAGTTTAATAATTTCTTATCAACAATCCTTGCACAAAAAAAACATAGAAATACCAAACCGGGCTCACCCATTTAGGTTTTATGACCTCAAACGTATATTAAGATTCAAACCTCCATTACAAGTAAGACCGAAGCATTCTTTCTTTTCTAAAGGTCTGAATTCTAGGCGGAAAGCAATCTAGAGTTATTAATAACTTGTTTTCTGGCTCTACAGGCCTAACGTGACAATACTGTACAGGGTAGAGTACTTATTTCCTCTGATCTCATACAAACTACCTGTACTGAGCTCCTGAGTGTAGATCAATTTCATGTACCGTGTGCTTTGCTCCGAGCTCCTGAAGCAGTACCTCGGTACACCAACAGGAATAAGATCCAGGGTGTACATAAAGATTTAAACCCATTTCTCTGAAATGGTTTAATTACAATTTATAACTGTTATTCAGAAAACATGAAGCAAATCACGATTAGTTTTGATTTTGTCTTTTTACTTACGATACATATGTTTCTTCAAGAAAGAAAAAATTAAATAAATTACGTAAAAAATGTGATGTAATGATGATGAAATATATACAAGGGAGCCATACGTCAGAACCTGAGAATTTTAAATTTTCACATCTTAAAATTGTATTCAAGAATTAAACGCTGTAGTCCTAGTTTAGTGGAATAAGTTGCAGTATTTTTTATGGATTCAGTGTATAATATTTCTCTTATCAATCTGACAAGAAATAACTACAAGATTCTTATAATCAAATATTATATAGCTCTGCAATAATAAATATAAATATATACCAATATAAGTTAAATGATTTTAAATTTAAACAAATTTAATTCAGCCCAATTTACCAAAAGTTCATTCAATATCTCAAAGTTAAGAATTATTAAGAATTACGTTTGTATGCCTTTTAACATAGTTTCGCCTGATTTCTTAATTGAATCCGTCATACTAATAAAGAAGTAGGGGTGTATATATTCTTGAAAATAATTTCCCTCCCTCTTTTAAAAATCCCTTTTCCCCAGAAGTCAGGTATATTTGCGCGGAGCGAAAAATTTTTTAAGGGTTTTATTCTATGAATGGGGGAAAATAAATTATAATTAGGAACAACATAAAAATGTTGGGGTACAAAATTAATTAACAGGAGGGAAAACTTGTCTTTTGATGTCCAATTTTTCATTTTTACCCCAAAGCATAAAAAATCGTTAATACAAATATACACCCTTTTATGAAGATTAGACGTGGAGAAAAGTTTGCATTAGTTAAATTCGTAAATAAGGTTCTTTAACAATCAAGTTTAGAAACATTTATTTGTACTGATTTACTCATATATCAATGTTGTTTAGCGGACAATGATATCTATTTAATGCAGCTGTTTTTTTTTTGTCGTGAAACTGAACTTTTAATAGTCAGCAACGTAGCTTCGTCAATGCAACTCAAGCAAAATATTCAATCTCAAAACATGAAGTATTCATACAATACTTAAATATAAATAATCTTTTTGAAATTAGATTTCGGGACAAAATATTTATTTATTCTTTGATTTCGGTAATACTTCTTAAACCAACATCAGTTCAGAGATATAATTAAAGATTTGATTTCACGTATGTTAGATTTTCACTTTATTTCATTGTACAATCTCCGGGTTAGATCTAGAATATTCTCCAGGTTAGATCTAGAATATTCTCCGAGTTAGATCTAGAATATTTTCCGTATTAGATCTAGAAAATTCTCCAGGTTAGATCTAGAATATTCTCCGAGTTAGATCTAGAATATTTTCCGTGTTAGATCTAGAACATTCTCCAAGTTAGATCTAGAATATTCTCCGAGTTAGATCTAGAATATTCACCGAGTTAAATCAAGAATATTCCCCGAGTTAGACCTAGAATATTCTCCATGTCAAATCTAGAATATTCTCCAAGTCAGATCTAGAATATTCTCCAAGTTAGATCTAGAATGTCATTAAAGATAGATCTGAAATGTTCTCCGTTTAAAACGTATAGTATCCGAGTTCTGAAGTATATTTAAGTTATCAAGTAATTCTCTGAGTTCTCTAGTTTGTTCTTTGAGTTTATTCAGTTCTCAAAACAATCTCTCCCGCATTTACTCTGAGTTTTCTAGAATATTCTCTGAATGAAAAGGTTGAAGAATGAAGTCTCCTGAGCTGGGTTGTGAGATTTGAACGTTATAACTGTTGTTTATTGTTTCCTGACTGAGTAAACGGGTTTCCTAAACAGAACAGTGCCATTAATCCAGGAAAACTATAGGTATAGGGCGGTAAAGGTATATCTGTCGTAATGCCACCATTTTTACAAGGTTTTATTAAAGCAAATTGGAGTAGAAACTCATTTTCAAAAGTGGCCTTATATTTTTTCATACTTGCAGCAATACAAAAATGAATAATATTTTTCAAAATTACCAATTATAATTCTATTAATTTTAGCTGACTAAAATAATCTAAAATGTCAGGAAATAGAAATAAATTTTTAAATTGAATACCTGGTCTTCGTTGATAGTGTTCATACTGGTAAGGACAGATTTCATTAGAGACAATCTTTCCAGTACGCAGGAGGCAGAGAGACGAGCCTCGGCGTCATGATCCCAGCATTCATCAACTAGGACAATAAAAAATTAGTTGTCAATCAATCAATCAAACCAATAAAGTTGTCAATCAATCATTCAATTAATCAAGCTTTAAATTTATCAACTAGTAAATCATAGAAACATTTATTCAACCATTCATTCAATCAATAAATCCATATCAATAAAGCTATTAAACAAATAATCAATCAATCAATCAATTAATCAATCAATCAAGCGACCTTATGACTCAATTAACTAATGTAACTCTTATTATTTTGATTCAAGGAATTAAACGAAACTCACTTGTTTCGCATAGGATGGAAAGAGCTTCATGTTTTCTCCATATCTCCCGGAGATCTGGTCTCACCTATATAATCATATAGGTTATAACTACTAAACGCATCAAAAAATGGCTTAAATAGAACTAATTTTATGTTTCTCAGTTTAAATATCCAAAAAATATCTCCACGTTTTAAAGAAAAACTTTGATCCATTGTCACTATTAAAAACAACAATTCTTCCTCGGAATACTACCACTACCTCTTCAGGGTTTGCAAGTTTACTTGGCCTACCTTTTGATGAACGACCAGTTCTGAAATCTCCTCCAGGGTTGGATGAGGAGTAGTTTCAGCCTCGAACGGGAGCTTGTAGGGTCCAACCTGACCGATATCTTTACACCTAGACAATACTTCCCAGAGTACCAACCCACATGCGTACATGTCTATGCGTAGAAATGCGTCACGAGAGAAGTTAATCGCTCCCTCTAGTACCTCTGGGGCCATATATCTTCGGGTTCCAACCTAGGTAAAATTAAAATAAAAGATCTAGGGTTTTGAAACATCATAAATACGGAAATTATTTATTTACCTGTCCGTGTGTATCCCCAACTATTTCGTTAGGTTTAAACTGAAGAGCAAGGCCGAAGTCTCCAATGCAAGCCACCATATCAGATCTTACCAGAACGTTCTTGGATTTGAAATCTCTGTGTGCTATGGCGGGTTTAACTCCTGAACCTCGGATACTAGGAATCTCTGTATGAAGATGAGTGAGACCAGCGGCAATACCGAGACACATTTTACTCAGTTCCTCGAGGCTAACGGTGTTCATCTTTAAGAAATCACAAAGAGAACCACCCTCATGGAAAGCTGTAACTAACCAGAACTCCTGTTGTAGACTCTCTCCTCTCCTATCCACACCTTTTTGCAAAGAATAATATTTAAAAATCTTATTACTCGTGGAACTTTAAATACATTTCTGTGTTTTTAATTAATTTTTCTGCAAGAAGTGAAAAATATTTGCTAAAGAATTGAACGTAGAAGCATGAAATTGAAATTCTGAATTAAAGAAGAAAAGTTAATTCCAATTCAGTCAAATAATTAAAGGAGTATTAAAGATAAAGATTGAATGAAACAAACCTATGAATCGGAGAATATTCTCATGAGACATCTGAGGAAGGTTGAAGATCTCCTGCTCAGCAAACCAGGATTGTTTATCCTGAAGAGGGAAAATCTTGACAGCAACCTGTTCACCGCCCAGATGCCCTTTCCATACAGCTCCAAACCTTCCGCGAGCCTTGATCTCAAGCAGCTGTACGGGCCTAAAACGATTAATATTGAGTATAACAGAATATACAATGAGTCTAAAGGATTGCAAACCACATAATTTCTGTTTCAAATACCTTATTGATTCCCGGATTGTTACAAAATTCCCCAGATTTGACCCTTTATTTTTAAAGAAAAGAAGCACGGATGAGGTTTCAGAGGTGATTCAGATGAGAAAATGAAAAGAATGCGTGTGTCGAAACTAGACATGACAAACTCAATGATTCACCTGTGGATTATGGTCGGAGTAGGAGGAGAAACAGGACCATCCTCACTCTGTGACAAGGAACTAAACTGACTACTCTTCCTCTGCTTGTATATATATGCTCCAGCTAGTCCTATCACTAGTAGAACTAGAACGGGAACTGCAGAGTAAAGAAGAAGATAAAACTTCCCTGATGGTTGAGCGGGAGCAAGGATTGGAGGACTTGTCGTCTCAATTGTCAAAGGTTCCCATCTTAAATAAATTAATTGCTAATTAAGATAGTCAGACGTTGCTAGTTAAAACTTAAAATTGCTATAATAATTTCACATCATCGCGTAACTCTCATTTGTTGATGAATAAAAATGATAATGAAAATTAAACCTGAAATCTCTGTTACAACTGTTTCCAGTGCAACAACAAAACATATGATTCTTATTCACACTTCCTTCCTCCACACAATCTGTTCTGTTCCTACACTGCTCCTATACATACAATACAGCTTTCAGTTTACACATTTAAAAAGACATATAATCCCTCCACATACGTTTAGGAGATTTTCTGTCTTTATTGTTGATTAATCCTCAGGAACTCACATAGAGTTATTATGAGGATGATTTTGTTGACTTAAGAGTTGCTGATTGTTCTTGCCGGTTTTTTTTTCTCTATCTTCTTTTGAAGATACTCACAATGAAAGATTCTTTGATGTCTGATGAAATTAAGTTCCATTTTCTGGGCACCCGAATAAAAAACGACAATTTTACCAATCGATCTATAAAATCCGGAGCCAAGTGGAAAATTTTGAAATAAAATATTAAAAACAGTTTTTTACTTATGAAGCCTAAATCTGAAGTGCTGACTACTGGGAAATAAGTTAATTCAAGATGTAAAAAGTTTCAGTAAAAAAACTCAAAAATGAGTAATATTTTTGAAGAAGTAAAAACCTTAAGAAATTCTTGTACAGGTCGGGTTCGAATCAATCTTTTTACAAGGACGAATAAAGGATTTGGATAATAATAATAGAAAAATTCCCTGTCAATCCTGCAATCTGAGATTTCAGGCGGATAAACATCAAAACATAATAAATTCTTGAAGCACTGCTTATAAAGACGAAAGATTATCATTTATTAGTACCTGAGAGCTTCCATGGTTGAAGAGACAACCCTGTTTCTTAATCTTAAAAGTATCCGCTCCGGAACCCGTCCCATTCTGCCAAACCGTGAAGCAGAACGCTTCTAGGTTCCCGGCAGCTTCAGGTTCATCATAACAGTTCCGTGTTCCATAACAGGACGGATTGTTCTCATCTTTCTTCACACACACGGAGTCATGGAATTCACATTCAACTGTTTTCCTAGACGGAGTATCTAGGTTGGGCACTATAGCTGTAAAACAACTGTGTATTCTCAGAAGTAACACCCCTGTTATAATTCTCACAAGTGAGTACATATTAATTCTGATTATTGTCCTCCTGGTCGAAATTGTTTCCAAGATCTACATCTTCATCATCCTCGTCCTCGTGATCACTCTCACTATCCTCGTCCTCGTCCTGACAAACAGGTTTATAAATGACTAGCTTGGGAACCCAGCTTTGCCAGGATTTTTCGATGTAAGTTAACCCACTCAAATTCTAAACTTATGTTGAATTTTTAAACCAGACTTCTAACATTTCGTGGTTATTCTGAGGTCCCCAATTATGATTAGTAGGCAAATCGAACCAAGTCCTGTGATGGACATTAAAGAATTTGAGCCGAGGTTTAAATCCGCCAAAACCCGGTTTAAATTAAGCGCCGTCTTAAATCTTGAAACATTTGATACAATTTTAAGTGGAACCAACCATATTTAAGCCGCGACTTAAATTTAAACCGCCGCTCAAATTCTTTTAATTCGACCACCGATCAAACATCCAAACAGATAGGCATAGATTACTACTTTATATTTATAGATAAAGGAATCTTTTAATTTCGAGTTTTAAATAAAATTGTTTTTATTGCTTTATCTTTATATTATACAGTTACGGCATATCATAAAAATGAATTTCTGAGGGTACCTCCTCCTCTTCTGGTTCGTGTAGAGTATCTGGACTTGTTTTACCAATAGGAATTATATCGGAACCCTTCTGTGCGATTCTACTCATAACCTGCAAAGATCAGTATGACCGTCTTTGTAATTGGATTGGGTAATCTAAGCTGAGATTTGTAGGAGTATTTGTTTTATCCTAACTTGGACGTTTTTTGATCAGGAAGCTTGGAGAAAGCAATTTATACATTCGTCCATTTGATAAATTAAACATTGAAGCAAGGAGGGTGGTGGCGGTTGGGGGTAAACTTTAATATTCATGTCAAATTATGATTGCAAAGAATAAGAACATAATGAAACCTGGGCATGTTCTGCCTCCTCCCTTGCTAGGATTGACTCCTCATCTATTGGTCTAAACATAAAAAATATTTAAAAACTACGAGAACTAAAATCAGACATCGGCCGTAAAATAAAAAAAACGTTTCATGTTTTAAGGTTGAGTGTCTAAACTTATGAAAATAAAAAAGTGGAACTAACTTGTCAACTCCGAACCAGACAGGGTCACATGTTCTAGGTAACAAGGTTGGATTTGACGGGGTGTAGGTGCTCCAGGACATTCCTTACTTGGTCTTAGTATCCAGAGAACAGATTCTTATAACATTCTAATATTCTGAAAACAGTTCACATCTAGTATACAAGATAACCTCATCAAACATGAATAGTTCACGCAGTTTTCAAAAATAGAAAACGATTTTAAATGTATATTTATATTTTTGTTACTTGAACAAAAAATTAAATAAACATTATTAAATCTTTGATAAAATCAAGAAAACAATATTTAAAGGTAAAAATAAAGTAATATGATCTTCATTACTCATCATCTTATATACTAAATGTAGTGGTGTGTATATTTCCTGAAAATACCCTGTTTAAGGTTCTTTGTAAATTATGAAAATCTATTTTAAAGAAAATGTAAAATGTTTAATTTTGTCTAAGAATTTGTAAAAATGTATCCAACTAAAGCAATAAGCAAACATGTATAACAACTAGTTAGTGAGACAGATAGTAAATAATAAAGTATTATTGTGCAGAACTGAGAAGAATATAGTTTAGTTGAGACGGACAAGGTTCCGAATATACAGGTAGAGCTGACGGAGGAGTCGGGAGAAGGGTTGGGATCGTCTCATCAGGATACGTCACAACACAGAACATGAAGATTTTTCCCTGAAATAGTTGATTACATTATCCAGATTAGTTGATATATTCCAATATCATAAACTGTTAAAATCAATAGTTGATAACATTATCCAGATTAGTTGATATATTCCAATATCATAAACTAATAAAATCAATAGTTGATAACATTATCCAGATTAGTTGATATATTCCAATATCATAAACTAATAAAATCAATGGTTGATTATATTATCCAGATTAGTTGATATATTCCAATATCATGAACTAATAAAATCAACCCCTTTTCTGTGAAGTAGTTGATTTCATTATCCAGATTAGTTGATATATTTCAATATCATAAACTAATAAAATCAACACCTTTTTGTTTTGGATCCTATTATCTCATTATATATCTCTCTAGGACAGGTAACACTTAGTTTTAGAAACTAGATCTATATGATTGATCCTTCAAATTTTTGTAGTTTCTGAGTTTTTGGTTGATATTATAGGTTGGGTTAAAATCCACAACTATGCATCTATAGAAATCCTTCAAATTTATATTTCATATTTTCTTTGAAAGAAAACCACCGCAAACTCTGCTGAAACTTAATCATTAGTTCAATTGGCAAAAATTCGAGGAATTAAAAGTTATAAAAGAATTAAATTTAAAGAGGGTTTATTATATTTTTAACCTCTACATTTCTCTAATTTAAACTAAAACAGAAAAAACGGAATTAAGAATTGACTCTACGTGTCTCTCATCTAAGCTAGTTAAATCTATTATCTTTCTATACATCCGTATATATAAGACGCATTTATGCGTATATTTAAACACACTAAAGATTAAATACTGTTAATGAGGCGCAGTGAGAGCTGTTGAGACCACAATATTGAGGATAGTGCAACATACATAAATACATAATACCTTGAATACATACATCATTGACTTTATTATAAAATTAGTCAGCGTTTCCCAGGGTACTCATAGTTATTCCCATTGTTTACCCGCGCTTGGTTTTAAATTACGATTTTATGCCACCCAACTAAGACTCTCAAAACCAAACTAAGAACCTGAGATATATATGTAAAGTTGTCTGATTAACTGTCAATTAATTTTCTGGTTTTGACTGCATAAATAAATACCTAAATTCTCTCGACAAGGATTCTTAAAATGAAATGATAAGATAATGATAACGAAAATATTAACCTGAAGGGATTTGAATGATTTCTACCCTGGAAACCATGGATAAGACAATCCTCCCCCTCCTGCTCCAAGACATACCTCTGAACAGGAGAGTAATTAACACTATGTACATAAAGGGGGGGTTTCAAGAATACATCTTTTCCAAAAAAAAACATTTTCCCCAAAATATACTTTTTATGTTTATATTGATTTTGCTCATCAAAATAAAAAAATGTTTTGACCCGTTTACCCAGAAAAATAATAATATATTACGTGATGATCATTTTTGAAAAGTCTTGATAAAATCGGCACGTACATGTTTTCTAATGTTAAATTATATATATATATATATATATAAAACATGCAGCGCAGGCAAAAAGTTTGTCACAATTACAGAATATAAAAAATAACACCGCTGATTTAGACCAAAAGATGAAAGTTCCGAAATAAAATGTTTTTTTTTTTATTTGATGATCAAATTAATAACACAATAGCAAACGAAAATAACAAAAACATGAAAAAAGAAACTGAAAAAATGAAAGAATGTGTTATCTTCATAAATTCCGGAATTATTTGGAAGTTGAAAAAGTTGAAGTCCTTATGCCCCTCCCCCATGCAGGTTTTCTGGTTTAATAGTTAAAAAAAATATAATTAGTCCGGTCTGATAGGGAGAATAAAACTGAAAATATGTGACATTAAAACATAATTTTAACAAGTCGATTCCATAGCACATTATATATAACTAAATGAAGCATGCAGTACAGCCTCAAAACTAAATGAAATTAACACAGAACAACTAAAAAAAACAAAGTTTTGGTGCTTTACAATAATACAATAACATGACAAACTTAAAAGAAAAAGAAAGTTAGGTCAGAAGAAACAAATTTAACTAAATAATTTAACTAAAAACTAAGAAGAGACGTTAAATAAACCTATTTTTCTACAATATTAATTGTTAAAACGAAACATCCTGAAATCTAGGTTTATCTACGTCCTGTGATACTCGTGATACTGAATCTACAAGAACTCTAACCCTCAGATGATCCGACAAGACCAGGACTTCTCCCTGAAGGGATTTGCTCTCTCACTAGAGAACCCGATCATCAGATAATCCTCGCTCTCCTTCTCCAGGATAAACTTCTAATAAATTCCAAGGATGAGGAAACCTGACTTAGGATTATCGGTAACCGGGATACAAAACATATTGTATTATTTTCCATGGATAAGCCGAAAGTACTAAAATTATGAAAGATTACCTTGATATCCTCTATGGCCTGGGATACAGAGATTCTTTTTATACTTGCTTCCCTCCTCAACTGCTCAACAATTTCACGCTGTTGTTGAATACTAGACATTTTTAATCCTGGAATAAAAATATTGATACTATTTAAATAAAATTGAATAAAACTGATCTAGAAAACTGATTGCACAACATGTAAAATATATGTTTTGGTTTAAGATCGATACAACTCAGGTAGTCACAGAGCAGTTCAGTAGGGACTAAGGTCTACTAAGAGAAAGAGAGATGCGTAGTTTGCTAGGATATGCCCCGCTCTACTCCTTCTCTCAAACTTACTTTCCCGTCTCTCCCTACAACACAAACAAAGGGTGTTCTGGAAAACATGAAAATCTATTTTAAAGAAAATGTAAAATGTTTAATTTTGTCTAAGAATTTGNCATTTTTTATTCGCCTTCAGTCCATCTTCGAATCCTCTTTTACTTCCATCTTTATATCAGCTATCTTCTTCCATATTTATATCCCCTCTTCTTCAGTCTTTAAATCCTCTTGACGTCCAGATCTTTATATCCTCTTTTCTTAAATCTTTATTTCCTTTTTTCTTCCATCTTTAAATCCTCTCTACTTCCATCTTTATGTCCTCTCTACTTCCATGAATTTATATCCTCTCTACTCCATCTTTATATTCTCTCTTCCTCTACCTGTATAGATCCTCTCTTCTTCCATCTTTATAGTCTCTCTTCCATCTTTATATCCTCTCTTCTTCCAGATCTTTATGTCCTCTCTTCTTCCAGCTTTTTACATCCTCTCTTCTTCCATTTTTATATCCTCTCTTCTTCCATGTTTATACCCAGTTCTTTCACTTTCATTTAAATTTTACTTTCCTAATCCAACCTCTTCATTTTCTCCCATCTTTATATCCTAACTTCTTCCATCTTCTATCTTCACTTCTATCTTTACATCCTCTCTGCCTTTGTCTTCTTCTATCTTAAAAACAAATCTTTTCATTTATTTTTATATCTTCAAGACAAATCTCTTTCTATCCTGATCTTCCAGACAATTTTCTTCGAACACTGATCTTCTTGACAACTCGCTTCGAACTCTGATCTACTAAACAATTCTCTTCAAACTCTGATCTTCTAGGCAATTCTCTTCAAACTCTGATCTTCTAGACAATTCTCTTACAACCCTGATCTTCTTGACAATTCTCTCCATACATACCCTTTTCTTCTAGAAAATTTTCTTCAAACCCAGATTTTCCAGATGATTCTTTTCCAACCCTGATTTTCTTGACATTTCTCTTCAAATCCTGATCTTCCAGACAATTCTCTTCAAACCCTGATCTTCCAGACAATTCTCTTCAAGCCCTGATCTTCCAGAAAATTCTCTTCAAGCCCTGATCTTCTAGACATTTCTCTTCAAATCCTGATCTTCCAGCCAATTCTCTTCAAACCCTGATCTTCCAGACAATTCTCTTCAAACCCTGATCTTCCAGACAATTCTCTTCAAACGCCCTGATCTTCTAGACATTTCTCTTCAAATCCTGATCTTCCAGCCAATTCTCTTCAAACCCTGATCTTCCAGACAATTCTCTTCAAACCCTGATCTTCCAGACAATTCTCTTCAAACTCTGATCTTCCAGACATTTCTTTTCCAACCCTGATCTTCTTGACAATTCTCTCTAAACCCTAATCTTCTTGACAATTCTCTTCAAACCCCGATTTTCCAGACTTTTCTATTCAAACCCTAATATACAAAGACAATTCTCTCCAAACTCTGATCTTGTAGACAAATCTCTTTGAATCTTCTAAACAATAAATTCAAACCCTGTTCTTCTAGAAAATTCTCTTTAAACTGTGATCTTCTATACAATTGTATTCAAACCCTGATTATTACGACAATTCTCTTCAAACACCGATAATTCTATCAGTGTACTTCCAGAAACTTCTCTGCACTATTTTTCTGATTATCTACACAATTTTTTTCACTTTCTCATTCACATATTCATTTATATGCATCGAAATCAAGGGCACCATGGCTAATGGATGTGCAACAGAAATTATATGATTAATCACAAAACTCTTTATTTTACATCTCGTTCCAAATTTTTAGATTACAAATTTACTTGAAGAAATTTAATGCACATTGAAGAAATTATCATAGTACTAATGTCAATAAGAAGCATAACTATTAATAAGTGCTTAAAAAATAATGAACAAGTTATAAAAACGTATAAATTGACGAATTTATACAATATTATATATCCGGTTTGCACTTCAGTATATTGAAATTTATACGTTAGGCCAGGTTTAAGAATAAAGATAACAAATGCGTAGACTTCAAGGTCAGTGTTCTTAGTTAACCTTATCTTCGTGAATTAATTAAACTATTGAACTAGCTGAAATACCCTAGTTAGAGATTACTAGTTCTTAAAAGGAAGAGAATCATCAGCTAGAGCAAGAAGGTTAAGTTCTGATCCTCCCCCTGTATCCATCTCAAACTCTCTGACAAGGTTGTGCAGATTCATTCCCTGGAATAAAACAATGTTATAATTTAAAAATAACCCTTTCTTTTTAAAATTTGCTCTATTCTTTATTCTTTTATACCTGGAGAAAACCAGGATCTAGGTTCTGAAGATCGTCATCTACAGTCTCATGCTTAATGTCATTGAGAAGCTGATCAACATTCTGTCCGGAGTCCGTCTCACAGATTAGTCGATCCAAACTCATTTCATCTTCACGTCGCATTCTTCCTCTCTTGAGTTCCTCTTCAAGACTGATCTCTTCTCTCCGGATTTTGCGACCCTCCTCCTCCATCTCAGCGTACTCCTCCGCAATTCTCAGCAACTCCTCGTCCGTCGTGTCAGGGTTAGTTTTTGCATTTTCAATATAGGTTTTCATCTTCTCAATCATCCATTCAGGGACTGTAAACCCAACCAGTTCTCCTGATAAGGCAAAGTTATACATAAAAAGAACGAAAACCGTTCAAATCAAATCAAAGCTTTGTTTTGTTTTGTTGATAAATACTCTAGTTTATTATTTAACACAATGGCATTGTTTAGAATTGAAATGAAATTAAAACAAGAAGGGAGAATTGGATTGATCAAAATTAATCAAATTAAAGAAATACCGAAAATCCAAAACATATAGTAAGGTCGATAACAAATGAGCTTTAAAACAAACAATTAAGATGTCGACTGTTGATCTGAATGACGAATGGTAACTTCTCTAAGATTTGATTTTTAAATAAATAAGTAGAACCTGGCTGTTGTTTCGGATGGGACGAATACTCAGGAGACTCCGCCAGGTCCAGAATATCTCTAAGAATTGAATAATTTATGAAACCTTGAACTTGCAATAAAGAAAAAAAAACATCCTTAATATTGGCAAACCGACCTGAGCACCATAAGATAAGCCTTTCCTCCAGTAGTAGCCATTAGATTGGCCTTGGCTAACCATTCCTTATCCGTCTGGTCTCCAGAGTACTTGAATAGCTCAGGGTGCTTTATGTACAACCTACCCCGGGTCTGTCCGAATCCAAGAGCCTGAATATACATTTTTAAATGACGATGACATCTCATGAACAAGTCAATTAAATAATTATAACAAGTCGTGAGCTAATGTTTAAAACTACCTTATTAGCTCTAGACCCTAGAATGAAGAGCGTGTCTGTACTAAGCCTTTCCGGTTCCCATTTAGGCCCTTCCCTTCGCACCGGTCTGCCGGCTTTATTAACTAGGATTAAGTCTGTGTTGGGTCGTCCTAAACCTGAAAAACAAAACCTTTATAATTTTATTTTTTACACTTTTTGGTTTTTTAAAATTCATAATTCTTGGAAAAAACAAACCTGATTTGATTACCATACTCTTCTTAGTAACAGGAGAGTTACTGGTTCCAGAGAACGATCTTTTAAGAACTTGATTCGGACATTTCCCACTCCGCTGTCTTTTAGGATCATTCTTAGGAAGGTAGATCTCCTTTGCGGTTTCTAGAGCTGAGATGAGAATATCCTCCAGAGCACTGGAGTTTACGTTCTCTTCTCCGAGATTGAGTTTAAGATTACGAATTGCAGGCTTAAAATGAGTCTCAGATATCTCGGTTAGAACTTTCTGTATCCTGAAATTATTTTATCTTTAATTCTTTATCAAGACGGGTTCAAATATCTCAAGAAGAAATGTACGGTTTCATCTTGTAAGTACCTTAAGTTTATTTCAGGTTGGATAAGGCTTCGAAGGGTTTCCAGAGCAAATCCTGGATCTCGGACATAGTTTATCTGACACCGGGATATAGCAGTCTAAACGTACATTAATAAAATTAAAATAAATCAGAGAAAAGTCCATGTCAGGTCCGGCAAGATTGTTTGGGTCAAGTTTATGATAATTCAGCTGACTTGAATACTGCGTACTTTGAAATATACTCAATACAAGAATATTTTTCTAAAAACTATTACCGTAGTACTTGTCTGGTTTGATAAAAAAAAAAACTAATAAAAATCATATTTTATTTGATAAGATGTCATTTTGATGTTTACCATATCCAGTCTGATTTTAATGGGCTAGAGACGTTAGAGGTGACAGTAAAAAAATTTTAAAAATCTGTTTCAAGAATCTCTTCTGTTTCAAATCTAAGATGAAAAATGAAAACCAACCTGGGTGGTTGCAGATGTTGTATTAAGTGATTGATGTATTGTTGACCCATTGATGGCCTCGAATATCTTGAGTCTCTTTCCCTCGTACATGTTTGTTAAGAGAGAAGAGAAGTTTAGAGAACAGGGTTCACCTTCTCTAGGGATAAGCAACCTTGTTCTTCTCGGTTAGTCAGGATTGCTGAAATAACTTCAGTTAGAATATCTTTGTTAAAGATAATGGTCCGATCCTAATCCATTCCAGATTCCAAATCCCAAACCAACCCCATTCAACCCAGTTCAATTCAAACAAGTTTAACCCAACCTAGTCTCACTAACCTGCCAATCTGGTCCTGTTTGTGGGATGGGTGCCTGCTCCGTGAGAATTGATAACTCCACTACTCGAAGTCCTCGTTCTATAGGATCTGTGATCAATAGTCCACGCTTTGTCCACACCTAAGCACAGTCGTGGTTTATCTAATGTAATTTTTCATTTCCTCATATCCTCTGAACAACTATTTTTTTTTATAAAATAATAAAAGTTGAACCTGCTCGTTCTGCTCGTGAACAAATCTCGAAACCTTCTTCAAACACTTCTCGTAATGGGTCTCAGTGCAGAAGTATATGATGTAAGCAGTCAGACATGCCATACATCCTGAACAATAAACCATAAAATATCCAGTGTTTTAAAGAGAATATTAATTTTTTCTCCCATTTCTTCTAAAACATGTTGAATGTATAATAATCGTAGATCGAAATTGATTAATTGGGAGTAGTAGTTTAACTATTAAGGTAGGGATAGTTCAACTACTTCTCCTGCACTGGTTCAAGTTGAACTACAGAGGTGTAATTGATCTAGGCAAGATGATGAAACTACTTTTGCTGTGTTGGTTCAAGGTAAACTAGAAAAATTAGTTGATTTAGGCAGAGATAGTTGAACTACTTCTTCTGCGCTGGTTCAAGTTGAACTATAGGGATAATTGAACAAGTTATTGTCCTAACCTTCACAATACGTTGAACAGCTTGCTTTCTCTGCCTCTGCGTACAGATTGTTCAAGGTGTTGATCGTGTAGTCGAACAGCTGTCGGTCAATCTTACCTAGGAATATCAAAGGGATCGGTTAATCAACAATTAAAATAATCATTCTTACTTGTTGCAGAGATTATTTTCGATTGGGCAGACATTAATGGGAAAACGAAGAACAGAGCCAGTTAAAAGTAAACAAAGTTTATGATCAAAACCACCGAATATGAATAATATCATTTGATTTGTTTACAATGATGGATGGATAACAAAAAACTTTAACCTAGAAAAACATTCAAGAAGTTCTTCAGGTAAATTATGTTTCATCCCACCTTCATAATAAACAGAACAAATGATATCATTCATATGTTAGAAAAACAGATTTCGGTGGTTTTGGCCTTATGTAATAATACGCTTTGTTAGGGGCAAGTCAAAGTTTCAGGTATAATTGATAAGTATGTAAACCTACCTTCCAATTCGACCGGGAATCTAGATTGAAACTTAACCCCACACCCCTCGCTGTAGTCTCTCTGGAGGAACAGTTTTCTACAGTTCGCCTGATAATAAGAAAAAGTGTTAAAATATGGTTTGAAAAAAGTGAAGCTTGTAAATTATAAGAGGATTTCCATTAGATACGCAGGAACTGCTGTTCGTGAGATAGTTCCCAGATTAGTATTTATGTTGTAAAACAACACGGACCTGAGATATGGTTTGAGGAACTGGATCTGAAGAATTCCTGGACATATTGCATTATTTTTCTGAAATTTTCTTAATTAGACAAACTTCTAATCATTCTGAATCAGACAGACTTAAAAAGAAGTTTAGACAGACTTCTAATCATCCTGAGATAGAAAGACAGTTATTCATTCTGTGTATGAGAGAAATCTATTCAACAAAATTATAATCATCCTGAATAAGACAAACATCTAATCATTCTGATTTAGAGAGACTTCAAATCATCCTGAGTTAGCCAAACTTCTAATCATCCTGAGTTAGGCAGACTTTAAATCATCTAAAATTAGACAAACTTCTTATCATCCTAAGTTAGAGAGACTTCTAATCATCCTGAATTAGACAAACTTCTAATCATCCTGAGTTTGAGAGACAGTTATTCATTCTGTGTATGAGAGAAATATATTCATTCAGAATTAGACAAATTTCTAATCATCCTGAATTAAACAAAATTCTAATCATCCTGATTTAGACAAACTTCTAATCATTCTGAGTTTGAGAGACAGTTATTCATTCTGTGTATGAGAGAAATATATTCATTCAGAATTAGACAAATTTCTAATCATCCTGAATTAAACAAAATTCTAATCATCCTGATTTAGACAAACTTCTAATCATTCTGAGTTGGATACGATATATAAATTTGATATTTTTTAAATTTTCCTTAATGTGGCAAACTTTCAATTTACATTGTTTGGTCATAACAGCATCAAACTATTCTAGATTTACTAATAATCAGTGGCTAGAAAATTAGCTGTACTTAATCTATGACAATTTTATAGCTGTACTTGATTTTGTATTAGACAAACAAACAATTTCGATATCTGTGATTTAACAGATTGATAATCGATTAGACAAACTAATAACTATACTTGATTTATGTTTATACAAACTAATAACTATACTTGATTTATGTTTAGACAAAAAAATAACTATACTTGATTTATGTTTAGACAAACTAATAACTATACTTGATTTATGTTTAGACAAATTAATGACTACTTAATTAGTGATTAACAAACTCATAATTTTCTTGTGATTAGAAAAACAAATAACTATACTATATCTGAGATAGACAAAATAATGATTATACTTCATTTGTGAACAGACAAACTTATATCTATACTTCATTCGTGAATAGACAAACTAATAACTATACTTCATTTGAGAACAGACAAATAACTATACTTGATTTACGTTTAGAGAAACTAATAACTATATTTCATTTGTGAATAGACAAACTTATATCTATACTTCATTCGTGAATAGACAAACTAATAACTATACTTCATTTGAGAACAGACAAATAACTATACTTGATTTACGTTTAGAGAAACTAATAACTATATTTCATTTATGAATAGACAAACTAATAACTATACTTCATTTGTGAATGGACAAACTTATAACTATACTTCATTCGTGAATAGACAAACTAATAACTATACTTCATTCGTGAACAGACAAAAAACTATACTTGATTTACGTTTAGACAAACTAATAACCATACTTCATTCGTGAATAGACTAACTAATAACTATACTTCATTTGTGAATAGACAAACTAATAACTATACTTCATTCGTGAATAGACAAACTAATAACTAAACGTTTTGTGAGATTCAACAATCTTTGCTGCAATTCGAAAATAGGTAAAATATAAAAATAGATATTATAGAAATATAATGTTCATTTTTTTGATTTAACAAACTTTAAATTTTTAAATAATTATTTGCAGATGAAAAATATAGATACTGATCAGGGGTCACAAATTCTGAACAGGACTCAAGGGCCGGGCCTGGGACATCTTCGTTCACAAACTGTTGTATCTTTACCTAAAAACTAGTTCCTTGGCTGTCCTAATACGCCACAGAAAACTGCGAACAAACCATATCCGCTGTCTAAAATTCTAATCTATATTCTACGTCCTATATTTGTAATGTTTGTCAGTGATGAGTAAGAGTGTAAACTGTAAGGTGATTATTAGTGAACTCTCTCTAGTCTAGTTTCTCTCTATCTCACTCTCTTTCTCTCTCTCTCAAGTTTTATCAGCTATTTCTCTCTCTCTCTTCTTGGACTCCGGGAACTTGCAACTACAAATCTGAACTCTGTTAAAAAAATATATTTTGAAAGTATTCCACAGACTTCAAACAACTCATTCATCAGAATTCATTCGTTAAAAGTGAGATTTCTAAATATCTAGATAATTCTGGAAAAAGTAAACATTTAATTTCTTCATTTTGTAACGCTTTCAAAATATGGCTCTGGAGTCCAGACAGTGCATATTAAACCTTACAAAATTCGAGATTTCAGTCAGTTTCGCAAATATTGATAAAATTTCTTAATAAAATCTTAGTAGTTATTCATGTATATTTTACATTTATATTTCATTAATGCTTAAAATAATGCAACAATCATTTCTCACAGTTAATTCGTGACTAACTGAACATTTTGTTGCCAACGTCTACGTAAATGATTAGATAAACTGATACGCAAATTCATGTCATTAAATACATTAAATACAAATTTAACACTCATTTTTTGATAAATTTCTAAGATAGGCAGTACATGTACATCATAAAGCTATATTGTAAATAAGAGTAAGATTTAAAGAAAAGACCCATAAAATAGGGCCATTATTTAACTAGTGTACGAGCAAAATATTAGAAAATAATTTATAAAAAGGTTTTTACAAGTTTTTTCAATACATTTTTACAGTGATAATTAAAATGTTTGTGCCCTCAGAAATAATTAAAGAAGCTTTAATTTCTCATGGTTAATCATTTTTAATGCCTCCGTTCTTGATTGCTTTAACGCATCCCTTGAGCATGAGATAGAACCAGTAGAGGTTGAGTGAGTAGAAGCTAAATGTTCCAAGCTTACAGAGGATTGGAAGAGAGTAAATACCTTCCAGCAGTCCAAGGTTGGATTGAGAACAGTAGAGATAAACAACGTACGGGAGAAGGAATATCCTGGAGAAGAAGAAAGTAATCACCATGATAATACTGACCTGGAGATACAGTTTTGTACTCTTCAGCTCTAGTTTAGCCAGGAGAGATCTGAACCAGGGTTATTATGTTTTCACATTCAAAGTAAGTTTTTAAACTTAATTTACGCCAATTTTATAATATTTTAATGCAGTACCGGAATCCTGGGATTTTAAAGACGCATTATATTTTGTTCCCTCCCTCTGAGTTGACAGAAAAAAATAGATAATATTCAATGTTATAAAGGGAAGAATAATGGCCCAACTTAATTATCTCATAAATTAAAAATAAAAATCCTTTCCTTAATGCGACAAAGATGCTTGATAGCTCCATAAGGAGAGAGAACCCCACAATGCCGTCCCCCCGAACCCTAGAGGTGTAGAGGATACCCAGAGACAGGAACACTAAGATCCCAATATGATGAAATACTATTCCTGGCCACCACTGTATAAAGTTTATAATGTTGGTGATTAGTCCCCTAGAGGTATCCTTTCTCTCCATAGAGACAATTACATAGAGACAGATTAGATCATAAAACCAGTATCCGACACTAAACCATGCATAGGGTTTAAGGAAACTGAGCTGAGTGTGTAATATATCTGATCTGGTGTATAGTACAGCAGAGAACCCAACCAGAGTTGCCAGGGTAGCCTGGAGAAAAGATACAGACCAGTTAGCTGCACTCCATAAACTCTAGACAACCATTTTCATTTCTTCTTTCATAACCCAGGACTTATTTTTTATTTTATACTTTAATTACCTATTCTTACTTTAGTTCTCAAGTTCCTGCTGTAAACCTTCTTACCCTCCCCCTCACCCGCCTTATTAATTTCATCAGAGGTGCTGAGAATATGAACAAATTATTCAATATATACAATTATAAGTAATTAAACACATAAATCGAAATTAGGATAGAAAAAGGAAGAAAGTATGAATTGAGAACAGGACCAGGAGGACTATAGTACAATTTCGATAAAAACCGTTTTTCAATATTCAGCCTAAGCAGACTCAGAAGAAATGATATGGTTCCTGATTGTTGGTAATTGATGTAAATTTATTCTTAAGCACATGTTTCGATATGAAGAGAAGAGCGGAATGAAGAAGAATAGAAGATCCAAATATAACTATTCCTGTTTCTGTCTCCATCTTTAAGTGTTTTTAATCCTGTCACAGTTTTAAAAGAAGTTTCCTTGGGTAGCTAGAAACGTATTTGGTCTAAAGAATAAAAAGACGGGGGTGCAATAACTTCGGTATTATCCAAGGGCTGCCCGGAGCTTGGTTTCAACAAATTCTTCATCCACCCTCGACGCACAAACAACCTGAGACGAGAAGATGATAAGAATTTTAAATGGGTTGTAACATTCTGAACGAACCTTATTTCTGGCCTTGTGTCCAGTTTCAAGAGAAACTTGAGATTTCTTTAATCCAAGGATCTCCACCATAAACTTGATTAGGAGCAGGTTTGCTTCTCCTTCCACGGGAGGAGCTGAGACGGATATACCAACAGATTCCTGGAATTAGTTCTATGTAGAACAAAATACTAGAGCAAATAAGTCTGAGGTTTGGGTAACTATTATGTAGTTAACAATTGTTTATTGTTTTATATCCCCAGGATGATAATATAAATTAAAATCTATAAATCAAATAATTCAAGTTTAAAATCTCCGTCTGACAATGGTTAACCATTTTCTATCTAGACTCTTAAAGGTTCGGACATTCACAATTCACATTCTTACGCCCTTCAAGTTCAAAATTTAGCGATAAGCTGTAACTAAGTTTGGCAATGAAGTGGTCAAAAAGGCACATTACTTGGCATAAAAAAAGATTGAAACCTAACAAACCCTGAATGAACCAAGAATCTAATGATCTCCCTAGATAAATGAAGAGATAAAGCCAAGAGTAAATGTATCAGAGAGAGGGAAGATACCTGGCTGTAGTCTGTCACTTGAGTAAACTTAGCTCCAGGTTTAAGATGAACTGAGATAAGAACGTCTTCACCTCGTGTTCGTAAAGGAGATGGAGAAGGTTGTGCTGTAGCTGTAACATTAGACTCTTTCTTCTAAAACAAGCAATACAATAATTAACAGATATTTATCAGATCATTGTCCGACTTTAATAAATTAAGTCGCGTCTCAAATCCCCCCAAAACCAATTTCAATTGAGCACCGGGTTATATCTTGAAAAATTTTAAACAATTTAAAGTGGAACCAACCATATTTGAGCCGCGGCTCAAAAAATTTGGCCTCAGTACTAAGATTGTTATTATTGATAAAACAACCATTATAAAGAGTTTAAAAAAAATTACCGCGAATTTCTTACCCATAGCCTTGGGTAAAGTTTTATAAAATCTTCTAATCATAAAATGCGCCCATTCTGTTTCTGTAACATAAGAATTGAAAGAACTAAAAGAAAAGTTGTAAATTGTAAAATCTAACATAAAACTTGGGAATGGTTTATTTGGCGATCATTGACTAGAACTTCCTTGCTCCTTGAGTTTACGTTCTCTGATCATTACATCGTATTCATCATCTTCCTCTTTCCCTTCCTCAACTAGAACAAATAGGGGTAAAACAACATGAATTAAAAATAGGACTCCCGGCCCTTTAAAATATTAAAATATATATATATGAAAGCAACCCCCCCCCCCACCCGTAAACAGGTACCTCTGCTCATAGCATAGGGGAAATGAAAGGGAATGAAACTTTTGTATATCTTTTTTTTAAAAGAGAGGGTTACAGGTTTGCTATACTTTCAGCCAGCTCAGAGAAAACAGCTGTTTCTCCGCCATCCCAGTTATTTATTTGAGAGGTATGAGCAAAAAACTAACCTTTGACTTGATTAACTTGACTGGATGCTATGGTGTAAGCTGCCGGCATCTGTGCCGCAACTTTAGTTTTAATATTTCTAATCCTTCGGAATATATTATCCAAGTCCTTCTTCATCTCCTGAACCGTCTGGGTGTGCTTCTTGAAATCATTCTGAGCCTTCTCCAGCCTCGTGGCGGAGAGACTGTTTACGTTGGTCAGCATCTCGTTTGTTTTCTCGAATCTCTGCAACATTTTCTTCTGAGCTCGGACAATCAGTTCAACATCCTTCTGGTTTATCACTCCAGCTAAACCCTAGATAGTTTTAAAAAATTTAAATCTATTCTTAAAAAAGCATAAAATCTAAGTTTAACATGATGCAAAGTTTAACCTGTACTAAAACCTCACTAGCTGTATAGTTTTGATAAATACTACATCCCATCCAGCTTGCCGGAACCTCGCTTTCAGGAGTATCTCCCATTTTCAGGAATAACAATCCAACTCTGCTCTATCTTAGCATTCTAAATTTCTGAAATAGATTGGTCCTTTTCATCTGAATGAATTTTTATTTGTCGCTTGTATGAATTTACTGCAATTTCAAAATGAATGTAAATAAATCTACTTGATTATAAATATATTATTGCGGTGATCAGTGAAATCATTAAGGGGTTGGTGGGCCACCTCCAGAACCCATTGCAAAGATTCCTGAAATAAAATGTCTTTAGTTATTTAAATAGCACAGCTGAAATAATTTTCCTGTCCGGTTCAGAGCGGTATACTTTAAAATGAATGAGATATCATCCATTTATCTAACTTTAAAACGTGATAATTTTTAATTGTGGTTTCTCTCATTTAAAGGGTATCGTTGTGAATTGGGCAATGGGCATGTCCCTCTTTGAACGGATGGTTGCTTAAAATAACGTTAACACTCAATTTAAAACACATTTACCTAGATATTGAGCTGTTATGAGGTTAAGCATGAGCAGATAAACAACAAAGTCCGTCATATAATCATATCGGAGGACGGAATAGAAATCAGGTCCTCGGAGAGAGATACCAAGACGACCCTTCCATCGTTTCCTAAATATCCAGGCCCAGGCCGCTACGGAGTTCACCTAGTTTATCAAAATTACGATAATAATTTGATTGAAACATTTTAGATTTTTTTAAAGACTAAAACCTGAGTAATCTCGACGAGTGTCCAGTCAGCCATTTTATCTTCACGTTCAAATTTATAGTTTCCGATTAGAATCTCATTCTCCTGGAAGGTCTTGTACGGATCCATTTCTTTCAGGACTTTATCACTCGCCTTCAGAGTTTCAGTAATTTCACCAACTTTAAGCTTTCCTTCCTGAAGCAATCATGTTAAACATTTGAAGATTCCTAAACTAAAATTATTGTTTGCCTGAGATTCTTTCTTCAGCTCCTCCATGGTTTCATTCATCTTGATCCTCATTTCCTTAATCCTCTCCTTTATACCGAGAAGACCAGGCAGAGAGAAGGTTACTGGAGATAAGATTTAATTATCTAATCAAGACGAAAAATAACAAATTTCCTTCCAGCTCTGTTGAGTCCTTCTCTAAGGAAGATTACACAATTGCGGGTATAAAACTCTATTCATGATCGGTTTAATTCTTGCCTCAATGTTATTTAACAGGTTAAGATAAGATATTTATAAATAAGATCTGGACCAAAATGTGTCTTCCTTTAATTTGGCACTTATCCAGGGAGTAAGGAATAGAAGGGAGATATAACTGACGCGGTTCGCCCTACCATATGATTATACATGCTTTGCAGACGAGTACTCCATTTGTATAAGAAGTATTTGTCTGATGTACATTTACTGCGTATACAATTCTGAACATTTCATATACAAATGAAGTACTCGTCTGCAAAGCATGTATAATCATATGGTAGGGCGAACCGCGTCAGTTATATCTCCCTTCTATTCCTTACTCCCTGCATTTATCCTACCGAATATTTAATTTATTTGATATGATTTTTTCCCTATGAAGAGCAAATGGAGAAACAGTGAAATACTATTTTGTGGATTAGATAAATAATCACCTAGTGTAACCGTTTGCCCGGCTTCATTAGATCGAAAAACTGGAATAAAACTGAAAAATATATCCTCAGGGTTAATCCTCAGATATCGTTTCTCTTCCTGGGTTAGACCAGCGAGGTTCTTCTTTAATCCTGCAATACACTCTGGAGATACTAATCCTCCCAGTTTATCATATTCTTCCTCTTCCAAAAATTCAGAAACTACACCAATAGCCTGAAAAGTAATCTATTAGAACTTTTGGGTCAAAAAAGAATATTTTATTTAAGGACAAATGTTAATAAAAATTACTTGTTTAGCGCCCTCTGTCATGGATTCTACATCTAGCCCATATTCTTCAGGAAAAGGTCTGAACAAAAATCAACATTTAGAAAACCGCTGTGTAATATTTCCATGTAGACCAATTCAAAATATTTATGGGATTTTTTGTTTGTTTATTTTAAAGGTTTATCACACAGAAGTCAGAAATGATGTGTTTTGAATCTCGGGAGCAAGCGCTTCAGCAGATCTATGGATTAATCTAATTCTTCTTCGACATCCCGTAATTGTCATACCCTGGAGGGATAACTTTAATTGATGGATCAAGCATTCTAGCATTCAAGATTTACAATATCAACACAAAAGTTTCGATCTCCTGATGTTATAAAAAGTAAGAAAAAAAAATAAAACTAAATTGGGTAAATTTCCAACCCATAATGTCAGATTTCTGGTTCAAAAATTTATCTCCATCTTCTGCAGACTTAAGGATAACTTTTATTCTTCATGGTTCCCGGCAGGGATAACAAAAGAAGCATTTCTCTTTAGTTTAAAAATTGCTACAGTGGATATCGAGATAAAGCACACAAAAGTTCTAAACCCTAGTTCTATCCAACCTGTTAGGTTTTCCGTAAATAATCATTGACGCAATTCTCTCGTTCTGTAGTTTTGTTATTGATTTCTTTATATCTCCTGTACTGCTGTAGCTAGGAGCAAAACTACTCTTCCTAATAAACAACTGAATTAGTACCCTGCAGTACTTAGGATTCATTTAAATTTGGTGCGGATCCTGGATCCTCCTGAAAAAAAAACTGGATCCGGATACAGTTTCTTTGAAAACTATAAAAAATTGAATTTGTAAACACTTGAATAGGAAACTTATACTTTGCCAAGATTAGAAAACCAAAACCAGATTAAAGAAATACTTTTTGGAAAACTAAGATAACTAGGTTTTTAATTCCCATGAGCAGCATTCATCATATCATGGTCATTTGCTAGCTGGATTTTAGCGTGGAAAATTAAACCAAGAAGGTTGAGCAAAAATATAAGGGTATAGAGAAGAAATACTGATTTGCTTACTGTTATTTTTGCGATTTTAGCGCCAAGCTTGGTAAACGGTAATGTGAACACCATGGAACTTGCATAGCACAGCACGTTTTGTATTGAAAAGCTTTTATTCTTTCGTACTGTATAGAAACTAGGTTTCTGAAATAAAATGCAAGAAAAAGGACCCCCTCCAGAATCAGAGATTAAATATCAAGACCAAAATTTGATAATTTTGTCGGCATAAGAAGTCCAAAAACCTTACGAATACAAAGGCTACAAAATCACCACATTGATAAGAGATATAGAATGTCTTTAAGATTGTGTATGAATTTCCGATCTCGTGAAAAGCGTTAAAAAAAACATATATATATATAATTCCAAATATGAAGATAGTTTTCACAAACCTGTGTATTAACGGATTTATCACGAATTGTCGAGGTTTTAATCTCGAGAGAGAACATATTCGTGAGGATATCATCTGGAAACAAAATATTTAACAAAGATAAAAAAAATGATTTATTTAACAAAAGTTAACAAAAAAAAAGTAGAAAAAACGAACAAAAATATTTCAAATTAAAAATCAAATAATAATTGAAAAAATTATAAGTTAACGTAACAAAGAATCAAATGAAAACCTCAAAAGAAGGGAAAATGTAAACGAAATAAGGAAAAAACTTTGTGCTCAATTTTATAAATAAATATGTAAGCTCAGAATACTGATTTAATTTGAAGGTACCTAAACCAAGTTAATAGGACCAAACCTATTGGTTTTCGACTAAAACATTTTCCAATAAAATTGAGTTCTGTCGACGTTGACGGGACGGAGTTATAGAAGATATTTCCATGTCCAAATACGCAACTATGGTTCAATGGCTACAACAACAGTAGATATTTGGCGTTTGGGTGGTTTATAATAAAAAGCGCAAAGGATACATACTACATATAAACTTTTAAATACATATAAAATATCCTTCAGGTAGGTGTACAAAGCTTAAAGAGGGTTAGTTTACATAAAATTAATTCGGCTCTTTAAAAGACTGTGGAATTTTAGGTGCCCGCTTCACAACGATAACATTGAAACCTTACACTGATCAATTGTGTAGAAGAATAAGTGTTCAATTCTGTTCATTTCGTGTTTGTTTCTAAAGTTAGAAATGCGCAAGTTGCTTTAGTAGAAAACCCATATATGAAAATTATCAGTTTTTTAACACAGCATGTTTGGGTTATCTAATTCATAGTGGATACTTGACAAGCTTTCAAGGGTACCGTTGTGAATGAGACGTTTACATTCTCTTAAAGAAAAAAAAGACTACAAAGGTCCAAAATAACTATATAACAAAAAAGTTTATAGATGTCGCTGTTCTCAGAGGCCTCTGTATGTAGGCCTACCCAGCTAGGATAACGCCCTGGTTCAGATTGGTCTGAATCTCAACCGAGCAAGTTAGATTCTTAAGCTCCAGGTCTAGAACTAGCAGGATCAAATATTTTCCTTTCTCCTCCTCACTCAGCTTACCCTTAGCAGATTCAACCAACTTAAGCTAAAATAAAAATTGGATTATTTTAAATTTGTCTTAAGTTGTCCTTCCTAAACTCTCATTCTAATTATCTAAACTCTTCAACACCATTCTTTTAATTATCATTATGTGAAGATACTTAAAGCCATTTAAGGATTTATTTCATTTTTGACGTGGATTCGGATCCTAGATCCATCATAATCCAGATCATGAAACCTAATATAATAGTCTTGCTCAAATTTTGACTTTTCAAATTAGTATTTTTTTCGTAAATTTTTATCTGAGTCTAGATTTAACAATCAGCGATCAGGAATATTTTAAATAGAAATATTCAATGTCGATACCTCGTGTTGCAACGCAGCGAGGACAGAGTAGGAGAGAAGGTTTTTATTCTCTGCTCGTAGTTTCTCTAGGTGAGAACCTACTTCAGAGAGTTTACTAATCTTGTGGGATCTGAGCTCTACTATCTTTAAGGCTCCTGTCTCATCGTATAAACTACGAGTCTAAATGAATAAAATAATATTAAAATCCAAGAATAAAATTTACAGTTTAAAAAGCAAAAGTTAAATATGCCAGATGAAAGATCTTATTACCTTAAACTTGTGAATTTTGACATCGTTGAGCAAGGTTTGAGGATTTATCTCCGGGAACCGTTTATCCGTGAACATAAAACTTATCTTCTTTCTGATATTCTTCTCTAGAGTAGGATGGACACAGGTTTGAAGAGAGAATACAACCGGGTAGTGATCCGAAACCTGGACAGATTAAAGAGTTAGAAAAGTATTGAGGGGGAGGGGGGTTAAATACAACCTTGTTTAGTGTATCCTGGTCAATACCAAGGGCTTGATCGAATCTGTAAACTTGGGCGGAGTTAGGAACTACGGCTTTTAAAAGCTCCTCTCCCCATACTACAATCCTAAACAGGAATATCTTTCAGTATCTAAAGAAACATGTTTAAATAATGGAAGGATAATATTACCGCTCCTGCAGTCGAAACTAGAAATATGGTAAAACCGAGATAATAATAAAATCTCAACCTGTCATAAGCTGCGAGAGTGTTGGTTGTAGTTGTATCCATATGATCAGGAATAAGCCAGTTAAACTCATCTCCTCTCAATCTGTTTGTCTCCCAGTCCTGGCTCCGTATATAGGTTCCTCCAGCGTTAAAATCTCCAAGAAGAATAACGTTCTTTGCACCAAGAGTTCCTGTCACCTAAACGAAGGATCTCAATTCATAAATGTTATCAAACAAATCCAAGTTTAATACACACTGCACAGCTATTTCAAAACTATCTCGAAGACACAAATGCAATACATCATAACTTTTTAAAAAGGGAAATAACCTACAAATAATTTTAAGGGATGTCTTCTAACTAAACTTCTTTCAATCCTACAGAACCACAATTTTGCAATGCATATTTTTTCGTCCGACCACAAATGACGTCACAATTAACTATTATTTCGTCCGACCACGCCTTTTTAAAGGCTCTTATAAATATACAGTCGACATAAAACCGTTTATGGGCATTTGTATTTAATAATCCCTCAAGCGAATCACAACAAATTGTTATGTTTCTTACGAAAAAAAATTTAATTTTTAGTAGTAGGTTGTACAAATCCCAGCGACCATCACCTTGAGACCCCGCAGATTAACGTTTTCCGAGCAGAAGTAGTTTTCTATTTCCGCTAGTCTACATTGTTATTTAAATATTTCTTACGTGTTTGTGAACTTCGTAGAGCTGATCTATTTCCTTGTTTGCGGATTTAGGTTGAGTATGTATACAGATCATTGTGAGTTCACTTGCTCCCGGTATAACAGTATTACACTTCATTCTCACTACTCAACCATAATATATTCAAAATATTCGGGACATTTCAACTAAATAAAGATTTGAACAGACAATGGTATATGGCTTAAAATCGACCCTAGAGCCTAATGTAAAACGGCATGATATATTGACACTAGGTTTAATCTGAATGATAATAATAATAATAAAATGATAATTACGTCAATTTCAATAACAAAATGTTATGAGACGGGTCAGCTTTATGCTGTTGAGTGAATATATTTCCTATTAATGGTTCCCGGATAAAAACATCTCCGGGATCTGAATACACTGAACTATCCTGGAAAAAGAACTAAACTGTGTTATGAGAAGGGTCAGCTTTATGCTGTTGAGTGAATATATTTCCTATTAATGGTTCCCGGATAAAAATATCTCCGGGATCTGCATACACTGAACTATCCTGGAAAAAGAACTAAACTGTGCACCCCATTTAACAGCAAAAATAGAACATATTCTTTTCAAAATCCAGATAAAAATTATAAATAAAAACGTTTAAAATGAGAAGAATCCAAAATAAAAATTTGTTTAAAATAATAATTTGATTAATCAAAAAGGTAAATAACATAAATATTTATGAAATGGTGTCGCAATTATTAAATTTCTATTTTCCATATCAGCAAATATAAATAGCATTAAAAAATGGATATTTGAAAACATGTTTACTATGTGACAAATCAGGTCTTACCAGAATTTGAACCTTGGCTTTCCTGAAGTAAACTGCATACTGCTCCTTCTGGTTTGTTCTACCAACTCGGTCCGAAACCAGAACATCATACTCTCCTATAATATTATTATTATGATAACTATTCAACACATCATCTAGTCTACAATCAAAACTTGATATACAGTCGTCGTCGTATATATTAATACTAAGAAGATGACTTTTAATTTCAATTTAGAATATCTACCAAACTTTCCAAAAACATGGATACATATAAACGTGAAAACAACGCGAAGATGTCAATTAACAGCCTCTCTTTGTTTCCATTTAAAATAACTTAAAAAAGCTTGTCAGAAATAAAAACTTAAATAGAAAAGTCGTCTTCATTGTATTGATATAAACGCCGACGACTGTATCAAGGCCCAGCTCCATTCACTCACTCTTTTCTGGTTAGATTGCAGTGACTCAGATCTCACGATAAATCAAAGATTCAGTATGTATGTAAGTTGGAATGGCAAATATGCTGTTTAATTCATAAGCGAGCAAATAAAATCACAAAAATCGTCCGTTGCTATTAAGAACATGCTTTTATTTTTTTGGGGTGGAGCGCAACATTGGGTAAGGCTTATTTTTGCCGAATTTTAGGGTAAAGTACGAAAAAATATTTTTAAATTGTCTATGTTGATTTTTGAGGGGGGGGCAAATACCTTGGTCTTTACTGGCATCGTTAACCGCCTGAAGGAGTGCTTTCACAGCCTTCCCGGATACATCCACTACCTCCTGGATCAACATAACGTCGAAACTAGTAACAAGACTCACCAGAATGTCAACAATCTTTGGGTCAGACATCTTGGAAACTCCAAACCTTAAAGAAAAAGACTAAATGAACAGAATTAAATTTCTTAAAAATCTACTAAACAATGCCATACATTAAAATTGCGAGTTAGTTTATATACTCCTATAAGTTAACTTAAAAAATTATACCTTTTCACATTAAACGCTGCGATAGAAAAAGGGTTTTCTACGACATGTCTTCCGTCTCCTGAGTATCTAGACAACCCGGAGCTCTTTCTTCTCCGTCCTTGGTGTTTAACTTGTCGTTCATCATCTCCTCCCTCTCCAACCACTCGTTTCCTATCAGTTTCTCCCGAACTGATCCTTCTCCTGTGTTCATCTCTGGTTTTTCTTCTCTGTTTCTCCTGGAAAGATTGATCCTGATCTGATTTCTCCGCTGAATCGTTTTCATTCTCGTCTCGGTGTCTGCATACAGACAAACATTTCCCCATCCTACAACAAATAAATTCAAGTTAAACTTCTTCATGACCCGGAGAAGAGTGTACAATGTTACCTTGTATCAGGAGACTGTAGTAAAGTAAACTAGATATGGAGTTGGAGAAGTTTCAACTGAGTTTGTTTGACTCAGTTTCTTATCTCTCGGTTCACACATTCTCTCTGAAAATCAACATTCAAGTTGGTGGATAATAAAAAGGTCCTTTAATCCGTTTTAATTAGTTGTATAAATGAAGAGAATATTATATTCGGGACTATATATTCCTGCACGAGAATTCAACGATATTTCACCAATTTAGATAAAATGCAAGGTTAGTGAAGAAGCCGAATATGTTCAAATTAAAATACAGTAGACAAAATATAATACATTCATACGGAGCACACGCATATATTTAGATATACATACTCCGAACCAAGATCTCGTTTTTTCGAAGTACTGTCCCGTCCCAGCTCTACACATTCAACGCAATGTTATCAAAACAAAAAATTTAATTATCCGCCCATCATTTAATGATGCGAAGCATGTAGGTCACAAGTTGGTCCGTTCAAAATGTGCGTTTCCTCAATAGTGCATACTTGATGGTGTGTTTTCTAATGTGCGTTCTCCGTGTTTGTCCTCTGTCAATCCTCCATGTTAGTCCTCAATGTGCGTTCTTAATATGCGTGTTTGTCCTCAATTTGCGTCCTCGTCATAAGTGCAACATAAGTATTGTGTCTGAATAAATGTTAATAAATATTTCCAGCTAATAAGGACAAGTTGAATCCACTAATTCTAGTTTTAAACATTAAAGCGACCATAAAAAATATTCTATAATTGCGTCAAGTTTCCTGAAGATTATGTAGAGAGTTTTGCAATGGCAGGGTTTGGGAGAGGTTGGCCTGGAAAATATTTATCATTAATATAATTCGAGAACTCTGTATCCTCAGCAATCAGCATGCATACGATGATAAATACAGATGACAGATCACATACTACAAGTTTAAGACTAACTGGAACTGAACTGAGAAAGAAACGTTGCTAAAAATGTTAACAAATGCACTGTTCCTTCTATAAAACCAACTAAATTACTTCAACATTACAAATTTCTTTAATTTCTTACTCTACCCCCAATGTAACCAGTTTGAGAATACGAGTATCCTGATAATCTTTAAATAAAGCCAGGTTGGGACTACTAGAGTATCCTGATATACCTGGAACTACCAACTAGGTTGGGACTACTAAAGTATCCTGATATAGATGAAACTACAACTAGATTGGGACTACTAGAGTATCCTGATAAACCTGGAACTACAACTATACCTGACACTATTACCTGACACTATTAAAAGGATGTGGACTACTCAAGTATTCTGGCAAGATTATCCTTTTATATCTGGAATCTGTATCTAGAATCTAGAGCTAGAGTTGTATTACAAAAATCCTAGTATACCTGGAACCACTGCCGGAGGTTGGTGTGGATGATCCGAAGATAGATGAAGAGTGTGAGAATGGTCGTGAAGGGGCTGGATAATTGAAGTTTTCCGAGCTAAAATATGAATAAGCATATTTCTTGTCAATACTCAAATGAACGCAAATCGTGTCCAGTTCTCTTTTGGGAATAACTCAGTTCTACCAAAACAGCTGCGAAAGGACAGGACCGAAGTTTAAAAAACTCAAGTCGTTTTCGTTAACTTTGGTTGTGACTTGAGTTCCAAAAAACGAGTTTTTATTTTTTATTTTCACGGTTTTCAGGCCCGGAACTTTATATAGAGCCCCCTCCCCCTCACAAAATGATGTTTGCCCCTGGATTATTTTCTTTGATTAATGATCAGTATACCGGTTCGACGCATCAAAACTGACGGCTCCTAGTGTATAAGCTATTCCTGTCAAAAATCATCTCTAGATCTCATTTTATGGGTTTTCCTTAAAGCAAATCAGAATCTTTAATGTTAATTTTTTTAATGTTGTCTTAAGAACTTAGAACCCATTATCCTTCTTCCATCTTGTTATTTGTTTTATACGGCTAAACTCATCTTTTAAGTACCTGGGACAGTATCAGGAGTTGGATGCGCTTCACCAGTAGGTGGCTGCGCTAATACAGGCATTGCCATACGTCCTGGGCCCACACGACCTTTCTGCTTTGCCATCTGGTAATCACCGCTGTCAAAGTACTTTTGCCCCTTTGCCAGTCGCTTCTGAAGGAAAGCTGAGTGTCCTCCTCCACCGCCACCACTACCTACCAGAGGTCTACTGGGAACTCCTAAGAGTATATTATATTAATAAAAACAATTCATGCAAAAAGCTGTCAAAACAACAGGAAAATCTGAATAGAAAACATTCTGCAAAAAATTAACAAACCAAACTCTGAAAACAAGCTGAAAAGCGCGAAAGCACGTATTTGGCAGCTTCAATATCTACACTGGGTAGTTTCCTAGAGAACGATCTAACTTGGGGAACCCTACCTGGGAATTTAGATTTGAGCTTCTGTTCCTCGAGCTTCTCTATCTCCGCCTTCTGCTCCGGAGTGGGAGGAGTAATGATCTCGTCTCCCTCACTCTCCTCGACAATAATCTTCTGATCCTCCATGTTTTAACTGAAAAATGGAACTTTGATTTACAAGAACATTTACAGGGACCTTGCAGACATTATTTTACGGGACAACTGAGAAGTTTCCAGAAAACTGACTGAGGCCTGACAAGTTCTAAGGCATTGGGGCAAAGGTGTTAAGTGACACGACGGACAAGGTTTCACGAAACTGATTGGAACAGTTTGAAGATAAGAGGCCAGCCGGACCAGAATAAAACTGATATTCAAAATTTCAAACGGAACAGTCCACTACATTTTGAAAGTGAAAAAGCGCAATGCAGCGAACTCAAGGATTGGGAAAATGGTAGGTTTGGTTTGTGTCTCTCCTTTCTGCTCCGGGAACTTACAACACCTAAGAACTCATCAAGGTACAAAAGGATCCTAAGGACAACCAGAAAATTTAAGAAGAATGAATCATTTTGAAAAATTGAATAAGCTGCTAATATAAGAATTTTCTTACGGAAAATACTAGTTCTTTCGAGCATTGTGGTTTTATTTTGACGTTAAAGCTTGGAGATAATTTAATATGATTTGGGACGCTCAGTATTTTACTTCTGAACATTGTACTGAATATAAATCATGGATGTCGAATACGTACACGGAAAAAATCCAGGTATAATTTCCTTTCATTTTCAGTTTTTACACGATTACAACTAATGCGATTTTTAGGCGACGGCATAATTTTACATAAAATGTTGACAATAAATTAATACATTTTTACCCATTATTCTATAGATGCACAAATTATCTCAACTCTTTCCTATAACCCGAAAGGGAAGTAATTTGTGACAACTTACAAAAAAATCCATCTTCTTTCACTTCTGCTGAATAATTCGTTAAACAAAGTTTACTCAAAATGGCCAATATACATCTTCAGTTGTAAGCACAGAACAGTTCTGTGGTCTTGAGTTTTTTCTCCAATCAACTTAACTTTCCTTAAAATCCGTTGTAAAAAACAATCTATAGCAAAACTTAATCTAAATAACAATTTTCTCCAAACCAGTGCTAAGGATACAGATCTATTAGATCCTCAGTGTTCGGATAAAAAAAAATATCAACAAATATGTTACAGAACAAAAATCTGTCAATCTAAGAAGAAATGGGTAATGAAAATTTATAAAATTTCAGATTAATTTTTTCACGGGATTAGATCTAATCATAAGCACTGCCAAACCAAAAAATTAAGGCAAGTAAATAACTATAACTTGGAACCATATAATTTAATTCAAACATTCAAGTGTTTTCAATTTTTAACATTATAAAACTCTTGGATACAGCACATATGCATTAAGCCAGGTAAAATATAAAACTACAGAGATGGAAATTACAGTTCATATAGACAATATGGTACAGCGTGTACTCAGGAATGATGCAGCGTGCAGTGCTGTCTGGTACAAAGTACACTACTGTCTGATACAGCGTGTACTGCTCTCCTGTAAACGTGTACTGGTGTTTAGTACATCGTGTACGTTTGTTGATAATTTTGATTGTATATAAAAAAGAGTGATAAACAGGAACGTATTACAAATAACGGAAAAAACAGTGCAAGTTTTCAACTATCCGAGACCGCTAAATGAAATTGTTGAATGACAGCTGGCACTGACATCTCTGTACTCGTATATCCTCTGTGAGTGAAGCGATGAGATTATGTTTAAAGCAGGTCAAAATCTAGCGCAACTCTATTCTTCATCTTGCAGACATGCCTCTTAAACGCAGATACATCCTCTCCGCATAGATCAAGGAACCTAAATATATTGACTTAAATATTTAAAAATTGTGGGAGCCCGTTCTACATTTAAATCACATGATTTAAATCGTATTCGTATATATATATAAATATAATATTCGTATTACGAATAAATCTAAAATTTAAAATATAATATTTTTACTTATTTATTTTTACAACCTCTTATTTTTCCTTTTTAAATAAATTGTAAAAATTTAACAAAAAAATATAAAAATATATTTAAGACAGAAGAAATCAAATAAAATCATCATTTACCGATTAATAAAATCGGTTTGAACCTCTCTGGTTGAAATGCAATCGGAACTTTAGTGTGGATATTGTTAATCTTGATCTCGAAATCTAATGTGGGCACCCTTAAATTTGAGGATACATGCTTGAAAATTCAATTAAAGTTATCAATATTTGAAGTGAAGGAACTGGGCTAACTATGAAAGGAATGATCGGAAGTGATAATGTGAAAAATTACCAGTTTGAAGCTCTCTTCAGACTAGGAAGGTTATCTAGAAGAAATAATCCCATTGCTAGGCTTCTAATCTTTAGATTTTTTATATGAAGCTCCTCAAGATGTATCATCTTGTTAACCTGAAAATATATAAACGTTAAAACTTAGTTTTTTTCAAATATATACTCAGAGCTTGATCCGGAAAACATGCAAACAATTTCAAAAACGGTAAAAAAGCGTTAATTCGGTTGAATTTAAAAAAAAATTTTAAATCAATTCTCTTTTTCAAAAAAAAGGGTTTTTTTTAGCTGATGTTGGGTTCGGCTCCTTTTTTCAGTGCGGATCCAGTGCATTAAATCGACTTTAAAAACTAATTTTTATTTGATAAATTGGCCTACTTGAAAGAGGAGAGTAAACACATCTTGAATCAGAACATTTGTATTTGTGAGCTCATTCGATACAACTAGACCTAGAATATATTAATATTAGATCCACTAGACCTAGCATATATTGATATTAGATCCACTAGACCTAGCAAATATCAATATTAGATCAACTTGACCTAGAATATATTAATATTAGATCCACTTGACCTAGCATATATTGATACTAGATCCACTAGACCTAGCATATATTGATATTAGATCCACTAGACCTAGAATAAGTTAATATTAGATCCAATAACATATTAGTTTAAGTTCCTTTAATTTAATAAAATATAGAATATATCTTTATCAAATACTAACATTAGATATTAAAAGACCTAGAATGTATTAAAATTAGATACTAGATCCAGAATATATTTGTACTTGGAAACCTGAAATATATTAATATTAGATTCTAATAGACCTTAAATGAATTAATATTAGATACTAATATTTTAATTAATGTTGGTACTCACCTATTTTCATATATTTAAGGTTCTGACAATGCCCCCAGAGAAACGCGAACCCATGCAGATGAACGTTTCCTTCAACAACTAATCTTTCCAATTTCCTGATAAAACAAATATATTTAGTTAGGGAACTTTTATAAAGTGGATTACTGTCAAAATATCTTTTTTAGATCTAAATATTTATTTTGTAGCAGAGATTAAGATATTACAATTGTATTACAAGTTTACAACTTTCATAAATGGAAAAACTACATTATTTATTTTCTATATAAATGATTCATATGATAGACACAGATTAGACTTTGAATGCCAGTGCAATATTTCGCAGCTGACTCCCTCGTCATCCATTGCTGAGAAACAACAGAACTTCCTGTAATTATTAACCAACTGATATTTAATTTGGTTGTCTACTTTTTCATATGCTCTCATTGCGTTGTGTCTAACTGGGCAAACTGTACAATCTTTTTCTTCACAGAAAGTAAAAACTGGGGTTGCAATGTTCACAGGTGGTTTTAATTCGATTTCAAGTTCAGTTTCAGATTCTGGACCAGCTTCAGTCTCAAGTTCAGGTTCAGGCGCAGACTCAGTGTCAGGTTCAGGTTCAGGCGCAGACTCAGCCTCAGGTTATGGTTCAGAGGCAGACTCAGAATCAGGTTCTGGTTCAGGCGCAGACTCAGTCTCAGGTTCGGGTTCAGGTTCAGGTTCAGGCGCAGACTCAGGATCAAGTTCAGGTTCAGGCGCTGACTCAGGATCAGATTCCTTAGTAACCTTAGGCCTGGAAGGAAGATTGGTGTTAGGTGTTGATGGTGTACATATCCCATCAAGCTGAGGAATAGGAAAGGAAGTGATGGATGGAGATCTAGCTCTTTTCATCTTGGCTTTCCTATCTTCTAGTAGAGGAGGTCTAGCTTCATTCACGGGGTTCCTTACAATCTTCCATGGGCGCCCGATTTCCTGACATGGGGACTTTGACACATCCCGCAAGGGTTGTCTAAGAGAGTCACAGAGATGTGTTGTTGCTAGCAGGGTTAGGGGGAGACTGTCAAAATATCAATGAATGTAGCTTGTGTTACATCGTTATCCCGGTGGCTGAAAATTGTTTTTAACAAAAAAGCGATTTAAAAATCATAAGTTAAAGGTGTCAAAACCCAAATCTTTATCAAACTGAAATATTTGGAGACAATGTTCTAGATTTTAAATTAACATCTTTGTCTTCTTCAAACTTTTATTAATCGAAAAAATACAGATACAGTATTGTGAATAAATTTCAAACGTACATTAAAAAAATATATAAGGAAATGCACAAATGCTCAAAATTAACAATAAAATTGCTTAACGCAATTTACTGTCTATATAAAGATTTATGAGATGAAAAATGACAAAAACAGTCTTGTTCTGACAAATATAAGCTGGAGGCTTTTAGACATATTAAGACTGCTGCAATAGAAAAATGCAATATACAAAAAAAACACAATCGCACAGATATTAAGTAATCTGGAACCATTATTGAATTAGACAGTATTCATCCTGGCATTTTAATGTTTTCATTGAATGAACCTTTACCAAAAATTGGTAAAGAAAGGTAACATCTAGAAAACTAAGCTATCACGCAAGGAGGATAATTCTGAAAGAACACTTACAAGATTTCGTCATGTTCTATTAGTCTGTCGAGTGTGGATCAGAAGCGTAAGGAAAAAATCTGAAAGCCCCCCCCCCNATTGTGTGAGCGCTCTCGAACACCCGGCTCCCCCCAGCCATCCGAACATGAGATTGATATATCACATTGGCAAGTCTTACCTGAAAAATATTTGACCAAAGTGTAGAGTCATTTCTCCGCGTAGAACCTTGTCTCCTAGGAGTATCCTGAGACTGGAGAGGTTAGGACAAGTTCGTGCCAGATGAACAATTTCAGATCTAAAATTACAAGTCGACATGTTCTTGATATTTTACAAATTAATTAAGTTTGGTTTGTATGTATCTGAATTAAATATCACTTAAAATAGAAAATATTGAGTTATTTTTAAAATCATAAGTTAAGTTAAAAATCATTATAAAACCGGGTATAATTTCCACAGAGGATAAGACTTTCAAGACGATTTTTGCCACTAATAAATGGAAAGAGACTGAATAAATTTCATAATTTCTCTCTGAAGTCTCATCCTAAGTGGGTATGTAGAATCTACATTGTAGATACAATCCAGTGATAAAAATAAAAAATCGAATATGCTCGGCACATTCAAACGTCAAAAAAAATTTGGAAATGTAACAAAAAAATTGCGTTTTCATAACTTACCCGTTCCCCTGTTCCTCCTCGCATTCTACTGTTAATTTATCTAATCTTCTCCCCACCACACTAAATAATGATCTCACGTTCTCAAACCTAGGAGTAGACAAAAATTAAGACTGGACCTAATAATAATAATAAAGATCATAAAAGGGAACCCGACATGGAATCCCCGCATTAACATGCAAAGAAATCTGGAGGTCAAAACTTGTGTTGTTTATTCCGGAGCTGATATTTTATAAGCTTAAACCCGAGTACAACCCGGTCTTAGCGTCTACTTAGACCCAAGTAAAGCTTAAGTCGATACTTGGGTTTTGAATGGCATTGGGTTTCGTAAAACCACCTCCTTGGGTTTTTCGCTCTTGAAGGCTTGGGTCTTCAAGAGGTGATGATCGTAATTTTGTAAAATTATTATATTTGAACATTTAAATCTTGGGAATTACTTGTAGTGTCAAATATGAAATGAACATACTATGAAAATAATCTATCTAGGCAAAGCTCGAATTTCGAAATTTACATCTTCTTGTCACAGCTGATCTACGTCTACAGAGAGAAAGCTTTCTAAGCAGTCTCTCATTGGTCGAATCAGAACCAATTTAGGTTTTAGCTGTGCTCGAGTCCTTCAATAGACCGGGGTTTACTCGGGTTTAAGCTTTTAAAATCTCAGCTCTGGATCAGGCAGTAATCCGTATCTCTTAATGCAAAGGAGTATGAGACTATTAATTAATTCACTAGAGGTCAACTTAAAAGTTATATTGGGTGATAAAACAACGTAAACAAAAATTTGAAAATAGCGGATATCGAGATTTAGTGTCGTAGATATTTTTGTGCAACCAATAGAACAAGCAAACATGAGTAAAATCTTCGTTCAAATGAAAAAGTCTTGACTTGTAAGAATCCTGTAATAATATGAAATTGTAAAAAACAGAAAATGTGAGAGAATTGAAATAAGAAAAAAAGAAATAAATATGTTATAATATGTTATAATTGAACTAGGTACCGCTTTTCTTTGTTTTGACCTTAGATCAATTAAATTGAAATGCTAATCTATTCCCAAAAAAATTAATAAAGCAGTAAACTCCCCTTAAAGCGATGAACTACAAAACCCGGAGCTAAGCCTCAATAACCAATTAATAAACACCTTTCAACTACATAGATAAAGATCAATCAAAGCCTTAAACCAAATAACCAATATAGAGAAGCTTCAAACATGTAGATTGAGCATCTATAAAAATACGATAAGGTTTTTACCACTGAACGGGAAAAGTAGCTGATTTTTTATTAAAAGTAAAATTCTCCCTCGCATCTTTAAAAATTATTTTAAAAATTCAAGGATCGAACGAAAGTTTTATTTTATAAAAAGCCTACTTCATAGCGACCAGGTCCAGCTCAACTAGATAGTTCAACTGAAGGAGGGGTTCCCAAACCTAAAAATAAGTTTAATAAAAACTATTTTTATGAACTTACAAAATTAGAATATTTATTTTCAATTACCTGTATTTGAGAATCATCCATCATAGAGAATTTGTAGTGAACAACAAGGTTAACCTTCCTCAGGTTAGGACAGGAGGTGCACATGAGATCAATATCATCTCTGATCTGTCGTCTTTTAGACGCATGGAGACGTTGTTTGTGACCGATCTTAGTTGCGGATTTGGTTGAGTATCTCACCATCTCTCTCCGGACATTTTTAAAATCTGGGGTTTCTGGTACAAACCTAGAATCGGTGAACAAAATTAATAATTATCAACAAATCAATTTCAGTTCAAATAATTATTTCTGCCCATACTACTACCTCCCACTTTCTCTGACTCTTTTACGCAGATTGAAAATGTGTTTTAGTGTATCATAAAACCTTTAACGAAAACAAAACTGATAAAATTGATGTCGTTTTCTTTTTTATCAGGGCTAAATGCAAATGTTTCGTAGTCTAATGCTTACCCAATATAAGGTTGGCAGAAGTAGCTCCTGTCACTAGAGTAGCTGAACTCCTGGAGCTGCGGATTCTCATAGTTCTCGTATCCAGGTAGTTCACGGAGTATCTCCAGACCGTAGATCATTGTGTTCAACCACTGACCTAGAGACTTGAGACGGGGGGCGTGCAGGAAAACAAAAGGAAGAAATTCACCCAGAACGTTGCTTCCTCCTGATAAATATAACTGTGAATAACCAAAACAAAATAAAATGACTGGCATTTTTACCATTTACCCCAACTAACCCCAACTTGTGATTGCACAAGATTGATTTAATTCATTTCGCTTGTTAATTGGAGAATGACTTCAAATAAAGAATTGTTTTAACAAACTAACCTATATTCAGTATTTCTAAAGATTTAACACATTCGTTGAGATGAGACCATTTGCTAATCTCTCTGTATTGTATAACCTCAGGTTCAAACCAAATATCGTGATTATCACAGAACTTCATCCCGGCCACCTGGATTTAAAGAAAATTTATTTCTCTACAATTTTCAAAAAACTATTTTTTATTAATTTTAAAGTAAATTTTGATCACAAAAAAAAAGATTCATTAAAGTCACATAAGACAGGCTTTTAGGATTGTCACTGAAGACTTTCAAGGCAATTTTGTTCCTTACTGGACAACATTTTCATTTAGTCCAATTGAATTGCATTGTAATTGAAACGTAAGTTTGAGTGACACTTGATGCAAAGATGACAATGCTCGATTCTCAACGGTACCTGTAAAACCTTTATCTAATCAATGATGTGGAAGATATTGTCGTTTTCTAGGTTTAAAGTGTTTAGTTCCTATATGTTTGTAGAGATATCATGATTGAAAATAATCAGTTTTTAAAATTATTCAACACAAAGTTCAAAATTCATACTTAATTAGACAAAGCTGTAAAGGGAACCGTTTTGAATCGGGCATTGACATCTTTGCATTGATGGTTACTTTAAATTACGCTTACGGTCCATTTAACTCAAACTGACTAATGGCTAAATATTTGGCTGAATATTTGAATGTAAGACGAAGTGACTCTACCTCTGATTTGTTGCATACAGTGGCAGCATACTTTGTATCCCTTAGAAATCTTTCCACCACCCATAGTTCCTCTTCTATCACAGATTCATCCTTCTCCAACCTGCTAGGATCAGGTTGCACTCTATCCAGCTCTAGTCCCTTCCCTACCTTCCCGCTCCGACGGGTTGAAGTCCCACGGAGCTGACGGTCGAACCCGTTCGAGCTCGGAAACCTTTCCGTCTTCATCTTCTTCATTCCAGTCTCACAGGTTCCTACCGAGAAGAGTTTCCGCTTCATGGAGCGGGTCAACATTCCCTTGGAGCCCACCGGATTATCAGGTTGCTCCGGATCTATCAAGCTCAAGATCTCTCTGCTCTTGGATATACTTTTCCGTCCTCCCAAACTCATTCTTGTCTCTGGGGTTCTCTTCGCCAGCGCCCATCGTTCCTGTGAGGCTGCACTGTCTGGCGTATTCTCAAACGTGGCTAGGACGGAGCTAGAGCTGGGTGAATGTTGGAGTCGAGATGATCTTCTGTAAACCTTGCGTAGTTCCCCTGGACCCACCACGGAACAGGGTTCATTTAAATCTGGATGGAACTTGTGACAACATGAATACTGTGGCAACTTTCCAGGTTCGGCAACACTTCGTGGTGTTCGTGACCTCGTTTTGATACTTGAATCTATTGCTAGGGGATCTGTTTCTGTACATTCCTAAAAAAATCAATTTTACATTTAATTGTTTTTTAATAGAGGTCCATATTATTCCATCCAGTACGATCCCAAATGTTGATTGATTAGGAGCAGAAATAAACCATGTTGTTGCTTTAAACAATTGGAAGTATGATATCAAGTTGTTGAAAATAATCCATACCGCAGAATTTTTCCTGCAAGGGAGTGTTTATTTTTCTGAAGTGAAGTACACGTACACAAAAAAACTTACCAACGTTCACAATGACACAAAAAGTATTTTCATGCCACTAAATATACTTTCAAACACGATCTCATGTGGGATCAGAAATGGAATTATATGGATCCTTGGTTATATTACGTTCAAGCTCGATGAAATAGAACGCAAAAAAACAGAAAATCAAAAATGCAAAAGGTAAGAAAATAATGGTAAAAATAAAAATAGGATGAAAGAAAACGAGTTGATATAATAGACCTTATTACAAGACTGACAGGTTGGAGCTCGAAGAGGTCTGACTAGTTCGAACACTGTGGATTCTGTGGATTTGATGAGATCACTTACTCTCACACAGTTCCGAAGAATGCAGTATGATCTGATAAAATAAACAACAAGATAAGTTAAATTATAGGTTGAAAATTAAATTGCTAAAAGTTATCAGGACCAGTCAAACACTGAGAAAATTTTGCTATATTCTAAAAAAATACTTTTCAAGTTTTAAAACATTCCAAAATAAACCAAAAAAGAAATTTAACAAGTGCGTATATACAGTGGGGGGGGGGAGCTATGGTGCTCAGCCCCTACCCCCTGTAAAATCCTGTGTACGCCCAACTTTAATCCTTCAAATTTAAACCTCTAAATAGAAAAGTGTAGGTGGGATAAAAATAGTCACTGCCTTATTTTCGAATGAAGTAAAGAAAAAAATGAAATATTAAATCTACCTTTTAGGATATCGTTTGAGTATATGATTGTAAACTGAGTCTAGGAGAGGGATTACTGGATTATTTGTGTGCGGTCTATCCACCTGGTTCGGATGCCACTAAACAGAATAAATGATGAATGTTCTTTGCAAGTTTAAAATGTATGATCCATTACTGATGGATAAAATGTTTGTTTACCTGATCTAGACAAAACTGGCAATATCTAAGTGTATCATGTGGATGATATTCAGAACATTCATCCTCCTCATTCTCCATAAAGTACAAATACCTGAAAACCATACTTTAATTTTCTTTTAATAAACATATTATGAGAGACAAGGATGATTTGATTTGAACGCAAGGAAAGTTATTTCAGAAGTGTACACATCTTTTGTACTGCAGAGTACTGTCTCTGGGCGGTAATGTAAACACAAGACGGATGTCAAAGCCTGACATGGGATTCATCTCGCACATAAAAAATCAATGAAATATTCTGGTCATAGGAAACTATTATGTGAATTATCAAAATTATCAAAATTTAATGCTTTTAACCTCCTCGGATACTAAACGAACACTGATGCATCTAGTCTTGTTTACAAATTCCGCCCAAAGAGAACTGGTTTCAATATGTACGCATTACACCCTTGATGAGAGATGAAGAATTTGACATCAGCTCCCCATTTATATATGTTTTACTTAAAAATAGTTTCCCCCAAACTTAGCGAGAACAAAATTTTAATTTTGCCGCTCCGCACAATGTACGATCTTTGAGGGGGGGGGTCATTCTTACAAAAATAAACACCCCTGTAACGTCGTAAATAACTGAATAAATGAAATATTACCAACCTGTGTAAACTATGGAAAGCATCTTTAAAGAAAAGAGCTATTAAACAATCTGCCCAAGTGTCTGTACCAAACACATCGAATACTCGGAGTTTAGGACAACAGACTCCGATCCGAGCCAAGAACTCAAACTGGAAGTTGGCTCTACTGTACAATTTGCACTGTATGTTGTTCTTCAGGACTAGTTCTGTCAGCTTAGTATACTGCATACCCTGTACAATGTACATAATAGTCAAATAAAGTAAGTATTGGTTATCTTTGTAATTGTAGGATCAGGATCTAAATGAAAAGATAGTTAATATGTTACAATATAAGATCTGCTCGGAGTAAAAATAAGAATCTATCTGATATCTAGGATCTTAACTTTGATTAAACCGATAACTTCATAGATGAATTCATAGATGATTTAGATTGTGATCTCAATGATTATCACAATGATGATAGCAAGGACGATCTCAATCGAAATCGACATAAAAAATCTCAATAAATTATCTCAATGATGATTTTGATTAAAAAAATATTCATCTAACCCCTAATTAATTTATTGATTGAGTTTTTAACTTCATTAAAATATTGTGTACTTGCCTTAGGATGTATATCCCTGAATAGAATAAGTAAATCTACAGCTATTCCTCTTCTATCCGAGGTATCATATATATTCCCCATTCCAAAGTTTCTAGCGAAGGTTTGTTGTTTATCACTCTGATCGAGGCGGGGTAATCTAAATATTAAAAATCAATTAAACAAACAAGAAATCCTCTTCATTACAAATCAAGCCAAAAATGTAACGGGTTGTTTTAGTTCCAAATCAAAGTTTGGAGTGTAAAATACTTGCACATTAGATTTTGAGCCTGAACCTCCTTCAATTGGAGGTTGAAAAACAACCTTAACAGTAACAAATTGCCCAGTTGGCAAATAATAATTAAGCAAAAGGATGTTTATTTTGTCCCTCCTCTTCCTCTTTGATAGATCAGCTTACAGGCAAAAAATTAAATGTTTCTCAGTTCTGATAACAAAATGATTTGAGAAAACATTGAACTAGATAAGCAAAACTAGATACAACTCTGTTAAAATAATTTTGTATTAATCTTTTGAGAAAATTAGAAAAAATAAATTGTACATGGCAAAAAAAAGATACGAAACAATTTAATAATTTAAATAAGTAAAAACTTGATTTAGTTACAGGACATTGACAAAAGGCTTGGTCGAAAATTCAATGCCATAAACTTCATAACTTTAAGTAAGTGCTTAGGATCCGGATCCGTTGGATCCGCAAGATTTTGGCTTCCTGGATCCGGACCAGGCTCCGCAAAAATATGCGGATCCACAGATCCGGATCCAAGGTGCAAAATATCAACAAAAACTGCAAACAAAATTTTAACTATTGAAAAAAGAGAGATTATTAAAATTTCCTGATTTCTGAATGGTTCATCAAGTTTTAGCATAAAAAAAGCGAAAAAAATAAGACAAAAATTGTAAAATTCTGCTTTGAAAAAAAATTCGTAAATTTTATGGAAATAACCTGGATCCGGATCCGCATCAAAATTAAATGAATCCTAAGCACTAATTAATGAATCAAATATTTAATTAAGCTAGAAGTAAAATTATCTAAAAAATAAGATCAAATTCTAAATTTTTAAATCAAATCAAACAAAATTGAAAAGTTCACTTACATTTTTCGTTTAGATTTAGAATCCTCGCTATCAGATTCCTCTTTGACAAAATTTTCTGAGAAAACTAATCTCTCCAGTTGGGATACTTTCCCCTCAGTAGCTCCTGGAAGAAAACAGATTTAATTTTTGTATCTTTTCATTTGCTCTTCTTTTTTCCCAAGAAATATCTAAAATCTCTCAAATTTGTTTACTTAATAAGCGTACTGCAGTTTATACAGAAGTAATAGAAAGTTACGCAGTCTGGTTTTATATACATTAAAGTGCTGGAAAAAACTTAACATTACAAAACACAGAAATTGTTTTAGGCTCTTGTATAAATTTGCCTTCCTTCTTCAATTTTACATCTTTAACTCACAAAAGTAATCAAATAATTCTGAAGGTCAACATTTTCTTCTTTATCTTTGATTTTCAGTTCTACGAGAAATCTAATCTTATCTATTTAATATTACCTAGTAGATGAGTTAGTACAACAGGAACATTGAACTCCAGGGTACCCGGAGTATGCCGTCTACTCCGAACCTTGTCAGCTGTAAAAATTAGTTGTCTGACCTCAGCACACATTACTACTCCCATCATTCCCTCCTGGATGAATGCTCCCGTACCTAAATATTTATTTGTCCTTTAGATTGTAAATAAAATGCAGACAATGAGCCAGGCAAAAATAAGTTGCAGACCCTCTCAGTAATTTCAACCTCAAAAAACCATGCACAACAAAATACATAACACGCGCAATGTCGATGAATTATTGTATAAATAAGGAAAAGAATTAATGATCTAAACTTACAACATATGTTAGGACAGGCCGGTACAACAAGTTCATCCTCTTCAGCTGTATCAGTGTCGTCGTTCTAAAACAGAGTTTAATCAAATGAAAACAATAATAAAGTAATCGAAGGAAATTCTAAAAATATATTTTTTTTGATTAAATCCCACCTTTCCATCAGACTGATACATGTTGCAGTACTCAACGGATGGAAACTGTTCGCTGAGAATATGAGAAACCATTTTCTCTCTTATCACGGAGCTAGCTATACCAGTCACTTTACAGTTTATGTCGTCTTTCAGAATCTAAATATATCATATTTAAAATTAGAAAATAGTTCAAATTTCAATAAACTTTGGTTATATATAGTTACCAATGAAAAAAAAATAGTTTTCAACCGCAAGCTTTTTTTCTTTACTACTTTTAGTCAAACTAAAAGTCGCTTTCATTCCGTTCTATCATTTCCCAAATCCAAGTTTTCTATCATTTCCAAAATCCAAGTTTTCTATCATTTCCCAAATCCAAGTTTTCTATCATTTCCCAAATCCAAATCCAAGTTTTCTATCATTTCCCAAATCCAAGTTTTCTATCATTTCCCAAATCCAAGTTTTCTATCATTTCCAAAATCCAAGTTTTCTATCATTTCCAAAATCCAAGTTTTCTATCATTTCCCAAATTCAAGTTTTAAAGATAACAAGTTACAGGGGCGGGTTACAGGGGTGAGCCATGGAAAGCCAAGAAAATAGAAAGAAACTTCTGAAATTCCAAATTCAAAATAGTTAAATAGATTCTATTTCGTTAAAATACAAAAGCCTAAAGAGTATTTATTAGTTAAATGTTTAGTTTACAGTTCTCGCTCAAACCGGCATTATAGTGAGCTATGGGATGTCATGTGACTGGAAGTCCTACAGCTAAAAATATATGAGAAAAAGGGTGATACATAAAAACTGAAAATATTTTAGTGTGAGCATGATATCAATATAATCCTAAAACTTGTGTAATATGAGGTCAAAATCAAGTTTTATTGTTCCCCCTATGGGTGAGCATTGGGCAAGAAGTTCTTGGGTGAGCATTAACAGTTTCGCTCACCACTTAAAAATGTCTGTATCCGCCCCTGAAGTTAATAAAGAAACCTGCAGCATTTTTCTCGCTACTCCTTTCACCAGGATTGATTTACTCTGGGTCAGAGAAATATAAGTGACAATCTCTGTCTCCAGGTACTTCAGATAGCTCAGAATACAAAGATCTTCCAGGCTCAAGGCATTCTAAATAGAATATTTTCAAATAAATATTAACCATTTTGCTGGATATGTCATGAACCAGAAAAAAAACAAGGTAATAATAGTTTTTTTTTTTACCTTAAAAACCAGTTTTTTCTTTTCCTCCTGGTTTTCCGGTCTAATCTCTTCCATGATATTCTGTACACCTCCGTGGTTTAGTACTCCTCCGTCTGGATCAGGGAGGAGAAGAAAGTCCTGACCTGGTACAGGAGGGGGATCACCTTGTAATCCCGCCACCAGTGCAACGCCGGCCATTTTCTCTGAAACCCTAATTTATTCAATTCCCTCGTCAATAGCTGTACAATGTTAAGTTATAATGTAAGTTTAACTTCTGTACAAATGTACAGCAGCTGCCTGTACAGGAAAGCACCACTAGATATTAATATGTAAACGTAGTAAAGCACAGGTTAAAATAAATACTGAATTTTAATCCGTAACAGCATAAACTATCACATTTAATAACGGTTTCCACTAAAATGAAAATATGATGGAATTTGAAAGCATTAGTTTTCTTAAACTGAACAAATTAACAATAACATTTAATGATAGAAAATAAAATAACGTCTAAATGCGTAAATTTAAAAAATAAAAATGTTCTTAAAACTTCTAAATATGAAGAAAGGGTAATTTAAAGTATCAAGTTACCAAACCACTGATTACCACTATCTTTATCAAAATTCCAACGATGTTGCTGCAAAGGAAAATTTAATCTGAATGAATGCCAAGTATCGCAAAATGTAATTCATGGCAGATATTTCCACACTGGTCAGAATCCAGCAATGCCTCAATGGTTCCAGGTCTACCGAGAGTAGGCAAGGTTTAGGCATAGTAGCTAGGAGAGACTAGAAGATCTGTAAGAACACCAAGCTGGTCTTCGGTAAACTTCTCCTAAACAAATACAAGATTTATGGAAGAAAACTGGAAAATCTTAAGTAAGTTACCTTATGCTCTGTCCAATTATCCTGATGTGTTCTCTTGAAATCCTGGAATGCACGTTTGACTGTGGCCGGGATGGGTTGAGGATCATGTAAATGATCTCCAAGAAGCATCAATATATCGGGTAGATAGGGAGGGATATCATAAGGACAGGAGTTCACAACTGCACATAAACCCAGCACACCTTGAAGAAAAAAAAGAAAAAATGAATTATTTTAAAAAGACTGTAATGTAAATTTCTCCACCTGAATGCCTGCGGATAACTGCTTCGCTCTGTTTAGCCTGCCAAGCTATTTTGTCTACTCCCTCTTTCATTTTCTTGGAAATCTTCTTCTTCAAAATAATCTTGAACTTCTCAATGTAGGATTCTCTCTGCTCAGAGGTAACAATGTTACAATGGAAGATTCCGCCTAAAACAGTTCCCGCCTTCTCCCTCACCTCCAACTGGTTATCCTTGAGCAGTGCAACAACTACTCCAACAAGATTATCAGCTTCTCCTGGCAGTGAGACGAATGAAGGAAAGTTTGTGAATATTGCTACTTGCAAGAATTCCAGGACACAAACTTTAGCTTTCCAGGACTGGGAGTTGGAAACCTCCGTTATAGCATGAACAGCAGAAGGTATTGTGGTCGGAGAAAGATAAGTACCAGCTAGGCGTGCCAGAGCAACCGTACAATCTCGGGCTAGCTCAGGTTCTAGCTCGCTACTCTCGTTTAGACACATCATATGGAGAAGTTTGAACAACTCTGGTTTGACAGGATAGAAGTTCCGCACGAGTAAATTAGACGTGAGCTTGCAAACAGTCTGGAGTAGACGCACTCCGTCCTGCCTTTCCTCCCATTTTTTTAACAGAGATGGATCATCAACACTTTTAGCAGGATGTTCATTCATATCTTGTAAAGTTTCTTGAGGCATCATTCCCGAAGCCAATATTCCCGGAGGCATCATTCCCGAAGCCAACATTCCCGGGGGCATCATTCCCGGAGGTATCATTCCCGGAGGCATCATTCCCGAAGGCATCATTCCCGAAGGCATCATTCCCGGAGGCATCATTCCCGGAGAAATCATTTCCGGAGTAACCATTCCCGGAGGCATCATTCCCGTAGGAACCGTTCTCGGGGACACCATTCCCGGAGGCACCATTCCTGGAGGCATCATTCCCGGAGGCATCATTCCTGGAGCCAACAACTGCATGAGAACCTGAGGACCATGCCTTTGAACCTGCTTTTTAAGTTCTTCTGGCAGCTTACTTATCAACTCTGACAACATTGCTGGGTTGTTCTCCTTCTCTCTGGTTTGATTGAACTTATAAAGCTCCGGGTCGGGGTCGGATTTCATAATCTCAAGACGGGGGAGAAGTTTATCAACAAGAGATGAGATCCTGGGGGAATCTGGTCCTGCTGCACCGGTAGGAAATTTAAAATCAGGAGAATATATATTGGACAGAACAGATCCTAACCTCTCCCTCACGTTATGGTAAGGATGGGTTAGGAACGGATTAAGAAAATTGTCCAGTTTGTTGAGGAGATATCCAACCCTCCACTCCTGCTGTGCAATAGCTCCCTGGAGAACATATAACCGACTGCTGTCCAGGAAACTACCCTGACTTCTCAATGGTTCCTCCATCAACACTTCTAGCATCCAGTGAATCCGGTTCGGATCTCGAGATTCACTTGAGGTTGCCATGCAAGTTCCCCAGTCTGCGATAGTTTCAACAGTGACATGTCCCAGAATATTACGAAGAAGAGGAACCAGCCAGGCCCACAGGTTTTCCGTCATACCCCAGGTCCAATGCTTGGCTCCCCTGATTAGTCCTGCAATTATCTCAGCTGCAAATCTCTGCTGGGATTCAACCTCTGCTAATGCAAGCCGCTCAATGTGAGGTTTGAGCATATTCAAACATAAATCTCCATAATTACGGAATAATCCTTTCCATATTAGAAACTTTCTAGAATCAAATTTATCCTTTCCTTTATTCTCCTCGAGGGAGAAAAATTTCACGACATTCTCAACGAACTCCTGATTAAGAAAGGATTGGATGATTGGACGCTCTTCAGGTTTCATATCCTCCGGATTTTGTATGAATCCAAGTTGCTTGTCCTGGGGCGCATAAACCAATAGTTTCTCCGGCCAATAATAGTATCCAATGTGTGTTTTGTGAACGAAATTTGGTTTGTCCCATGATGCAGCATCCGTAGGCCAATTTTCTGGACTATATTGCATCCATGAGTTATCTTCGCGATTACCTGGTTTCACCGGGTTGGCAGGACGAACAACTTCCCTCTCAACTCTAACCCTCTTCTTCTTTTGAAGACGCAGAATTCCAGAGAGAGCAAAGATGGAAGTTTTTCTAACTTCTAAACTGTCGTGGATTAGATTAGTTGTTATGAGCTGAACTGCTCTGGCGGGTGGAAGCATATCATGACGGAGAAGGGTTACAAGAATAGCAGCTCCAGCATTATAGTGTCGCCACTGCAGGTTCCCCGACTCTAAGTGCTCACACAGTGTGTTGATGATGCTGAAGTACGTGTTGGTGTTCTCTAGGTTAGATTTCTCTTGATCACTTAAACCTTGTTCTAATTCTGATTGCGTGGGTTTAGGTTTTCTTGGAATCAAATCAGCAGATGATTTTTCCTGAACAGTATACATTGAATATTTGAACAATATTTTTTTTTACATTATAGATAATTCTAACAAAGGGACGTTGACCAATAAAACTAACCTGAGGTTTCCAAATTTCCAGCGCTGCGTCAATGGCCTCCTTGTTGATGTCCAGAGTGATGGTGAAGGTGTCCATGTGATGAAGGACAGTATCCAGCAGCATCCCCATCACCTTGACTATACTGGGCTTCTCACTATGACTGGCTTGAAGCAGAGCAGGACAGATTGTTTGGAAGGTTTTCCAGCAGTGCTTGGTCAGCATAGACTTACCATTCTTACCCATGAGTATAAAAAGTGCTCCCTTGAACTCCTCGTGACTCGTCCCGTTGTCACTGCGCAGGTTTTCAATAATCTTTGGTAGAACCACCTGGTAACTGTAAGCAAAATATCGGAAACATCGGCTCATCAACTCCTGTCCATGGATTCTAACCTCGGAGTAATGATTCGTCGCCAACCCGAACACGTCAGAGAACACCCTCCAGTGCTCCTCGGTAAAGTTCCTGTTCACGTTCTCCACGAGCCTGGACTCGTGTTGTAATTGTGCTCGATCCACCAGGGTTGCTCGAATATTCGTCTTCTTACCTTGCACTCGACTCTCCATTAATTTCTTTACTGCGGCAAAACTTTTCCATCTAAAAATATTCAAATAAAAATTTATCTAAAATGAATATTTTTTCTGATCCTTTACCTAGCATCAAATTCTTCTTTCATGACCCCGTTGTAGAAGAGTGTGGACTGGAGAAGAGAAGTAACTAAAGACAAGGCTTTAATATTGTCTGGGCACTCAGCTCCAATATGCTTCAACACCTGAACAAGTATGAACCAATTAATTACATGAGAAGTGATGGCATAGCTGGGTTTCTATCTATAGTCGATCAAATCTCGACTCTTTACTTGATGAAACTGATGGAGTGAGAATCGTTTAAAGGGATTGGCGTCTTTGCATATGCTTACAGTCCCTTTAAAGCATTCTTCAAATTTAAATAAATACACAATACATTTCGTCGACTTTTTCCATGCAATAATATTAAAACAGAGTTAAAAAGGTCACCTTGGTCATGAGAAGAGATATTTTGAGTCGAATATTCTCTCCCTTTAGATTTATCTGTGGGGAGCCTGGGACGGAATCAAGATGAAAATGTTGAACCATGTCAACCTAAAAGAATACTTATAAAGAAATCACAAGGAATTGAATTAGAACAGCTTAAACAGAGTGTCCCACTAAACATGACAGTTAATAGATGTAGAGCTTTTCAGAAATTACACCTTATAAAGGAAAGCTTTAATGAACAGAGTACTAGTAAGAATATTAAACTTGGAATAATTATAATGGAGTGTATTACTACACCAGAATGAAGTACTACAACGGAATGGAGGACTATGGAAAAAATTAACCTTAGATTGAATATGATGGATTGTATCTCCAGACCAGAATGGAGAACTAAGGAGAATATTAACCTTGGATTGAATATGATGGATTGTAGCTCCAGACCAGAATGGAGAACTAAGGAAAAAATTAACCTTGGATTGAATATGATGGATTGTAGCTCCAGACCAGAATGGAAGAATGGATCCACAACCAAGAATAATATTCCAAATTGTAGAAACAGACCTCTTCAAATCCTCCTAAATGATTTACATTTAAAGAACAAAAATAAAAATGTCAGAAAAAATATGAATTGGATTTTACAAAAAGAAAATTACGACTTACTAAATTGAGGAGGGTGGGGGGTGTATTTTTTACAAAGTTTTCCACGGTTTCAGCTACTAACTCTTCGTTGCAATCTGCTGAAGAATAAATGGTAAACCTTTGCTAGCTGTTGTTCTCCGTTCGTCCAGTTCTCCAGTAGGTTCAGCTCACGACACAGAAACTTCTCCACTATTGTCTCAGCAGCAGATACAGTCTTATCATCTAGTAGTTCATTTGGTTAAACAAAGCATATATTCATTATTTTATTTTATAAGTAAAATCATTTTAAGTAACCCTCGAATAACAACTTGTGCCATAAGCGATTCAAGATTTATCATTCATTGAACCTTTATCGAGGAAAAGATGTGGAGATTGGTAATTGTATTGTTTGGAAAAATGACAACTATGTTACGGAATTTAGAAACCAATTTGTCGATTTCATGACTGGCACCAATTCTGGTAAAATCCTGACGAAGGTTTTGATGTGAATCATTTATGAAACTCTTCACATGAACGATTATCAAAAACTAAGTTTTAAAATGGCAGATAAAAAAGATTCTATAAATACCTGGAATACACCACTTGATCTTGGTATCCTTCGCCGCGTAGCAGCGACCCCAGTCGGTCAAAGGAAGATATTCGCTTATAGGACGGTCAAACCCATCAACATTCGACTTAAAAAACATGGATTGCATTTTACAGAATAAATGAATTAGACTTACAATTTGAATACTGTGCATTCAGAACGTTATATATTCATATTTTACTAACCCTATGCAGTATGCAAGTATTAACTTTGCTAGTGGCATAACTGAACAAATTAGTTTTTATTTTAGTTAGTAACAACTTAGTAATTTAATCCTTCAAAATTGTGTCCGCAATTTCTTTACTTATTATTAAAATGCACTTTGAAAAAGTTGAGAATTTTCAAACAATTTAGAGAAACAAACAAACAAAAAAAATGAGAACTGAGACTTTACCATATATTCTTGAGGAGCATAATAAGTTAAAGATCTTAGGAAATTCTTAAGAATCCAACCAGTTAACTCAGTTCCTTCCTGAAATAAACAAAAATAATAAAAATATTAAAAAGTAATTAAATGATTTAAGTGATGAAAATACTTGCCTTTGTGTTGATAAGAACCATCCTATCTAGAACTGCAACTATCCTAGGCTGATAAGGCAACAAATATACTCCAGGTACACTTAACAATAAGGATGAAATTACTCCAACATCGAGGGGAATTATAAATAAATTTCACAGATATTTTACAATAACTGTATATCAGTTACCTTAAAATCTCGGATAAAACTAGAAGTAGAAATTTCGTCTGAGCGTCCAGCTCCAGGTGCAAATTCAAACTGTGCTCCAGCTCATCACAGATATGAGGAAGGAAGATCTGTAAACCTCGCTCCGGTCTCACTCTCACCACACTCTTGCACATGTTTGCAGCGATCCTTCCGGAAACCTTACACTCCAGAATCCGCCCGGAAATAAACGATTTTATCTTCCGGGCAGCAGCCTCGTATATACTTACAGAGGACTGGGATAGAATTGCTCCAAGGGTTGAGGACATACAAATATTATTCATAGAATCTTCTCGGGATAGTTTAGTATCATCAGCAGAAACCTCTGATCTAGTTTGGAGAATGATCGAGTTCTCAATGATAACAAAACATCTGTCTAGAAGCTCGATGACGAAGTCCTCAAACTGTGCAGATTGCAGACTTTGTCAAATACCAAATTCAGATTTAAGTCTTCAAATATCGAAACTATCCACCAAATTTCCAGCGCTGCGTCNTTTGATGTTTAAAATATTGAAACTCTAGTGCTCAGGATCCATCTAATTTTGATGCGGATCCGGATCATGAATCCACAATGGAAGATAATGGATCCGGATCCACAATGGAAGAAAATGGATCCGGGTCATGAACACTTATTTTCGAATTACTGATTTTTTTAACAGAAGAATAATTTTCGAATATTCTTACTTTTTTCACTTATTTTTATGCAATAACTTGATGAACCATTCGATAATCGCTCTTTATTCAATAGTTCAGATTTGAGTTTTGAGAGCAATAGTTTTTTTTTGCAGTTTTTAGTTATATTTTGCCCTTGCACCCAGATCTAGGAAGCCAAATGTTGCGGATCCAACGGATCCGGATCCTAAGCGCTGAATTTGAAAGTGTTTGATCTCGGGCTATGACATAACAAGCAAGCATCAATATTCAATATCTCTTTTCCGTTCAAAATATGCATTAGAAGGTTATCCTACGCTTTAACCAACCCCATTTATACTTTAATTCAACTGAGAGTTGGTATTCCTTATTTGATATTGTTCTTCAGTTAACTGATGAAATTGGCTAGCACTAGAAAAGTCAATAAAGGGAATGAGACTCGAGTAGGTTGCTATGTACTGGAATGTAAGCATCGTCTTTCTTGTATCATTAGCGTCTATACCAGGTAGAGTTGAGAAGAGAAGAGGAAGCACATGAACCTGTCCCTGAGGATACAGGTTAGAGAACGTAACTAGAGATCTACTAACACCTGCCATACAGTGGAGACTAGCGGTCAACTTGTGAGGTTCAGTAACAATATCCAGTGAGCTACTCAACCTCTCAACAAGTGTAGGAAGGATTAGCTCAGGTCTCAAACTGGCAAGCTTGTGTAACATCACCCCTGCATGGACAAACCCAAGCTTGGACCACATACAATTAAATACAGCGGGTTTCAACGTTTCTACAAAATCTATAATATCCGCGTCTGAGAGACGGAACTCCTTGGGTGTAATGTATCCCCAACCAGGTTTCTTATATCTTTCATTGTCCACCCTCCTAACCACCAGAGTAACAAGTTTATCTAAGAAGTCGTAAAGCTTCAAACAGTGCCTGTAAAAAATTATTTATGATTATGATTGATGTTAAACACTGGTTTTCTTTGTCAGTTAAAAATGAATTGGTTAATCCAGTATTACACACTGACCTTCCAATATTGGCCGGATGGAAGTAGGATTCTAGAGAGGAAAATAGTTTACTCAGATATATCTTAGTCTGACTCTTTGTTCCGCCCATTGTGTAAACAATCAACCTAGCCGCAGCGTTACAATCTAGAGCACTGGCCCTACCCCCGACACTTGTTTTGTTGAACTTGGTGGGAAGACTAAACATCTGTTGAACCCTGGAGAAGATTAAGGGAAGGTATGGGTTCCAATCTATCTGTCCAACTGTGAACTGTGCCAACCGACCAAACAATCCTGAAAAATTATTTTTCAGGGAATAATCTAAAGTTTTGTGATCATGCATTTTTCCGAATTAACTTTAAATTTAGTAAATTTGAAAGTTGTGTTTCCAATTTAAAAAGATCATGACTCTAATAACCTATTACAAATGTTTCCCAAGAGGGATGGTTTCCACAGGAGTTCCAAAATCCTATCAATTCGTCCAACCATAGGTTATAGGAGAGCTCAGGGTTCTTCCAGGCGGAGTAGGTCGGTAGAAACAACTCCATCAGGTTGATTGCCTGTCCAAAGGTAACATCCATAGGACACATCATGGGACGTAGTTCCCGCATTAATTCCTCTGTAGTGCTAACCGGGAAGTATGGCCTAGCAGCCCTGATAATCCCGCGGAGATTGTTAGACAAAGATTGCGGCATTTTAATCAGACCCAGGGACTCATTCTTAGAGTAGAGCAGGGTCTCGTGCAGTTGGTACAGGGGCTTCCAGTCGATGGTTAACTGCTCCGATGTGATCAAGTCCACCCTCTTCAGCAGGGAGATGAGAGCGGAACCAGCATGGTTGATCAAATGAGGTTCTAGCTTCGGTATTGTTATCACAGACAAGTATAGTCTAGAAATATTAATTAAAATAAATCTTAAATAAATATGTTCTACTTTAGTAGTTGTAACAGTTTTTAATTTTTTAATTTATCTTTATTTTGAATTATTTTACCTGATAAGAACGATATGATCCTCTATAGGGAACTTGTACCCGTACAGACGGATGTATTTATTCAATCTTGAAGTCCAAATAACTAATCCTAAATATGTAATCCTTGAAGAGCGCATGAGTTGGGGAGAAAAATTAGATACTTCTTGAAAATATTATCCGACTTTCTTATTTAATTCATCAAAAAAAGGATAAACAAAAACCTGGTCTTAATTCTCGCAATGCAATTGCTCGTCCAAGGTTTTCTTTAATCTCACAGAACCACTCACATGATTCCTCTGAACATAGTTTCCATCTAGAATTTTTTATCTAAACTTTGTTTATTTTAATTAAATACTTACTGTCAATGTCGGAAGAATATGGAAGCAAGAAATTGTAGACAATTTCTCGTTGAGGTTTAAATCCCAGCTCTACTGCTCGTTTTGTCTTAAAAATAATAAAAAATTGGTCGGATTAAAATGTGCAACCTTTTGAAAGTAAAAAATTATTAATAAAAGTTAGATAATCTGTGACCAATTAACACAATGACCAGGAGAAAAGAGATATAATTGATCAAATAACCTTCCAGTTTTCTTCTTCCGTCTTTTCAGTTTCAGTCTCAAAATCTGATAAACAACTATCTTCGTCATCTTCCATTTTAAAAGTCTAGAAAATTAATAAAGATAACAATTGAATAAAAGCTCCTAAAAAAGCACTTTATCAGTTGGCAAATTTTATGAAGAACCCACAAATATTAGAAGAAAAGTGAGACCAAAGGTTTTATTACTTAAATCCAACTCAACTTTTGTACTTAAAATATAATAAACTGTATTTCATTAGATGTATCAATCATTTGCTTTTAATTAATTCATTGGTTAAATTTTATTAATTGTAGCAAGAAATCTATGAATAAAATTAAATAAAAAACTGCAACGCAGTTAAAGAATGAAGTAGATTGGATCCAGTTCTCGGAGAATATTGTGCAGGTCATAATGCCGCGTTCTATTCAGCCACTACACTCACTCCTTTCTACAATCAACTAATCAACTAATCGAACTTCAGGGTGGTGTATTTTTCGACCTACACATATCCGCCATACTCCACTTCTGACCTACGCCAAATCCGCTATACTACACATCCGACCTACTAGCACGTGGTATAAAAAAATAATAATAAATTTGCTGAAAAATAAATGGTCATGTACAAGATTGATAGGAGGGGAGGTCCAAAAATCGTTCAATAGGACAGACCCAACTATTTACAACAAAAAATATTTATTGTGTATTATTTCAGGGTTAGGTAAGGAAAATTTCTGTGCCGAGCGCTGCGGCCAGGACAGACCTACAATTTCAACAATTTTCAACAAAATTAGTAGATGTTTAAGGTTAAGGTTATGTTAAAGACACTTTCAGGGCGTTGCGCTGCGGCAAGGACTATACAATAGACCATGTGGCCGCAGTGTCCGACCCCTATTCTATCCTAGCCGCGGCGCTCGGCCCCCTAGCCTGTCCTACCCGCAGAGCTCGGTCCAGAAATTGTCTTAACCTAACCATAAAATAGTAAAAAATAAACAATAATTTTGCTGAAAATTTGTGGTCATGTACACAATTTATATGATGGGGCGAGGGATGCGCCCGGCCCCCTAGCCTGTCCTAACCGCAGCGCTCGGCCCAGAAATTGTCTTAACCTAACCCTAAAATGATACTAAAATAAACAGCTGGCGTAGGTCCGATATTGCAGTAGGTCGGAAAGTTAGTAAGTCAAGTTCAGTAGGGGGGATGTTGCGTATAGACGATGTAACATTACCGAACTTCAGGCATAAGTGGCTGGTGTATTTTTCGACCTACGCAAATCCGCTATACTCCACTTCTGACCTACGTCAAATCCGCTATACTGCACATCCGACCTACTGTAGCACGTGGTTTTACAGCTAATATATGGACTTTTGGCCTCAGCGCCGGCCCCCTAGCCTGTCCTAGGAGGGGGGGGAGTCCAGAGTTCCTCAACTCGAGTAATCACCGCCACCCAAATGTGTTTTGCGACTGCAAGCACGCTCCTCCTCAATTGGTAATCTCCACCACCTCAATTGGTAATCACCGTAAAATTTTGTTTCTGAGATTTGAATTTAATGCACTTTTAATTCACAATTTTCGATCCATCTATTGGGGTTTTATGGCATCTGTATTGACTTAAACTAAATTTTCAAATTGTCGTCAGATTTGTTTGGTCAACAAAAACTGGGAATCAAGGCACAGTTCATTTTAGCCGAATCTTAGATCCAATTTGCTTATTTAATGACTGCATTTTATGATTGGCGTCAAGATACTTATAAAAGGTCGGGCTGACTGTTTACTAAAAATTATCTCATGCATGAAGTAATATCCATCTCATAAATCCGATATTGCAGTAGGACAGAAAGTTAGTAGGTCAGAAGTTTAGTAGGTGTTGCGTTTAGACGATGTAACATTACCCAATTGCTTAGATGTTTTACCATAGGTATACCATGGACACTGACACAATATTGGCCAATTTCTTAGACGTTCTACCATAGGTAGAACGGAGAACCATAGTCACAGAATGGTTACGCTTTACCAGAGCAGTGTAGATAGATAGATACGACCTATAGCTGTACATATGGTTAAATGATTAAGAAATTGGCCATATGTTTATTACGCTAGTTACCAGAGCAGTGTAGATAGAATATATGACCTATGGTAGCATGAATAAGAAATTTGCTTATAAGGATGAGAAGGATTCGAATGATGGTATATATTTACACCTGGACAGACCTCGGATATGCTAAATCAGGTAGGAAAACAATTGTTTCTAAGCACATTCGTTAACAAGTTTAACCGACCAACTGTGTTGTTTTGCAGGTTGCATGGATAGGCCTGATGTGTAGGCTATGTCCGATGTGGACTGTGGAGACTTCTGTAGGAGACAAAATGCACTCTTAGTAGGTCGGACTGCCTGTAGGTCAGATTAAAACTTCTGACCTGTAGTTTTTTCAGTTTTAAGATGAAACAAAACAAATGGTTTCTTGGATCGAGGTCGAAAGCATTCTCTTGCATAAACTTCATTCATATAGATGCAAGATTATATTAAGATTTTAACTTCATAACATTTAAAATTAGCAAGATATCGTCATTTTTTCATCTGAAATAGTTGTATTCTGACAAGTACTGTATATCTTTCTTAATTAAACAAATCCGTAAGCCACTGTAATAGAGAAAGCGCCACTGAAAAAAATTAGCTTTTTGATTGAAAATTAAGGGTACCATCATCCGTGTAATTCTCAGATAAATGTTTAATTTAAACTTTTGTGAATTGGACGTACCACTCTGTATATGCAGAGTTACTTGAAACTACGCCTTAGGTCCGTTTATTCCAATGGAAAAAATAAAAATATAACTATCAGGGGAAAAATATATAACTATCAGGGGGAAAATATATAACTATCGGGTGGAAAATATAATACTATCAGGGGAAAAATACATAACTATCGGGGGGAAAATATTTAACTATCAGGGGGAAAATATATAACTATCAAGGGGAAAATATATAACTATCAGGGGAAAAATATATAACTATCAGGGGGAAAATATATAACTATCAGGGGGGTAATATATAACTATCAAGTAAAGAAATATAAATTTATTTCGAAAAAAACGAACCAATTTAACTCAAAGATTTCTTTTTTCTCGCGTTTTTCTCCCATTTGTTTTTAACGGATTTTAAGGATGCCGAAATTTCCGGATCTAGTTTCGATTTCTTGGTGGCAGGGGCTTCCGGGATATTTCCGGTTTGAATTCTTTTCTGCTTCTCTCCAATCAGTTTCTCCATTCCTTTGGTCTTCTTGAAGTTCTGCTCACTTGGATCAATATTAAACTCTGCTCTAGAGAATATTGCTGAAAACCGGTCATCGTTCACGTCTACATCGAAAGTATCTTCTCTGGGTGCAATTTCCTTTTTCTCCTTCTTCTTGTTTTTCCATTTCTTCTTCTTTGATTTACTCTTGGTTTCTTCCTCAACAATAGTTTTGAAATTGAAATGCTTTGAGTCATCGTCGGAATCCATAACCAAGAGTTCAAGATCGGTGATTTTGTCTTCAGGTTCGTCTTCATTCGTTCTAGGTTTTTTCTTTTTCTTCTTATCCTTCTTTTTAGAGACTGGATCATTAGAAAATTCTTCCGCAAAGAATGGATCATTCATATCAACATCATCTGGTATATCTTCTTCGTTCTCTTCAGTATTCTTCTGTTTCTTCATCTTCCTTTTGTCTTTCTTCTTTTTAAGATACTTTTCCCAAGGTGTCAATTCTTCGGTGTTCTCCTGCTCCTTCTCCTCCTCCTCCTGCGGGATCCAACTCACCTCTAGATCCTTGTCGTTCTTACTCTCCTCCGCCTTATTGATTCTCCTCCTTCTCCTCCTCCTCCTGCGGGATCCAACTCACCTCTAGATCCTTGTCGTTCTTACTCTCCTCCGCCTTATTGATACCAAGTAACAAGGACCTATACTTGGCAATACTATCCTCCTCCTTCTCATCATCATCATCACTATTCTTAACCTGGTTTCCTTCTTCCTCTTCCTTTTCATCCTCCTCATCTGAGGATGACGCAATCAAGTGTTTCGCAAAAGAGTAATCGTCCTCATCCTTGTCCATCATATCGTACGCTAAAATAGGAGGAATTAGGAAAATAAATTTTTTTAAAGTAGATCTTACCTTTCTTGATATTTTCTTGACGGCTTGCATCTTGTTCATCCCAAGTAAGCTCTACCTTCCCTTGCTGTAGAGCTGTGGTAAAAAAGGTCTAAAAAAAAGAGTAAAAATACTAAAAGTTTTTAATTTTCATTTACGGTTTCTCTGCGAAAGTGACTTGCGCATTTCTTGCTCATAAGAACCAATTGAGAAATTCACAGAAATAAGCACTTGTCAAGTCAGATTAACATTGGTATCTTTCACATTTTTTTCGGATTAGGATTTCAAGGGTACCGTTGTAAATTAAGGATTGCAATCTTGGCATTGAGTGTCATTTGAAATTATGCTTACAGTATTTTTAACAGTATCATTGCACATGACATGCTAACCCCGTCATTCATGTAGGAAATAGACGAAATTGCTAGGGACATTTGTGTGATCAGGAAGTCAAAAAAAAAAGTTTATTTTGAAAAAAATAAAGTGAATTTCAAACCTTGGGTTTATATTTCTCCGGGTCCGGCAAGGAGAGACAGGATGACGAAGGAGTGTCGAACTCCATATCATCCGGGACGAATCTTAGATCGAACCTCGTGGCTGAGAGTTCGTACTCCATTCCATCACACTCCTCGTACACACTGAACAAACATTTCCGAGTCCAAGGTTGATCATAACTTCATAACAATGACTTATGGTTTAAAACCTCACCTGTTAGAGGTTTCAACTGAATCAAACTCAGCTAAAGCGTAGTAATACTTCAAACGATTGATCTGATACTGTCTTACTCGCTCCATAGCCTCTTTCTCAGCCTTCGCAGCCTAACCATAATAATTAAAAAATTTGAAGGTAAATAAAACGTTTTATCATTCTTAAAATACATATTTAACTAGTTTATCGTTCAAAGTTTCTATTATCTTAAAAGTTATGAGAAAACTAACCTTTTTTCCGGATTTTATCAGGTCTAAATAATCCTCTTCCTCCTTCTCTAGTTCCTCCTGTCTTCTCCTGAGTTCTTGGGGACCTAGAGAATCCTCTTCCTTCAACCTCTCTTTACCGAACTCAGAGACGAAGATTTGAACCCTTTTCAAGCTACCTCCAGGAGGACAAAAAGAAGACAGAGCCTGAAAACATGAGTAAGTGAGTTAGTGAATGAGAGAATGAATGAAGGAGTGAATAAGTGAATTAGTTTATCAGTGGGTTAATGAGTGAATGAGTGAGTCAGTAAGTGAGTAAATGAGTGAGTCAGTGAGTTAGTGAGTTAGTGAGCGGGCGAATGAGTGGGCGAATGAGCGAGTGAATGAGTGAGAGACTGTGTGAGTGAATCCGTAAATAAAAAAGCTAAGAATTATTATATGATTGAATGAAAACAATTCAGAATTATTTTGCTCACCAAAAATATATCTTCCGCTCCAACCCTATCCCAGTCCATATTACAGACAGCCAGCCTCTTAGTTGCCTCCTCCGTCCTCTCAGCGTCCGCGTCAAGCTCTCCCCATTTATCAAAAGCGTCCTCTAGCTCTTCCTCATCCTCCGAGGACTCGTCTGAACTGGAGTCGGAGAAAAGTGTTCCTTCTCCTCTAGCGTAGTCGACATTTACATCTCGTAACTTAGCCTTTAATATTCATAGATAAATAAAAGTAGATTTAGATGAAATAAAAAATTAAAAATAAAGTTTCCGAGAACCTTAATCACTGCTCACTGAACAAATTAAATAATTTTTTATTGTGTTATCAATAAACCCTACAAAGCTTAGCTCTTGAATTGCATTCTTAGTTCTAAAATTTCAAAAATGCATTATTTTGATAATTTCTTTTTTATTGGCCTGTAAATGTTACACTGAGTGAAGAAAAAAATTTCACGACTAAAGATAAACTTAAAAACCTAAAGATAATATTTTAGTAAGAAGTAATTTTGGTTAGGCTAACATCTCTACTTGCAATGGTATTAGGGTTGAAAGATAGGTATAACCAAATTCAGCAAGTTTTTCAATATAACCAAATAACGCACTTTACTCTACCTTGACGGTGGGTTCTAGATTTACTTGAACGGCTTCATCAGATTCTGATTCTGATTTTTCTTGTGTTTCATCCGGATCATTTTCATCTTCACTGCTCCTGGAGTCGTCTTCAGATTCCTCTTCCTCCTCGGCGTCATCGTCGTCATCCTCACTCTCAGACTCATCAGAACCCTTGAGGTCGTAATATTTTCTGTAATTCTCTTTGGATGTAAAATTCTGAGGTCTTCCGCGCTTATCCACGGTACATTTAGAGACAAATCGTTCATCGTTAAACATACTTTGGAATCGTTTATCAATCTGGACTTTTTTCTGCTTCTTCCCTCCACCCCGAAACTTGCGATCCGTTGCAATCTTAGCAAATCTCTCATCCTTCAGGATCGAGTCCATTTTAGTCTGAAAACACGAGTTTAGCTGAATACAATGAACCAGAGATAAAACCAGTTTTCAAAATAAACATAGTGACCAAATCAAAATGCTTTAACCTTAATGCTACCGAAATCAGGAAAATTTAAGGATGAAAATTAATCTAGATTGGGGGAGGGCCGAGGGACGGGGCTCCGCTGCTTGCTACTCCGGGTCCCAATAACATCTGAGTTTTCTGCTGCTTCTGCTGATCCATAATGGACAATCGCTCAGTCTCAATCATTACCTTAAAATACGAATAATACAACCACTGTGCAATTAGAGAATTTTCAGATTTGGGTTGGCATTTTAGTTCCGTCAATTCAGGCATCTTTGGTAGGGTAATAGAATATATGACACCATAAATTAGAAATCCCTGTGGAGCCCTTTTTGAAAAATCCATTTTAAGAAATCGTAAAAATCAAGTGCATTTTCATGTTTAATATCAAGTATTACTTAGTTATTCTTTAATATTCTATAAATCATGATTCAGATTTTTAATGCAGTATAAAAGGTAAGATGGGATGGTGACTATAATTGCCGTGACAAAGTTGGATGACGGTTAAACTTAATGCCAATCAGTTAAATATGAAGATTAAATATGTATGGAAAGAAAGAAATAAAACTGTTGTTCAGAGAAGAGATTGACAGAACCAGTGAACTAAAGATTTAGAGAACTATATTTAAACATTTCCGAGATGAGAAGCTGAAAGAGTACTTTGGAGTAAAGGACCAAAAGGGAAAAGAAGGAAGAAAGAAAAGTTGGTTACAGAAGGAAATAACGTAGAAGTAAGTATGAAAAGAAGGAAGGAAGGAAAGTTGGTTACAGAAGGAAATAATGTAGAAGATAGTATGAAAAGAAGGAAGGAAGGAAAGTTGATTACAGAAGGAAATAAGTATGAAAAGAAGGAAGTAAGGAAAGTTGGTTACAGAAGGAAATAACGTAGAAGTAAGTATGAAAAGAAGGAAGGAAGGAAAGTTGGTTACAGAAGGAAATAACGTAGAAGTAAGTATGAAAAGAAGGAAGGAAGGAAAGTTGGTTACAGAAGGAAATAAGTAAGTATGAAAAGAAGGAAGTAAGGAAAGTTGGTTACAGAAGGAAATAACGTAGAAGTAAGTATGAAAAGAAGGAAGGAAGGAAAGTTGGTAACAGAAGAAAATAACGTAGAAGTAAGTATGAAAAGGGGAAAAACATGAAACGAGATAAACCCTATGAAAGAATACAAAAAATGCTATTAGACTCTACCGGCATAAATAGAATTGAAGCTGTTGAGAAGAATATCCATCCTGCAGATCTACTGAAACCATAAAGATACTGAGTAGCAGACCAAGAACTTTTAAACAAGGATACAGTTCCAGAGCGTATACTCTCAGGGAACATTTCAGTCAAACCTAGAACAAATTATTATTTAACTCTCTAAAACAGTAAAAAATGTCGATATAAATCCGGTAAAACGATTTTGATCAATTGAGTTTATTTATGAATCTGCCTGTCCTACCTACTAATCTTTCAACCAGTGTCTCATCAATATCATCGTCATCCTCCTCCTCATCGTCCACAGAGACAGGATTCATGGTTCGAACCTAATACATTTCAATAAATAAACAAGATTACTCAAAAGTTAACAAATTTAAAACGAAATATTTTAACCAACATCAAATCAATGTATTAATATCATCTTAAATCCATCCAGTCATCAATATTAACAACTAATAAATCAATTATCAATAAAAACAATCATAAAATTGTAAATTAATAAATCCGTCCATAACTCTACCTGAAATGATAAATCAATCAACCAACCAACAATTAACCATCAAATCTCGAACCGGAATAAATAATTTGTTTGAACTGAAATTAAGAATATCAAGACAGTGCCTTAGAAGGTTGAGGAGCAGGAGGAAGAGGGTCTCTAGGAACTTCCTCTACATCATCGACATCTTCAACAACAATGGGTTCAATTAGTTCAGCAGAAGCTGCAGCAGGTTCAGGAGCGGCTTGTTCGGTGACAGCATCTGATTCAGGAGCAACATCTGGTTCAGGAGCAACACCTGATTCAGAAACAGCATCTGCTTCAGGAGCAGGAGTAGATTCGACCGGAGCGGATTCAGTTGGAAGAACAGGTTCCTCAGCAGCAGGTTCAGCAACAACGTTTATGAGTTCAATGTTGTCTAGAGGAGGATCATCTGCTGGTACAGAGTTGGGGACTGATTCTTCAGATAGAACCTAAATATCAAATCATAAAAGGGTTTCCTTGAATCAGAAATGTTTTCAGTAACATAAAAATATTTGGATTTGAGTTTGTATATCTCTGACCTCGGAATTCTCATTTATACTCTCCTCAATCTCCTCTGGTCCGATTTCTTCTATAGAACCGTTAGAACCGTTAGAACCGTTGGAACCATGCTCAGACATCTTTCTGAAATATTTTACATTTTCTTAGAGGGACGGATAAACGCTCTTTTAGCTGCAACTCTTCTCATTTGTTTATCTCGGACCTCCAATTTATCTCCAACCTAAAAAAACAGAATATTATAAATATTAAAGGATAAATAATTTAGTTTTCATACATTGAGGATTCTAAAAACGTCTTTGAACACAATTCTTGAACAAGGTCCAATAAAAAATTGAAAGCCATCTTTGAAATTATTAACAGAACTAGTTTCAAAGTTTCTAATCTTCAGTCCGCACAGCGGATAAGATTTACTAAACTTCTCAGAAATAATAAAACATTTATTAATACCCTAGCATAGTTATCCTAAGTGATATAATCAAGAGTATTTCTTACAAATCTTTGTTTCTAAGTATGTTGAATCCAAAAAAAGATGTTTGCTCTTGATTTAGAAATCTCTGAATTCGTGAATATAGTTAAGATTTACCTCTTCCCAGATAACATCCTGTTGTTCTACTGGGACTGTATTCCTATACTCCCTCATCATATCATACTTCAAGGTCTGCATATTCCAACCTTGGTTCCCTTCAGCCATCCATCTAACATTATTATTATAATCATCATCATCATCATTATTATTACAATTATTCAGAGAACCCGTCACTTTATGAGAATGAATAAACTCACTTTCTTTGTGTCAGGTTTCCAGATGTCAAAAATTTATTTAGAGTGTTGTTAATCTTAAACGCTTGATCTCAATATCCAATTTGGGCACTTTAAATGATTGATCCCACAATAAGATATCCCTGCTGGGTTGTCACCACCACGGGATATCGAACGCATGGATTTGTGCTCAGATTGAAGGTTTAAGTCACATCTGTAGAGAGAGGTTCAGAGTTCATCTTTTTAGAGGGATAAACCCATAAAAGGTATTTTAAGGTACAATTTTTAATAAGTTGCTTTAGGTTCAATCTGATAAAACTAGAACCTATCCGGATCCTATATTTACCTCATTTGTCTCCGAACCTTGCCGGGAGTAGGATAAGGATTTTGTAGACTATATCCTTTCATTATCTCAGTGTATCTTTCCCATTTCTGACCCCAAGGTCGATCATTTAGCGGAACAACTGCAATATGGAAAATGTAAAAAATATTTCACACAACTTCTTAAACATTAAAATATTTCACATTTTTTCATCAAAAAGAGAACCTAAGCCGAGAACAATTAATTCGACCAAATCTCATTTTGAATTTGAAATGATAATTCGTTTTAATCCTGACTTTTGATTGGCCTAAATTAGACATACATATATATTATATAGTCCTTGAATCGTCCGAACATTGAGCAATGAGAAAGGGGTGTAGAAGGGTTTAGGAGATATTTCCGTAGAAACTGTTTCAAAAATATTCTGAAAAGGCTTGAAAAGGTTTGAAAATGTTCTGTAAAGGCTTGAAAAGGCTAGGAAAGGCTTAGCAATGTTAATATTGGATAATGGTTTACCTATATTATTAACTGGCACTGGTGCCCCGTCAGGTAGAATCTCTGGTTCCAGATTAAAGGGTACAGTACTATACTCAGGAGGGGCATCCCTTTATAAAACAAAGATTAGATTTAGAAGAAAAGAGGTTAAATCTACCCCCTCCCCCCCCCCCTCTCCCTCTCGTATGGGAGACCTAGACCTAGATTTGAAAACTGTTTTCTTTAAGATTGTTACTTGTCTTTCTTTTTTCATTTCCGTTATTTTATGAATTAATTTTACCCTTTTCTCGTTCAATTCTTACCCAATCCCAGTATTCTTTTCTAATATCCTATTTTTAAGTGTTTTTTTTTATTCACAATCTTTCAGATTTTGTTTACAATTATTATCGCCAGTCATAGATAAATTCAAAAAATCTACCTTAGATAATAAAGTTCTTCGTCTAATCTCCGTTCTAGTCTTAAAACCTCTATCTTGACGAGGGTTGGATTATACATCTGATACATAAACTCAACACCTTGACCTTCAACAACATTGCGGAGTATAAACCAGGCTCGGAGTCCGCATCCACCACGGTCAATACAGATTCCAACAAACCGAGATAACTGAAATATCATTCTCTGTATAATGATTTTCCTACAGGTATGAACTTTTGAATAAACGGAACTAATTTGAATCAGCAGCTGACGTTGCAAAGAATTCATGTCTAATTGATTGATGGGGCCGGTCTGTTCGACTTCCTTTATCTAATCATTAAATGATGTTAATAAAAAGCGGCAGAGTTAATGATAGAATTGAAATTAGTTTAAACTATAAGAGATGTCCAATCAAATCTAACCATCTCCGAGTAAAAAGACCCACATAATTTTATTGTTTGAGGCTCCCTCGTACAGTATACAAAATCATGAATTCACAAAACATATATAGACAATTTTTTTCATGTCTTACTTTGTTTGGATGTGGACTATTCTCATCGGCAACAGTTACTGCAAGATTACTCCCGACATAAAATTCTAGAATAAGAATTATAATTTTTTTAGTACAAAAGTATATTAACAGAAATACCCAGTCAAAAAAGTTAATGTCCAAGCTTCGTATTTATCAATTTAACAAAATTAGAATTTTCATGAAAAATTAATAAAAAATGTATGAACTACAATTGTTTTCAACTTAACACATAGTGATCAAATAAGATTCTAGTAATGTTTTAATAAATGTGCATTGTGCAGTAAACTCGTCAATTGTTAAGTGTAATGATTTTTTAGCAACCATTTCATAACTTATTGATTAATGTAAAGAGCTAACTAAGATTTAAACCTGGTATTTCTATCTGCTCTCTTCTATTAAGCATATCTCGTCGCTCCAACTTCTCTCTAATATGATTCCTCCATTCAGGTTTAGGATCAGGGAGAAACTCCGGGAAAATATATCTATAATCACGCCGAGATAGAGAATTCTTCTCCTCGGGTTCAGTTTCCTTTTGTTGCTCTGATGGCTTCTCCAGCTGAGCAAGGTTGAAAGTTAACGATATATTTCTGGTGGATTGCGTACAGGTTCTCCTCAAGGTTTGAGATACCGGAGAGAGTAAACATGTTAACATTCTCTTCTGTAAATATATAAATACATATCTAGTTGAAGGTGAGGAGCTGGGGAGGAAAGTGTCCAGCTTCTCCAACCTGTCTCAAACTGACGTTTCCACTGGGTCGGATCTCAAGGATGGTTATACTACCATTGTGCACAGACATTCTAAACATTACCAAATATTAAAATCAATAAATCAAGATAAAAAATATCAAGTTTAGATTTATGGATAACTAGCTGAAGGGCTCGGCGTTGCCCGTTTAAAAAAGAAATCTAAAAGAAATTTTTTTTAGATTAAAAATAATTTAAATTTTGAAAAAAAGAAATTTCGAATTTTGTTTAGCCTTAATCACCCCCCGGCCATCCATGAGTGTCTACAGAAAAATTCAGTCTAATCGGTCCATCCGTTTGGCCGGCTATGTACAACATATATATTAATTTCTTGTTTTATTATATAGATTATTTAAAAATGCATTTGATAAGAAAAAATTTGCTGTTTTTGATTTTCTTGTGTTTTTGCGTCTCATAATCACAAATCAAAAAATGGAATGTAGGGATTGCTTTGAGCTCCAACGAACAAATGAGTGGTTAAAGTCTCAAATGATTTTCAGCCTGGTCCTAGTTTCTTACAATTTCTTTATAAAAAAAAAGTCCAAGTATAAGTTCTAGGATCCCAGCAATACGAACAAAAATAAAATGCGAGTTTCTAGTTGGTTCTGAAGAGGCTTTTACTGAGTGTAGTGATAAAACTTTGAGGAAAGTAAATATATACTCCGGGCAGAGTTCGGTATAATTCCATCCAATGCGATCCCAAATGTTGATTGATTGATATGCGAGGTTGAAATTCATCTTGTTGTTGTTGTTGCAATAAAAATAGAAAAACGATAGAAAACAAAATTTTAATTGCAGTATGTACTGCACGGGAGAGTTTAATTTTCTGTTATTATAATTTATCTCTAATATTTACATCTGTTAACACCACAAATTTCCGAACTTAAAAAACTTGCAAACAGTTCACAATGACACAGAAAGTGTGCTTTCCTTCTCCAAAATGTTTTTAATCGGGATCGAAGATGGATTTATATGGACTCCCTGACTCCGTGGTATAACCTGAGCCAGGCAGCAGGATCTAGTTGAAGAGCTCTGCATACAAAATATCTGATAACGTTCCCGTGGCAGACCAGGATATCAACACTGGTCTCACTCTAAATCATAAATAAATAAATCAAAATGTAAAATGTAGAATCTATATTTATCACCCCTAAATTATAATGGGGTCTCTAAAATAAAATTAGAAATAATGTTGGGCCAATTCAAATCAAATTATTCTTTGCATGGATTGCTTGAGGCATCCTTCTTATGATTAGGAGTAAAAGAATTATTTAAAACCGAAATTTAAAATTTAAATTTTCCTAGAAATATTAGAAAATTGCAGAGATAAAAAATAGCCCCCTCTTTCTTATAAAACCTTCCATGACTATCTAGTTATCTATCTATCTCATATATATATATATAGAAGGACGGAACCCAGAAGGTGTAGAGGACGAAAATGAATATTTTAGAAGAAAACGTTGAAGAATATATTTCCTAAACCTCTATTTCTAGTAAAACTAGAATAGATTGATAACCTGGGAAGGATCTGCTCTGTGAAAATATTTTCTGAACCCTGCTTCTATCCTTGAACCCTCCTGGAAGAAGTCCCAAGGGTCGGGACACCATTTATCTAAGTAAGAAAAATGTTAAAATAATTCCATTAAATTGTTATATATAAAAACTAGGCTGTCTTCTATTTCCATTGTAAACATTTTCTCTTTGTATACATTGTAAAACAAAAACAAACAAAAAATTAAGCAGATTTTATAAAAAAAATGTCGTGGATTTTCACAATTCTCAAAATTCGAATTTTGTTAGAGGCAAATTTTTGAAAATTCGATCATCAATAAACCTTCCGTGATCACGCGAGGTCCCACAAAAAATTTGCGCCCGATCGGTTCAACCGTTTTGACGTTTATTGGATACAAGCAAACAGACAAGCTAAGTATATATACATAGAAGTAATCTTTTTTTTAAATTATTAATAATAATAGGTAGATCTAAAAGGGTACCCGACATGCAAGTTATAGTTTAATTGTATTGTATACCCAATTATAGATTTAAATATATATCTGTCATCATATTTTCTTAGTGAAGTATCACGAATTTTTTGCGCTCTTGATGCGATATCGACCAGTTTTAATCAACTATTGATCTTTATCGCTAGGAGAATTAACTTACCAGTTGGAGGGTCTGGTGGACAAGGAGCTCCTTCTCGGATAAGATCACAGCTATCTATGTTGAGACCGGGTAGATGGGAGTGTATAATATCGCCAGTTTCAGTTGCTCTCTTCATGGTCGACTTGACGAGACGTATACGAGGTTTCTCCACGTTTCCATTATCATCCTATTTGTTAATTTAAATCAGTTTGCATACAGTTAAAAATTTAGCTTTTCAGCAATGAGAAGTGAAAACCTTTTTAGGTTCAAGGAACTCATTGAAGAGAAGGTTAAGTCTCTCTCCGGTTAGCGCTGCTTGTTTCCGTCCCAGCTCAGTGAGGTACCTAGAGCAAGACATAGTGGAACCAAGGCCAGACGATTATCAAAGCAAAAAAATAAATCATTTGAATTATCAATTTCTTTTCATCTTTTAAATAATATGATGACCAAATAGATTCTAGTACAATAGATGGCAACGTAGAATTTGTACACTCTCAGTACAGTTGTATTCTGTCGTCACAAGTGTTAATTCAGTTTTTGTATCCGACAAAATCATCAATAATAGTGATTATCTTAGAATAAAGTGCTTTTCTTACAGTAAAATAAGTGCAATTTTATGTGTTCTTTTGTTTCTGTTTTTACACTTTTTTATCTAATCTTGGAAAACATGTCAACTAATGTGAGAAAATTTCGTTTTCCTTGTTATATTTGACACTTGTGACGTAGTGTATAATTGGTTAATTTCTCTGTTTCCACCTATTGTACTTGATAATCTATTTGATGATGACGATTGGTGAAGGGAAATACTATAATCTATCTATCTATCTATCTATCTATATATATATACTTTGCTAGTCTGTTTGTCCGTTTGTATTCTATAAACGTAACGGCAGAACCGATCTGGCACAATTTTTTATGGGACCTCACATGACACCAGGAAAGGATTGTGGAAGGTCAATATTGAAAAAATGTGATTTAAAAATGTGGATTTTTCAATATCCGCAAAATAACCCGATTAATCCGTGATTTTATTTGTTATTTTCATATTTGAAGATGAAGCCTAGTATTGCATAGTACAAACTGGTGTGTTTATAAGAAAGCATAAACCAACCTTTCATCATCCTCTGTACCGCTCAAGTTGTATTGACCGTGTCTCACCAATACAAGTATTCTGCTAGCCTGTGATAAAATTAGAGGCTTAAACTTTTATCTGGGATAGTGTTTAGTGACAACAACTTAATTTGATATGCACTTCGTAAAATTGAAGGATTTAACTAAACCCGGCAGAATTAATACAAATTTTTTTTCAAACCTTATTTATTTTCTTTTTTATACCTTAGGCTTGGCCTTCTCCAGTTCTTTCTGGTATTCTGCTAACTTCTCTACTGAATCATCCTTCGGCTTCCGAACCACGCTCACTGGGTCTCTCAGATCCCAATCCTTGTCCCACTATATAACAAGATTACAAAATTATATTTTATCTTTGAACCTTTAAAAACCTAAGAAAAGTAAATATTCGGATGTAATTTCTAAAATTCATAGAATTGAGGAAGACATAAGACATTTGAACATGGTTCAGTGATTAACAAGAAAACCATTAAACTCAAATCAAATATTTGTTATTACTAGAGAAGCATCAGAACAATAATGAAGAATATGTTTCTTTTCATACTCAGTAACTCTACTACAACAATTATAAATTAATTTCCATCCAAGTATTTCAAACAAAGTTACTTGACATTAACATCTTTTAGCAAAATGGATTCCCTTGCCCGGTAAGGGAGATTTTTTCCACTAGATATATTCATAGTTCATACCTTAGACCCTGTTCCCATGTAGAGGTTGTTGATTCCATTATTATCGAGATCTTTAGCTTCAAGGTGGAATTTATTTGGAAAATTCACTAAATGTTATTTATATAAATTATGAGAATTAATTAATCGAATAAATCCACCAACCTTTGATCTTGTTAGAAATACATACTCCAGCTAGAGTAGCGGTGCCTACAGCTGAACCCAACTTTAATACTTTTAGAAATAATTTGGATTTCATCTGAAAGCACGAGATACATTAATGCAGAGAATTTTTAAGATATAAATACTGAGGGACAGACAGAAAATATGATTTATTTTTTTCGTTTATTAGGAGTTGTGCTTGGTGTGGATCTTGTTATATGACGTTTCGGAGCAAACTTGTCATCTTCTTTTGGGGTTCTTGGTTCAGTTCGAACATTTTTCAGAATAAACTTAGATTTGTCTTTATCCTTTTCTCTTTCTTTTTCAACTTCTTTCTCCGGATTTTTATCTTTCTCCTTTTCCTTCTCTTCAGTTTTTTCCTTTTCTGTATCAATATCTTTTTCGTTTTCCCTATCTGTTTCTCTGCTCGGCTCATTTTCTGTTTCTTCATCCAAAAACTTTTCTTTCTCGGTTTCCTTTTCATCTTCCCGAAGCTTTTCATTTAATTTTTTAATTATTTCTTCCCTTGCTTCTGCGTTCAACCATTCCTCTCTCCGCTCCGGGATAATATCGTCTTCATCCTCGTCCTTCTCCAGATCACGAATACGTTCATCATCCTCAGTTTCAGGTCTGCCGTCAGATTTATTACTCTCCACCTCCAGGTGAGCAAAATGATCGTCATCGTCATCATCAGATACGAGATCATAATCAATATCATCATCGTCGTCCGAGTTATCAATATCAAGGTCTCTATGATAAGGCGAACTCCTGGACTCCGATCCTTCAGATTTAGGCGTGGACGGAGTTCTGGACATGAAGTATCGGCTTCTAGACTTCTCTCTCCAGTCACACTGACGATTAAGAATCAAAGTTTCAAAATCTTTTCTCGGTAATCGGAACTCCTTCACCTGAAAAATAAGAATATGTTGTGGGGTTCGTTTGGTCAGCTTTTTGTTTGTATTTTAATCAAATAAGCAAAGTTTACACCAAGTATGACAAGGGGGGGGGGGGGCTGATAGAAACATGGATAATAAATAAGAACTAACTGAAGAAAAAAAGTTTTTTATAGGTTTATAATACCTCCAACGAAAAAGGAATCTTATCCTCTCTGTCCTCCACTGCTCTCAGATCAAACATAGATTTTAGTTTCTTCCAGATAGAAGAGGGTAGAACCTCTTTCCCTAGCTCCTCCGTCAAACGATCTGATACTAGAGCAACGGCGAAATGTTTATTGATCCCAGCAGGTTTATGAATCAGCAACGCCTGAAATGTAAAATTTAAGTTGAATTCATTTTCTTTCAAATGTAATTTTTCTATTTCTAGACAGAGGTATGGTCCATAACTTTTGGCATGAACAGGGAGCGTTGAGTAATAGATGTTGCTTTACTATTTTATCAGAGATTTAGCAACTAGGTTAAATTTGAAGAAATTTATTCTGCCCCCCCCCCCTCCTGAAATAAGTCATTTAGAGATTCCAAGATTTTTCACTAAAAATATTTCATGTAAAAAATTGATGGAAATGATTGTGGGTTGAAATTATATAACTAGTTGTTGACCTGGTAAAGAGCTAGTTCAGAAGTTACATCCCAAGTAAAATCTTGCTCCGGCAACTTCCAAACCTCCTCCTCTGAAGCGTAGGAAGACATTGCAGGATCTAATAATACAAATATCTTCAATTACAGTTTTAAGGCATTAGTGAAAAAAAGTCTCCAGTAGAGACGTACACGAAAATCTGTCCAGGACTAAGGGGGGCCTTACTTCCTAATTATTCCAGAGGGTGCAGAGCCCCCATTTACGCCTGAATGCCACCTGAAAATAATTTTGTACATGGGTGTGACAGGAAGTTTCTTCACTTAACCTAACCCGTGGCCGCAGCGCTCGGCCCCCTAGCCCATCCTAGCCGCAGCGCTCGGCCCAGAAAGTGTCTTAACTAACCTAACCCGTGGCCGCAGCGCTCGGCCCCCTAGCCCATCCTAGCCGCAGCACTTGGCCCAGAAAGTGTCTTAACCTAACCTAACCCTAAATAACAAAAAAATAAACAATAATAAATTTGCTGAAAATAAATGGTCATGTACAAAATTGATAGGAGGGGGGGGGGCTGGGGGGGGTCCAAAAATCGTATACTAGGACAGACCCTGACATTTAATTTGTATTCGTCATTCAAAATTAAGCTAGAACCACAATTAATTTTAATAAAATTATTTTCTTTCACTTATAGTTTTGACTTAAATATATATGATATAAAATATATATAAAGTACATATATATAACACTTATTTATTAAACAATTAACAAGACACAAATGCCGAGATTCTTATGTACTGTATATACCTACAGTACACACCTTCGGTTCGGTTTCACTTATATACACACACTCTGTCGGTACAGACTCACACACATGACGTTTCCGCCCCCTGTTTTCTTAACTCTAGATACAAAACGAAAAATCCTACTTATTATGATTTGTTCACAAGAATACATTGACTTTTTCTCAAAATTTTAGAAGAGAACTTGAGAAGTGCAAAGCATTGGATTTGCTGCGTATCATTAAAAATAATATGAGAGAAATTTCGTCTTCAATTTTTAGCAACTATTGATCGATAGAAAATTAAATAACAAAAAATGGAAAAATTAAATTAATCAACAGAAAAAAAATATTTCATTTAAATATTCTTCTCACTCTAATATGAAAAAAAATACTTATTTTTTCAAATCTACAAAATGATGTACCCCAAAAGAATTTCCAATGCCGCGCATGCCGAATGTGAGGCCGCTGAATGAAAGAAAACCCCGCGGCATATCGAATAGAAATCGTGTGAGCGAAACAAACAAAGATTTTCAAAGCAATCTGTTATGTTTAGAAAGGACTAAAACTACAACTACTTTTTATCCTTCTTTAAAATGTCGGAAGATATGTCTAAGACTGAGAAGGAACGGCAGCTGGACGAAAAAATAAAAGCTATGAGAGCCAAGAATGCAATGGCTATGGAGAGAAAGAAAGAAGTGGATAAAGATAAACAGCTTGCAGAGATCAATAGATCGAGTGTTACGTCCGTAATTAAATCTAAATATGAATCAGATTCATATTTTCCTCCTGATAGACTGAAAACTAAGCAGAGAACTGCATCTGAAGAAGTTCCAGAAACGAGAAAAGAAAGTTCAAGGCGCACTGGAGGAAGGTTTGGAGACACTGAGGGGCCTCCACCTGACCCTGGATACAGGTTTCTAGCGGATAGGATGAGAGAAGAGGAGATCGAGGAATCATTCCGTAAAGGTCGGGATACAGGCCGAACTACTGGATCGGGATCTAAAGCATCTAAGCCATCAACTGGTAAATCTGTTAAGGACAGGTTGTCTAACTCTACTTCTAATAGAAATGAAGAGAGGGGAAGAGAAAGGAAGCAGGAAGAAGATGATATAGTTGTTATACTGGAAAAGGACAGGTTTGGTCGAATTCAAAATCATTCGTCTCCTCAATCCTCAAGAGTTGAAGATCGTAGAACTGTGATGAGAAAACAAACGACTGGAGCCAGTACTGCGATCTCCAAAGATGTGAAACCTACTAAGATTAAAAGTTTATTTGACGATGATGATAAGTATGTGCCGAAAGAAAAATGGATTAGTGAAGAACCCAAGGGTCTAGTAACTCCTCGAAAAATCGAAGATCAAAGTGGAAAGATCACTATTACAAGAACAGTTGAAAACTTTAAACCCACCAGAGAACCTGAACCTTACAGGGAGAAAAGTATTCCTCCAAGGTTTGATAAACGAAGTGAGCGAAGTCCTAGTTTCTCCGGGGACTCAACACAGGAGGATTTTAGTGTTAGTGAGGTAGCCTGGCAGTGTAGTGATCCTGCCTGCAACAGAACGAATCTCCCAGGAACATTTCAATGTTCTCACTGTAAACTCGCTTACGTTAAATCTAATGAATACAAGAACAGTCTGGCCTGTGAAAAGTATAAGCAGGAGTTTACTAGGAAACCTAAACCTAACCAATATTCCAACGGTGGGAATCCTCCAATTCCTCAACCCTTGTTCCAACCCGAAGCTCAGCTAAGAGAATGGAAGCCTGAACCTGTGGAGATGGTTGCATATGGAAACGAGTGGAATCCTGGTCTGAGCATGAATCAATGGCAATTGTCTCAGGACCTGATGATGGCCCAGCAGTATAGTATGATGGTTAACACAGTTCCTGTTGCTAGTTTTCAACCCCCTCCTCCTCAACCCTTCTATACCCCTACTCAGATACATCCTGCTCAGCAGTATTATTCCCAACCAGAGTACATAAGTAACCCGTATCCTACAGGTCCTCACTTCTCTACCTACCAGGCTCACAACGCTACAAACTTTAATCCATCTGCTCAATCTTTTATTCCTACCAGTGAACCTGCCCCGGGTCCAATATTCCAGACACCTCCCCCTGCCATTCATTCAGGGTTACGTATTCCTTCTCATCCTGTGAGACCTCCACCTAATTCAGTTAAACCCCTAGATCCTAACCTACTCATTTCTCTGAAGAGTCCTCCTAAACCTTTAGCATTTAATCGTGGACAAGAGCCGAGAAAACAGTTCTCCGACGGCACCTATAGAAACTATGAGGAGAGTTCTCTAAGCTCTCGACTAACTGATAAGAATTCTCAGAACAGTAGATTACCACCGCGGTTTAATAAGAACAAGGACTACACTAGTACCGTGAAACCTCCTTCTATGGTTGAGATGCAGAGTGGATCACTGAAGAAAGGTTCTGCTCCTCTCCCTCCTCCAGCTAACAAAGGGAACGGACTGCTCGTTTTTGGGACCTCTAATGTAATGAACCACCTGGATACTCTGAAAATGTCTAAGATGTGTAAGTTACCCGTACGACTAGTTGCAGCCATGAAGCTGGAAACCTTTGAAGAGAAAGTACAGGAGGTCAATCCGTCCAGAGATTGGTTGGTTCTCATCCACGGACTAGGTAAATTATTCATTTCTCACCAAGAAAGTAGTCGATTATATAGCGGCACTTTTATTCAATGTTATTTTGTGGGGTTAAGAGTTGCAATTCTCAACGTTAGGGATAATAATTTCTTCACAATGTTTATTTGCCTTATACAATAATGAGATGAATTTTGTTATTATTTCAAGGTTTGTTTCTGAATCAGAAAATTAGTAATTTTCAATCATTTGAGATTTTGTTATTTAGGTAATGATGCTCGAAATATTGCTCTGCGCCGGAATAGCGATCAAGAGAAGGCGAAGGAAGCAGACGAAGTGGCAAACAAGTTTTGCGACTTGATCGAGGACAAAATTCTCAGTGTTTCCTCTCATATCTGTGTTCTCATATCAATGCTTCTGCCCCGATGTGATTTCCAGGAGAGGTCCGGAATGTCCAACCCGAACAATGTGAGGAAAGTGATCAATGTACAGATAACCTCAAGGTTGTATGAGAACTCTCGTGTAACCTTGATCAACTCCGACCCAGTGCTAGTCTGGGATCAGGACGAAGAAAAGAAGAAGAACCTCATGCAGTCTGATGGATATCACCTGACGCAAGTTGGATTTGACCTTATGGTTGAAAACTGGACTAAAGTACTCTCTAAGCATTTGAACTTGAAGGTTCCAACGAAAAGTGTAACTTCTCCATCATATGAAGAAATCCAGAATCCTCTACTTGAGGAAGAATCAACCTCAATCTCTACAGAGGAAGAAGTTGTAGAATCGGTACCTGATCCTTTTGAAACCTATACAGCCCCCTCGGCCGTCCTATCTCCTAAGACTAAGTTGGATGGGGAGGATGTAGATCTAGAGAGCTCTAATGATGATTGGGATGATGACTCAATACCCAACCTAGAAACTGTCCCACATAAGTCGGATGATGTAAACACTGATCAAGACCCTACAGCTGCCCCAATACCGTTCTTCAATGGGATATCTCACTCGGAGAACGGTGACGGTTTTATTGAGGATGATTACTGTGGAGATGGGGTTGAGAGATTAGGACCCTTGCCCAGTCTTAATCTAGTTTCAAGTGGACCAGAGTCAGACTTCGGCCCAGTTTCAGGTCAGTTTTTAGTAAATCTCAGTTTTTTTCGCAATATGACTATTACTAAAAGTCGGCGGTTAACATCTTTGAAAATTCTTGATTAAACTCGTAATTAAATCAGTATCCAAGTGTCTAGTTAACGTTCTCGGCTTCTAAGCCGTGACGGTGTTTTTTCCCGCAAAATTATTTAAATAAAGATTAAAAAACCAATGTCTTTCACATTGCGCATAAACAATTTGAATTTAATATTTGATATAATCTATTTAGGACTTTACATGGAGGACAGCTACCTACCTGAGAGTATAGAGACCCTCTCAATATCTCGTATATCTACTCAGATTAAGGATTTATCTGCTGATTCACTACTCTCGGAACCTATCCAAGAGGAGCTGATAAAAGCCAAGAGTCTGATAGATCAAGTTCAGATTGAACAGAAGACTGAACTAGCATAATCTGTATTTTTTTTCGGTGCTTTTATCCTTTCAGTCTTATTTAACATTTTTATATCTTGGGGTTTTGGGGTTTGCGCTAAAATTATAAAAATATCCGTGGTTTTTTCTGTCTGAAAATCCTGTTTCAATTGCCGTTTCTCTATTTAAAATGATTAGTAGATTTATACGGTAGAGATGATTTATCTAATCTGACATTCTCATTGTGATTCTTTAAATTGAAGGGATCGTCGCAAAAATCAGGTGGATAGTCCCCGATCTTTCACGCGGAAATGTAGAGACTAAAACGTTATTTCAAGCTACTCTTAAATAAAAATAAGCATTAGAATTATTCACATGGCAAATTATCCTTTCCCAACCGAGATCGTACTTTCCTTTCATATAATTCAAAAATTTTTAAGCAGAATATTTATTATTTTTAATGCAAACGTCTTTTAAAAAAATCAGAAAATCAGTAATTTTTTAATTATTCGAGGGGTAATATGTAATTCTTACTCGTCAAGTAGGTGTCGGATGTGAACCATTTTAATGCTTTTATTGTGAAAGAATCACATCAATCATTAAATTTCAGATCAATTTTATAAAAAAGGTTCCCAATTTCCCCCAACCTGAGAATAGTACTTTGCTCCACTTTAATGATTAGCCGATATTACAAACAAAAAATAAGATAAAAACAAATAAAATCTCTTGCCTCTTTCTATATAATCTTGTTTCACTAGTTTCTGCATACATTGATTAGTTGTATAAACTATGGAATAGGAAGACACTAGACTCTGAGTTATGATTTGAATAGTTAATTAAACATGAAACACAGGATATGTTTTTGATTTTCTAGCTATTGTAAAATTGTTTTTAAACAACCTCAATTACACATAAGATCGTTTTCCTATTCCAAAGTTTAATGGGTCACACTGTTCATACATTAATTAAACCTAATATTTGGAGTTGAGGTATAAATTTGGTTTAACTGTTGCACTATGAATATTTGTAGCTGTACTATGTACATATTCCCGTTGTATAAAATTTAATTCTTTATTGTAACTAACAGATTCTTGGTCACTTTGTTCAATGTTTACTACCATTGATATTGTAATGTTATGTACTTCAAACCGGTTTTATTTTGTACAGTTTCCATATTTTACATAGACTATCATGTGCCTACAATACTGTTCCGTTAATAATTATTTCTTTTAAGCAGCTATGTACATATTGAAATACCTTTAAACCACCATTTACTTGTACTTAGTATACAATTAATGTTAAATCTACCACTTTGGTCGTTAAAGGTGTATGTACCGCACTCAGAAATTTTTATTTCTTTATCTTGTGAGCCCTTGTACACAGTACGTAGCCATTAATTTAACTAACTTCCTAATATTTTCATTTACAGTTTAGTTTAGTTTAATACGTAACCCTTTATCAACTGTTCAAACTGCTCGACGTAACTTTTTGTCTCCCCATTTATACGAATTATAAAAAATTAACTTGTAAAATATTTCATCAATAATTTTTCTTAAGAAAATTTGTTTCGCCTCTCTTTGCTAAATGTAAACTTTATATTGTATCATCATTAATATTGTACAGTTGTTATTATTATTATCATTATTATTATTATTTTTATTATTTACATCCAATGAACTTTAATATGAAGGCAATACAAAATAATACATGAATTTGTTATTATACGTGTATTTTAGTCAGAATCGTGTTGTGAGTTCTGAACACTGAACATTTCTGTTCAAAATATGAAACTATTTGACATTATTCTCCATAGAATCCAGCTTTTCCTCAGAAGAATCACTATTCTTCCGTCTCCGCTTTTCCTGGTCAATTCCTTCCTTTTTCTCCTTCTCAATGTTCTCTAGAATCTTCTGCCATGATCCCTGTTCCGGTAACATGAAATTATATTATCTTGCATGAATAAAGGACATAGGGTCATGGATGAAAAAGAACAGAGCTGGAATCTATTATGTGAACATGTTTGATCTCGATATCCATTGTGGGCACACTACAGGTACACGTGCACTGCGGTTATCAAATGAAGATTAAATTAATCTGAAGATCCAAGCATTGATTTCGATATTCACAATATAAGAGTTTACACATTGTCTGTATGTTCAAATATATATCCAGCAGCGCAAACATACCAAACTTCAGGGGAAAAATTGATTTACTTAAGAGGGGGAGGGGTGATTTTTAAAGAAAACATACAACCCTGACATCCTGTTCATCCTAGGGAGGAAGGAATAGAAGGGAGATATAACTGACGCGGTTCGCCCTACCCTATGATTATACTTGCTTTGCAGACGGGTACTCCATTTGAATAAGAAATATTTGTCTGATGTACAAATACCGCGTATAAAATAACCTTTTCTGAATATTACATATACAAATGGAGTACTCGTCTGCAAAGCATATACTATCATATGGTAGGGCGAACCCTAATAGTGGCTTGAAAGGGTCGATAATGTGTCGAACTCCTTCACATAAATCAAATTGGATAGCTTAACATTAACTTCAGTTGAATACGTTCTCCTGGAAAGGTGTGTAGAGGGGGGGGGGCACCAGATTAATATTTTAAACATGATTTCATTCCTTGAGTTTGATTGGATACTTGGTCCTGGTTTGAATACACTTCTCCTGATCTATTCCTAGACTAGTTTGCTTCACGTGTAGATCATATTCTAGTTTGATCTTCTGGCTGGTTAACTCCTTCAGGGAACTCTCAGCCTACACATTTCATATATTAATCATTGTTTAATCATAGATCGATTATGGATCAATCGTAAATCTATCAGAAATCGATCATGGACCAATGGGGAGGATCAGACTTGGAAAAGATATTTTCTTTTTTTTCCAGTGGCTTTTAAAAATATTAAATGTAACATGCTAAATACAAAATACTAAAATTTAAGCTTTTTGTTTTTAATCTATCCGTATAATTTTCGTTCATTTTGAAACGATAATAATAAACTGTTTTCCTGTTTTCATTGATGGATTTCAATCAAGTTGTTATTAGTAATTACTAATTCTATTGATATTATTTACCTTCCTAAGCTGGTTGTTTAATAGTTGAATATTATCGAGGATCTTAGTGACCTCTCCGACCAGCGTAGATTGGGGATCATCTACACCCTCCCAACCAGATCGACCTCTGCAAAATATCATATTTTATTTCCTCTTAATTCCTATTTGTGATTATTTTCTACTCTCAAAACCTGTTTAACCTGATGATTATGTAAAACTTTGATGTTTCATACATAAATTAACGCACAGACGTTAAATTGCAAATCAAGTTGTCGAGGGTTGAAAGAATATTAAGGAAAATCCTCACTTTCGCAACAGAATAAAGAATTATATATAATTTAACCTGATGGTTCTTTGAGTTCTCATGTTAAGCCGGGTTTGTGCCAACTTTAGAGGAGCACCCTGATATTCAAACCCAACCTGACTCAAGAACCGAAGAAATTGAAACGATGTTTTCTATAAAACTGAATTGTTAACAAAATAATAAATTTAAGGCTGAGTTTTCCTTAGATGATAGAGCAGATTTTAGTTGATCAATCTCCCTCCCTTGCTCCTGGATTTCCTGATAGATAGAAATATAAAGAAACTGAACACTTGCCACAAATTATAATCTTTGAATCCTTCATATCTTTGCAACCTCGTAATTTCAAACTTAGACTAATTGATTATTAAAAGTTGTATCAAAGGTGAACAGCATCTGGTTGCAAAGATGTATGTATTATTTGAGAATTAGCTAAAATGAATCAAATAAATGATAAAGTTTTCAACCAAAAACAATGATTTTTTTACCAAAACAATAGCATCCAGTCGCTCTACAATCTTCTGAATTGAGTGCTTCAAGTTCTCGATCTGAAATACAAAGAAAATAAATAAATTGGGAAAAAATGGAAAAACATCTTTAACATAAGTTTCATCATGGACTTAAAATATTGAAACATCTCCTGTGTTAAACCGGGGGGAAAGAAAACCCTACACGCGCAGAAACTCAAAGTGAAACGGGATTAAAAATATATATATAAGACATTCATGAACATATTTACGTACCGTGGTCAGCATATATATCAATACAGTTACTGAAATGGTGCTATTATTATTGTCAAAGTTTATTTTGCACACAAAATATGGTACGATAAATTTAGACAAAGACATTATTTAAACGAGGAACATAAGTAAATATAGAATATCACTTGTTACTCAGTACAAAACAAAACAAATTATATCATTAAATTCATGATAGTTAAGATCGTTAAAAGAGAAATTGTTTGATCTTATATCTAGCAGTTCATAAATGAAAGGTATTTTCCAATTCTGATCATCAGGTAACTTTGAAAACGTTAAATTTTGTATGACAACATTTTTGGACGAATTGTTGCACTAACACATTACAATCATCTGCAATTGTACTCAGATTTTTACATAAAACTGTTTGTTAATCATTTTTAAACAAACTATAAAGTAAACGAACGCTTGACTTATTTGTACTGTTCATTCTTTCAGAAAAGGCAACAAATCTGAACGCTAATAAAGTTTTTTTGTGCAAGCATCTAGAAATTATGAGTATCTCGGGGAACATCAAATAAAATACGAATGGAAATATTCCATTAATGCTACAGTGAAACCCTTAATAACGAATACATCGGAAGAATTTATCAAATGTCGTCTTGACAATTTTTCAATGAGTTATACTATTTTACGTAAATTTCAGTATTTGCAAAAATAAGTAAATAGCCATGAATATGCGGGAACAGTTTTAAAGAGTTCCATATAATCATTTAATTAAAAAAAACTAAATATCTGCAACATTCCATTATCAGAAAGTGAAGAATACGACATTTGATGAATTCTTTCGATGTATTCGTTATTAAGGATTTCATTGTATAATGCTACCGTGAAAGGTCCCATAATTGGGATCCGTAGAAATCACAAGCATAAATATTGTACAGTTTGACTACGGTTAAAGGGTCGGCAAAGTAAAATTCTTGTCCTAAAGACTGAAGGTTAGAAATGAACTTTGCGCGCTTAACAGATCGAGGCTGAGATCTTTTCAATACAGTATTCGGTATTGAACTGCTAGATATAATACAGAGGCTGACATAAATTTCAATACAATATCCGGTACTGAACTGCTAGATATAATACAGAGGCTGACATATATTTCAATACAATATCCGGTACTGAACTGCTAGATATAATACAGAGGCTGACATATATTTCAATACAGTATTCGGTGCTGAAATGCTAGATATAATACAGAGGCTGACATAAATTTCAATACAATATCCGGTACTGAACTGCTAGATATAATACAGAGGCTGACATATATTTCAATACAGTATTCGGTGCTGAAATGCTAGATATAATACAGAGGCTGACATATATTTCAATACAGTATCCGGTACTGAACTGCTAGATATAATACAGAGGCTGACATATATCTCAATACAGTATTCGGTACTGAACTGCTAGATATAATACAGAGGCTGACATATATCTCAATACAGTATTCGGTACTGAACTGCTAAATATAATACAGAGGCTGACATATATTTCAATACAGTATCCGGTACTGAACTGCTAGATATAGTACAGAGGCTGACATATATCTCAATACAGTATTCGGTACTGAACTGCTAGATAATAAAAAATGGTCGTTGTATATAACTTTGAATTATTAGGTGCCAAAATTGTATTGCATCAACATTCCAGTAACCAACACTGAATTGTTATATATGCTAACCCCTGAATGAAAACTGAAAATTTAGATAATAAACTTTAGACGTCTAAAAGATTTTTAAAAAACTGAAAAGATACAAAAAAATGTATCAAAGTATTACTATTATATATGATACAGCAGGGTTGCTGAAACAATTTGGAATCCTGATTACAACAAATCTTTTATTTTATATCCGTCGATAAAAAGAAAAACTTTTTTTTAAGAATCTGAATTGTCGGCAATTGATATGAAAGTTTATAAATTAGAGAACTAGTTAAACTGCACAATCTCATGGAATTGGGAACAAAACGTTGATATTTTCAAGTTCTGGAGTGTAGTTTCATAATCGCAGAATTTTCACGCCAATTTTTCAGCTTGAACCAGTTCGCATTCATAGATTTTAAACCCAGGTTTCATAGATATATCTTGAGGCTGAGTTCACACTAGAGAACTAGTTCAACTATCTTTACCTAGTTAAACTAGTGATCGATATTTCATTAAATACGACTTTAAACCTATGGGGGTTTTACTTACATTATCCTTAAATGCTGAATTAGTTTTCTTCCAATGATTAATAAGATCTGTGCAGGCAGACCTAACCAAAGTTTCTATATCAGATCTCAGCTGCTGGGACCATTCTCGTCGTTCTAGAAAATACAGGATCAAATACTAATCTGGTTTCAGTCATAAAGAGATTGTATATTTGTTTTATTGTTTATTATCTTTTCAGTGGGGTGGGGAGGCTTGTGTGTGACACCAGTTCCCGTTAGATCACACCAAAAAAATGACATGAACCCTGATTGGATCAGGCTCTGATGGAATCGAAAAAAAGTGTGATGGGCGGCTGTCAACATCTCTCGCAGCGAAAGGGTGCGTGCTTTCTACTCAACAAGAAAGAAGCTTTAAGTGGATTGATACAAGTGAATGATGATGAAGAGAGGAATGGTGGACAAGCAGAGAGAGTCTATGGTTGCCAGCTATAGGTACCTGGAGGTATCCAATCCGTGCTTACAAATGATTGGGAGCAATGATTGTGATGTTTCCCATCTGTATGGCACCCTGGCCTCATTCCAGTATATCAGAAGAATTCCTGCACTGTAACTATTCTCAGGCCTAAGAAGCCCTCAGGAAGCTGGAATCTTGTCAACCCTCTTCTCAGAATAAATGAAGCGTGCTGCCAGATTACAACCCCGTGCAGATCAATACAAAACTCCTACAACACCAAACTTTCGTAATAGAAAAATTCCGAGATGCGATCGTAACAACCCGATCATGTCCTGGGGACAAAAACATCTCTTTAAAAATCTTTTTTAATCGGAACAAATATCAGCCTTTATGGGATCCGTCTTGACTCAGAATACAAAATACAATTTTTTATGATTTCCACGTTAGAATGATTTAAAAGTGACTAAAACGTAATTTCAAGTGACCCTGTTCTTACAGTGTGGCGGTTCCAATTTACAATGGTACCCGTTGTCTGATCATCAATGATAAATTAGATTTTAAAAGTACCGTTGTGAATCGGAGATGAAACTCTGCAAATGAAGGCTCTTCACTTACACTTTGTGGAAATCCTATGTTATTTAAAGACAAACTTACTTCTTGATTCTGCAATCTTTGATTGGGTTTGTGTCTGCCAGGATGCAGGGATAGAAACTACATCAGCTCCTGTATGGAGGGTTAGTTTGTTACTCTTGTTGTTTAGCCTGGAACAACTGGAATCTATGTCAGCTGCTCTAGTTTTGACGTTGAGATCTCTATAGAGGGATCTAACTAGAGCCTGGTTTGATGTTTCTTGGAACTCAACCTGCAGAATATTTCTATTTAAACACAGGGACTATCGAATAGCGGGTTGGACATGGGGGAGCTACAATACAACCGACTGTATGTAGCGTCCTTTTTCTTATTTTTTGATTAAATAAAACCAGACTGACCTGATCTAGTGCTATTTTTATTCTGATCTGCCACAGCCGGATATTTTCTATTTCCAGGATTAGTTTCTGCTCTACCTCATCTAGTACCTGGATCAGGTTTAGATTTAGATAGGACGAATATTAAACTTTCTTACATTGCTTTGGTTAAAAATAATATGGGTCAGAATAAGGAGCAAATGAGTTATACTAAAACTACAAAAGTTATAAATGCTAGGAATGAAAACCATTAGATAAAAATGACTTTATGTTCTCACCTGATCCGCACCTATCCTGTTCTCCCTGGGACAAAAAATATTAAGCTTATATCGATAGATTGGATTGTTTTTTAACATTAATTAATATAATATTCAAATTTTATTTATAAATCCTGCACCTCAAACAAAATTTGAAAACAAGTCACTATTTTAAAGAACTTTTAATTGTCAATTTTAATCTCGATCTTTAGAATTCTAAAACTTTAAAATGAATATTTCCAGTTTGGAAAGTGATTATATTTTTATTTTTTGTTCCTGTTTCTAATGCATTTGTCAGCTAGGCGGGCCGGTCGACAAGTTTGACTGTGCGCATGCTCGAGATTGGAACGAATCTATGAATTTATATCTTCTTTTTCTAGTCTGTAGACTTTGTAAGCTTTTGGTCTATAACTATAAATTACAAAGTACAAGTTATTAATAGGTTAATTTCTATTTGTCATGCAACTGGTTTAGTAACTAATGATTTTGTGATAAAAATAGAAGATTAACTTGGTTAAGCGTTATTATCTTTTTTGCGCAACTAACAAAGGAATTGAGTTTTTGCAACAAACTCTGATTTTATAATCTTTATATTGTCCCAACCAAATGTCGTGGACCTTTGATATTTCAAACTATGAATTCTGTTAGCTCAACAACTGATCAAATGTTTACAACATCAGGTCGCTAATATATTGGAATTCGAAAATTTAAGTTTGAGGCAAAAACTCTAGCTTCAGAGAAAAAAATTCTGGTCATATTAGAAAAAAAAATTTATTTCCATATTTAAAACTAATTGGAGATCTTCCTAACCTCGGAGAGTTTCAACTTCTCCTCCTCCCAGGCGATAACTTCGTTCTCCACCTCCTCCGACCAGAAGATCGTCTCCTCCAACCTTTCTTTCAATCTATGTTCAGCCTTCTCCTAGAGTGCAGAGATCATTTAGATCCAGACTGCTATGACCTGGGTCGACTTTACAATGTCGCCACGCATTTGACCTTTGATTTTACTTTACTCATTAACTTATACTTTTTGTAGCCCTAGACATGCTTTGCTTTAATCTTTAAGAAGTAATTGACAAATCTCCTCGATTTTTGCGTAACGTAACCCTGGTCCCTGATTAATACACTAACAACCTTATCAGAACTAGGGTAAGTCTTTGTCTTTTTTTAATTACATGCTTTTTGGGCGCTTTGCACCCATCTTCTATTTCAACTTTTAATTGCGGCTGTGAGCATCTTCTCTTTTTGTCATTTTGAGCATCCATAAACCTTCCTTGGGGTCATTTGAGGTCCCACACAAAATTTAAGACCGATCGGTTCAGCCGGCCGTTTTGACGTTTATTGGATACAAACATACAAACACCCAGACAAGCAAAGTATTTATAGATATTTGTGAATGTTTACTGTGAAAACTTTGTAAGTTGTAACAAATATTATTTGAGAATGAGTTCCATGCAGTGTATGTTTTCGTTTCCTTTTAGTTTTACATTTAATACAGGGTTACCCACAGAGGTTGAGACTTCAGAGACGACTGTACGAAATTTTTCTTCCTTCTTTTACAGTTATGGTTATCTGCAGCTTTCCAATCTTTACTTTCTTAGACATTTCATCATTTCATTTAACATACCTGTAAAAGACTATACAAGACCAAATTCATTTATTGTGTCTTCATACTTAAAGAGTTTTAGGTCTGCAATAAAGTTTTATCCTTTGTAGGTAACCCTGTAAATGAAACTCATACTCTATCAATTAAAGCCTGGTTGGACTTATATACAATTATGTTCTCCATTGTGCATTTATATAATCTTCTTTGATTTATACACTGTTTACTTATGAATGTCTGGTAATCAAGATCGGGATTATAGATACTACTTTTACATTATATTAAACACTTGTCCTGTGAAATGAATGACAAAGAGGAATATATACCTGGATACAGACTGTTTCTGCTTCCTCCTTACTCCGGAGTTTAATAGCTTCAGCTCTGCTCTTGAAGGACTTATGTCGAGATATATCAGCTCTAGGAATAGACAAGGTTTCAGAAAATGGAATTAGTCAAAGTTTGGGATTTTTTTACCTTTTACATTTCTCATCATTTAACCGTCTCCACTCCTCCTGCGAGATAGCAACAGTCTTGTTGTTTCTAGAGATAGATCTTTTCAAAATAATCTGTTTTACTAATTAAGGCATAGTTAAACATTTTTGTATTTTCATTATTCCATACACTAATTTTTTCAAGATTTTATTTTGTATGAAACGATAATCTTCCATGCCTGAACTTACCATCCACAATATCATTTTTTGCTTTAAAGCAATTAAGTGCTTTATCCGTGAACAACAGCCCACCTGCTTTATAGCTATTTGTTACTATACAAAAACACATTTTTTTGCCTCTATTTGGTCGGAAAATATAGATATTTAAATAGATTTTTTATTTCACACGGATTTTGATTTTCTAAATAAATTAACAAAACGCACAAACTTGTAAACATCACTTTGTTTACAATCTAATCTGAACCTGCGAGCAGATCGTCTTCCAGCACTCCAGGCTGGAACTGCTGTACTTCTCCTAGTTCCTGTTGGAGTAGAACATCTTCCTTCCTTACTCTGCTTTTCCTCTATTATCAATCCTTCTTCTGATCCGTTGGGTTCAACCCTAACAAGATCTTTATTATTGTTTGTTTTCACGAATTTTTGTGCTAAGAGTATAATTCCAAATCTTCGTAATAAAAATCCTAAATTTGAACGTTACAAACCGATCATGTGTTAAGGGACGAACAAAGGAGTTGAGTCTTTGCCACAAACTCAAATTTTCTTATTCCTATATATTTGCAGCCCAGCGTCGTAGACCTTAGATATTTCAAAATAAGAATTCTACAATAAAAAATAATCTAATCAGGTTACAAAGATAAAAGTATTAGAAAATTATAGTTTTTGGTAAAGAAGTAGTTTCTTTATTTAAAAATTCTAAAAATCATAAAATTTAATTTGACCATCCTTTAATACATTTTTTTATACAAATATAGTTCACATTGCATACAAAAAAAGTGATGTCTATTTTATGACCTTTATCTCCCTTTTTCATTTAATATAACTAGAAATTCAAGGCGCTTCGCGCCCTTCTTTCTAGCCGTAGAGGGCGCTTCGCGCCCATCTTCTAAATTAGTTGTGAACATGTTCTCTTTGTGTACATCGTAAAACAAAACAAAAATAATTCGCGGATTTTTACAAAAATTTCGTGGTTTTTCAAAATTTTTAAAAATTTAATGACGATCGAATTTTGATAGAGACAAATATTTGAAATTTTATTTTTTCATAAACCTTCCCTGGGGTCCCTAGATGTCCCACAAAAAAATTGGGCCCAATCGGTTCAGCCGTTTTGACGTTTATTGGATACAAACAAACAAACAAACAAACAGACAAACAGACAGACAGACAAGCCAAATTTATATATAGATTAGATGGGGATTGATTAAAAGTAAATTTGTAGATTTCCTAGTTTCCCTGGTGTTGTTGATTCTTTATTTTTCTCAAATTTCTAAATCTACGAAACAAACATTTAAGAAGACATTCTTAACTCATCATCGTTTAAAACCCACTTTTGGACCATCAAATACAGTTAATATCCAACCCTGGATCCTGGTTTGGTTCATCTGTTCTCCTGTATCCTAGTCTAGGTACAGAGCCTAGGTTTGGTCCATGAACCTGTCCTCCCATTTTCATCTGTCAGTTGGAAACCAGCTCTCTTAAATCTGAAATGGTTTCCCAGTGGTTAAATATCTTTTTTTCAAACAATTGGGTAAAAAAAAGTTTTGTGGTTTGATAGTTTTCATTAAATAATAAGCTCTCATTAAGATTTTCGAACTAAAAGTTTTTACAAAGTTTAATTAAAAAATTCTCATAATTCCTGGTTATCAGGTCTAAACTCCCCGGTACACTGATATTCCTGGTTATCAGGTCTAAACTCCCTGGTACACTGATATTACTGGTTATCAGGTCTAAACTTCCTGGTACACTGATATTACTTGTTCCCTGCAGTATTCCCCTGTACCCTGATATTCAAACCTTCCCCTCAACAATTGATCAATCCAGGCAATACGACCTGGGAAACCATTACAAGCATAGATATAGGGATACAGGGATACAGAGATACAGAGATTTAGAGATACAGGGATACAGGGATACAAGAATACAGAGATACAGAGATACGGAGATATAGAGATACACATATACACAGATACATAGATACAGGGATACAGAGATATTGATATACAGAGATACAGAGAAACAGAGATACACAGATGCAGAGATACACAGATACAGGGATACAAGAAAAAAGAGATACGGAGATACAGAGATACACATATACATTATACACAGATACACAGATACAGGGATACAGAGATACAGAGATATAGATATACAGGGATACAGAGATATTGAGAAACAGAGATACAGGGATACAGAGATATGGGGATACAGGGATACAGGGACACAGAGATACCGGAATACAGAGATACAGAGATACTAGATATACAGAGGTACAGGAATATAAAGATACACAGATACAGGGATATAAAGATACAGAGAAGCAGGGATATAGAGATACAACGTTATATTGACACAGAGATACAGGGATACAGACAACCAGGGAGATAAGTATCCAAGATACCAGGAAACATAAATACATGGATAGAAGGATACAGGATACAGGGATAAAGGAATACAGGAATTCAAAAATATAGGGATATTTCACCAACTATAGGTATTATTTTGGAGATGTTTGCCCAGAACAAACAAATTATGTTTGATTGATAATGAAGAAAATATTTCTACAAGTCTCCAAAGTTTTTCTATAAAATAATCATCATTATATTTCTTTATCAAAACTTTTAATAAATCCCGTTTCAGGTTTTTTTTTAGTTTAGTGAGAAAGTTAAAAATTAATAAAAAGAGTTGGAGAATTTTTTTCATAGTTTAACTTACATTGAATAATTAAAGTATTTAGATATAGATCGAACCAATCCTTTACTTGAATACAATATTAAATCACGTTTTGTTATTTTTAAAATAAGTCATCATATAAAATAGTCATAAAGATCAAAATAAATGAAATTATAGGGCATATAGATAGTCGTATTCTTAGTTTTAAGTTTTTAACTGGACAGCCATGGTTAACTAAACAATGGTGACAACCGCAATCTTAAAAATATTGTTAGGTTTTCTGCAATCTGCATTATATATTAACCTCCCAAAAAAGGTTTACAAGTATTAGGAATCATTAGGAAATAAGACATGTTCAATAGTGTCTGAAGTCTCAACCAGGTTTATAAATAACTCTGACAGTTCCATAGTATACAAGTACCTTCTTGTCTCCAGCACTATTTAGTGTTTCGAGAGGATTGAAGAGCTGGTTCCTACCAGGCCTAGATATTCAGTGTTTAGAGAGGATTGAAGAGCTGGTTCCTACCAGGCCTAGATATTCCCTGAAACTAACTTCTCTAGTTTCCCCTTCCTAGCTTAAACAATAACCAAGAAGAAGATGGGCGGAGAACTAGAAGTAGGGGTGGAGATCCAGAAGTAGGGGGGTAGTACTAGAAGTAGGGGCGGAGATCTAGAAGTAGGGGCGGAGATCTAGAAGTAGGGGCGGAGATCCAGAAGTAGGGGGGTAGTACAAGAGGCTGTGGCAGAAAAGTGGGTGGGGTACATATATATGGTCCAAATGCGAAGTACTAATGTGAGCTCTTGAGCATGTAAAGCATACCAATACGGATGACCTCCTCTTTATAAACCAAAAAACTCGTTGATTCCTTTAGTTTAACTTTTAAACCTTAAGCTAGAAATAGTATAAGCATTCGTTATAGCAATTCTTAAAAATAACATTTTCTCTTCAGGCGCTCTCTCTACAGAAAGATATCAGAATTTGAATACTAGAGTTTGTGTTGAGTGTTCAGTTCCTTTATTGACCTGGCTGAATGATCCAAAAAGTACAGTGAGACCCATAAAACTGTGGAATAGGAAGACAACCTTCAGATTTAACTTGTGATTTCAAAAAGTCCAATGAACATGAAACACCGCAATTGTGAAGTGTAGACTTGAATTTCAAGCTATTGGTAAAACTATTTTCTTAATATTAACATTAAGTTCACATAAGATTGATCAAATGTCGTCTTTCTATTCCAGACATTTACGGGTCTCACTGTATGACCAACTCGATGATAAGTTAAAGTCCCGGCTCGAATTGAGTAATTTTGTTTTGACAGAAGTCTCCAAGTCATTTTAATGTTGTGTTGAAGTTATAAAATATGACGGAAAACTGGGAATTTCCGTGAAAACTCTTAAAATGTGTATTCTATAAACAATTCAGAGTCCAAACCAATACTTGGGCGGGCTTGTGGCACCCCTACATCTTTGATTAATGATTGTTATAATTTATTTTTATATCTAGATTATCTTGAATCCGTTTTAATTTTGTGTAAAAAAGCTATAAAGTATATGTTTCTTTTCCCCATGAATTAGTTGGCTTTCACAAAGACGACATTCCAAATATATTGTTGATTTACAGGATCCATTCGAGAATTAATATATGAACGGGAAAAGTAATTAAAAATTTAAATCATTATAAATCAATGCATACTACAATTTATAAAATGTTTGTAAATGAAAAAATTATCAGAATATATTCATTTTGTCTATTCTCACCATGAAACACAATACAAATTCATTGGGACAAAAACCAGTCCCCCCCCCCTGAAATACCCCACTGTGCGCCTCCTTCTCTTTAAAAAATTATCTTTCGATAGAATATCAAGATTTTCTTTTAAATTCATCATTTATATCTTTTCATCTATTTAGAAAATTAAAGCCTAACATTTTTTAACACTTTTCAATAAAGATGACGATAAATTTAATTGACAAACTTTCCTTCAATACACCTGTAAGGTGATCAATACTTTGCAAAAAAAATATTCAGATATTATTTTTATAATTTAACATATTACAATATTACAATAAGCATCGAATATATTATATTTAGAACGAATAGCACTGATATTCACGGCAGTCTATAACAGCATTTCTTGCCATTTTCAGGGTTTTATAATTTATATAGACCGTGGAACTGAAGAAAATATCACTTGTTAGGTAGCATTTCAAACATTAAATCCTTAGTATTTTGAGATAGTTTGTCAGGGAACTGTATATCAAAGGAAACCAGAATATCTCCGCGTTTATTTGGTTCCTTAGGATATGGTAATCCGTATCCTGGAATCCGTTTCAGGGTATTAGGTTTAATAATCTCATTAACCAGGTTTATAGGAATCTTCTCAGCAGTTAGGGTTGGTATATCCACCAGTACTCCGCATAGAGCCTGATAATAGAAATGTAGGTTAATATTTAGGCTTTTGATTTACACTAGATTCATTCTTAAATATATTTTAAAGCAGGGGCATATATAGGATTCTTCCCAGGGGGGGGGGCTGAGCCCACATACCCCCTCCTATGTACGCCTCTGATTCAAAGTAAAAAAATTTAAAACACCTTTAAAATTCTAATTTCAATATGTAAGTAAATGGAAATGGTTTAAACTCCTAATTAACGCGATGTACAATTTTTTGATTAAAAATAAGATTACATTAGGCTTTTCCAACAATTGTCTTTGTTTTTGTATCGGATGTCTAAATGTATTTACACCCATTTATGTTAATTTGTGATGTGAGAAATAAATGTTTGATAATAATAATAAATGTTTTATAATAATAATAAACGTTTAATATTTTATTAATTTTCCACTAACCTCTCTGAGCGTAACTTTACAGGTATGTTTAAGGTCTGATCCTTCCCGTTTAAAATGAGGATGAGGTTTATCTCTGATAATAAAAACTATATCAGCAGGGATCTTATTAGGAGCTTGATCCCCTTCCCGCTGAAAGGTGATTTTAGTTCCTGATTTCCAACCAGGTTTCACGTTGATGGTTAGAACCTTCTCCTCCTTCCTTGCAGTTCCATCATTAGCAACCACTCGTCTTGATATCTTCATTCTCTTCGTTACACCCTGGAACATTATTAGTTTAATTAATGCATTCTCTTCGTTACACCCAGGAATATAAATAATATAATTATTGCGTTCTCTTCGTTACAACCTGGAACATTATTATTGTTATTGCATTCTCTTCGTTACAACCAGGAATATAAATAATATAATTATTGCGTTCTCTTCGTTACAACCTGGAACATTATTATTGTTATTGCATTCTCTTCATTACAACCTGGAACATTATTATTGTTATTGCATTCTCTTCGTTACAACCTGGAACATTATTATTGTTATTGCATTCTCTTCATTACAACCTGGAACATTATTATTGTTATTGCATTCTCTTCGTTACAACCTGGAACATAAATAGTATAATTATTGCATTCTCTTCGTTACACCCTGGAACATAAATAGTATAATTATTGCATTCTCTTCATTAACAATTATTACAACTATGAATAAATTTCTGTTTGTTTGTTGTTTGTATCTATTTTATCAAGATATTCTTCTATATTTAATGATCGATATCTATAACATTTAACATCTGTGTTTCTTAAAGGGAGTGACCGGCAATGTATGGTATTTGAACTGGTAATGTAGAATTGTACAGTCATTTTTTAGGATTCATTTGAGACCTATCAGACCATTTAAAAGTGCACATTTGTTCAGCAAGAGAGCAAATTCAATCTTTAAAATCCTCATGATTTAAAATCCTGGAGGGATGATTTTGAGAATCGGTTCTTAATATTATTCAATGACAACCACAAAAAAAGGAAACCAAAATTTGACAGTAAACTAATAAGTTGTTCTGACACAGATTGAAAAAATAAAAATTAACTCGTATCATAGAAAATAACTAATCTTATTCAGTTATTAGTTTCTGTAATGTCTCTTTGTTCACAAACATTTTCTGTAGATTTCCTGCAATTTTTATTGGAAAGACGACATTTGAAGAATTTGAAAATATCTGCAAACAAATTTGTAAAGAATAAGAAAAATTCAATAGAATGTGAAAAGGAAATATTTGATTCTAACATTGATTTATTGACAAACTTCTATTGAGAAAAATGTTCCTAAACATACAATTAGTTTACTTTAGAATTTTTTTATTTTTTTGACGTTGTTATTGAATAATTTTTAAAAAACCGATTCTCAAAATCATCTCTCCAGATTCCAGAATGAACAATGAAGGAGGATTTTAAAAATTAAATTTGCACTCTTGCTGAACATATATGCACAGTGAACACGTCTGATAGGTTTCAAATGAATCCTAATTTTTTTTTTTTACAAAACTGCATTCTCAGTTCAACTACCATACATTGCCGGTCACTCACTTTAAAAGAAAAGTTTTTGATAAACAAAATAAGACAAAGGAATTAAGTTTTTGCCACAAACTCCCAAATCTTTGCTACCAAATGTCGTCGGCCTTAGATATTTCAAACTATGAAGTCTGTTTAATCAAATAATCTAAGTTTAAAATCATGGATATATAATAATCATGGATATATAATAGATGGATATATCATAGTCAAGGTTTGATGTAATTTTTTCGCTGTTTAAAATATCACAAGGGTTAAACTATCAGGTTGCAAAGATGTTTTTTACTTTATGCATTAATATACAATAGTGTAACTTTATCAGATTTCCTTAATGTATATAGCTTAAATGTGTTTCAATGATCTGAAATATATTTAAGTAAATCCTTAATACGGGGGTTCAACGTTTCTTAAAAGCGTAATATGAAGTCTAACTTTTTTATTTTTATGAGAATATTATTTTCTTCATGATTTGATATTTCTGAACAATCAAAATTGACCCTATAATCAAACTGTTCAGTGTTTCTACTGGAAACGTTGATTTATTTCAAAAATCGCTACCATTCCCTTTAATAAACCTGTAAGGTTATTGCTCAAATTTGATTACACTTCTCTACTTTCTCAGACCAGATTAAAGAATATTTGAATATTGTCACTAAACCTTCATGTTTATTTAAACATCAGCTGTAATATTTGTAATGTTTACCTTGCATATATCATCTAAAGAAACATATAGATCGTGTTCTACAGGAGGATCCTGTTGTTTATCCTTCCTACCACCACCCCCACCAGATCCAACGTTAAAGGACTGAGATCTAAAAGGAGTTCTCCCGTGTCCGAACCCTCCTCCTAACCCGGAGCCTAAGCCTCCTATCCCAGCGAACGGATCATCTTTATCTACTCCGTCTAGGTTGTCGTTGAAAAATCCCTGAAAAAAAAACACAGACATTAAACATACATTGTCAAAATGTACTGATGATAATAGATACTGTTATTTTTCTACTCCCTCCCCCGCCCCTACCAACCAAGCCCAAATTGACTCACTCCCACCTGTAAAACTAGCATCAATATCTGACGCATATTAAACCTTTTCTAACTCAGTAACTCACCCACACAAATACACCTCTATATACAACATAAACAGAACAAGTTTCATTGTGGATTGTAAAACTATACAAATCTTTTTTATAGTAGATAGTTGGATAAAAGAATAGGGAAGAATAGAAAGATAGTAATAAAGTAGAATGGAAGATTAACAAGAAAGTAGAGTTGTTACTTGTTGCCCAGAATAAAAGTATGTAGGATTACTTTGACAAAGAATATTTTAATAAGCAACATTTCCCATTTATGTTATGTTAGTCTATAACTGTTATAAAATAAATGAGAATATTATACCGCTTGTGTGGGTCCTCCCATCCCCGGCATATTGAAGAAGTTCTCGAATGGATTAGAGGATCCGAAGAATTGAGCAAAGGTTGCTTTAGGATCTCCATGGAAGGTATAATTAAAGTTAGATGATAGGTTGACATGTGATTATCTAGACTCAGGACTAGGCATGCAATATTTAGGTCTACTCATAGAAAACATTTTCATTTAGTTTATTTGCATTTACAAGTGGGTATATATATATACAGGGTGAGTCAAAAAAAGTGTGATTTGTGGCGCCTAGTGCAAAATTGTACCTTTTTTTGTGAAACTCTCCTGAATGGTGTTTTTTCAATATTTTTTGAAAATTTGTATTTTTTTTGGTACTCCAAAAGTCCCCCCAAAAAAATTCCGTGAACTTTTTTTGCTCTCAAAATTAAAAGTTTTAGAAAAACAAAAATGTGTAAATAAATTATTTCTATCGAAATCTAAAATTTTAAAAAGATTGGATCACAGAATCGCAGAAAATTTGCAAAATTGTAATAAGAAAATTCGGTTCCGGTCTAATTTTTACGAAAAAATTGTTTTTCAATGGTTTTTAAGGTTTCAACTGAACAGTGTATATTAAATACTTTAGAATATACTACGAAGAAAGGAACTTGAGAATTTAAAGAACTTTTCCTTAAAAATTAGACCAGAACTAAAAATTGCGAATTTTCTTATTACAATTTTGCCAATTTTTTGTGATTCCGTGATTCAATCTTTTTAAAATTTTAGATTTCGATAGAAATAATTTATATACACATTTTTGCTTTTCTGAACTTTTGATTTTGAGAGAAAAAAGGTTCGTGGATTTTTTTTGGGGCGATTGGAGTACCAAAAAAGTTACAAATTTTCAAAAAATATTGAAAAAACACCATACAGGACAGTTGCACAAAAAAGGTACAATTTTGCACCAGGAGCCGCAAATCACACTTTTTTTTTACTCACCCTGTATATAACTAAATTTTTATGTAAAAGTGTCTTAAACATTAAGAAAGAGCAGTTTTTAGGAAGAATGCACAATTGCACATAAATTAAGGATCTGAGGATTATTTTAAAAGAAGCAATATGCAATTTGGATAATCATTTGCACGCAAAATCTATCTTACTGTCATATATATTCACATTTTTATCCAACACCCTTTATTTCCCACTTTTTATCCTCTGCCTTCTATTTTCTACTTTTAAACTTTTTTCATTCTACGCTTCCCCTTTTATTTTACGCGTTGCCATTTATTCTAAGCTTTCCCTTTTCATTTTTTTCATCCTACTCCTTTAATTTCCCCCTTATATCCTACTCCTATAATTTCCCCCTTATATCCTACTCCTTTAATTTCCCCCTTATATCCTACTCCTTTAATTTCCCCCTTATATCCTACTCCTGTAATTTCCCCTTATATCCTACTCCTTTTAGATCCCACTCATTTCAATCTTAATATGTCCATGTTCCCCCTTATATCCTTCATAAATACATAGATACAAAACTGTCTTTTACATTTTCCCAACTAGACCACAAATATTTTCTTTTACATGCATAGAATCTTGAAGCTTTAGATGTTTTAATTATTTTGTTTTCTGTTTTGAAATGATAAATAAATATGAGAGAAGGACGAGGGATATAAATGTCTCAACCTTCAGATATTCTCTAGGTCGGCTTATCAACACATAGATTTCATATTTAACATTTATTATACATTAGAGGGAGTCAAATATATATTACATATACAGAATCTAATATATTTAAATCAAACCAATTCTATTGGATCGTTGCATGAAGTTTGAATTTTACAAGATTCTATGAAATTGCAGGTTACAAGTATAATACTAGGAGACCGTATAATTTGTTATAGTTTATCGGTAGGATGACTTTTTTAAACAGAGGGGAAACTAAACTTTGGGAAGATGGAATGTTAAAATACTTTTTTAAAAACTTCTATCTTGTAATAGTAAAATCATATTTTGCCTTGTTATGGTGAAATATTTTTTGATCCTGTGTTGGAGATCTTACGTCAAGGCAAGGTTATAATGCAAGGAAAGTTATTTCATAGGTGTGCGCATCTTTTGTACTGCAGTGAACAGTCTCTGGGCGGTAATGTAAACACAAGACGGATGTCGAAGCCTGACATGGGATCCATCTTTCACATAAAAAAATCAATAAAATATTCTGGTCATAGGAAACTATTATGTGAATTATCAAAATTATCAAAATGTAATGCTTTTAACCTCTTCGGTTACTAAACGAACACTGATGCATCTATTCTTGTTTACAAATTCCGCCCAGAGAGAACTGGTTTCAATATGTACGCAGAGTATACGCAACTGTAATTAACTTTCCTTGCATTATAACCTTGCGTCAAGTTATCTCAAGGCACAGTTTAGAACAGATCTTATATATCTCAAGGTACAGTTTAGAACAGAGCTAATATATCTCAAGGTATAGTTTAGAACAGAGCTAATATATCTCAAGGTACAGTTTAGAACAGAGCTAATATATCTCAAGGTACAGTTTAGAACAGAGCTAATATATCTCAAGGTACAGTTTAGAACAGAGCTAATACTCAAGGTATAGTTTAGAACAGAGCTAATATATCTCAAGGTACAGTTTAGAACAGAGCTAATACATCTCAAGGTATAGAATAAAGTGGTCGAATCTTTTTGACATATCTCATTTCAATTATATTACCTTCAATAGTTAAAATTTTAATGCATGGATAATAACTGAATTTTCCTTTCTATTCTATTATTCCAAATATGTCATGCACAATACACATTCATTCATTCATTCATTGCATTCCGAGTCATACTATAGGTATTTCATTTTCACTGCAACGTAATAAATCATTTTCTATTTTAGAAATATTATTGACAAGTATTTTTTGAGTTTAAATAAAGGAATTGAGTCTTTGCCACAAACTCTGATTTTCTAATCACTATAGCTTTGCAACCCAATGTTGTAGACCTAAGATATTTCAAACAATGAATTCTAAAAGATCAAATAATCTAAGTTTGAAATATCACATGTTTTCACCATCAGGTTTCAATGATATAGGGATTAGAAAATTTGAGTTTGTGACAAAGACTCAATTCCTTTAAAGTCACACTTGATTAAACGAATCAAGTAAATTAAAAATGTTACACTAGTCCCCCCAGGATGAAAAAGGATAGGATGACGTATCCTTCAGATTAGCTATTTAGACATAAGAGGTTGGTTTCTAGCAAGTATTTGACGATTTAAAAAATACCATTGCGCACTTCAAATTGTTTTAATATTTCTATGACAATTAATTGAACACATACGTACTTTTTAAACCGAACCAATATTGGGCGAAACATACAGAAGCGTTGAAAAGCTGACAACTTTAGAATCAGGATATCAAGTGCGGGATTTAGGGTTGTATAAAAAAGCAAAGACTCCGTAAGTTTGAAGAACGACTCAGCTGTTACCTGTTAATCCCTCTTCTCCGTACTGATCGTAAATATCTCGTTTCTTTTTATCCGCCAAAACCTGAACATTTTAACTTCAGAAATATTTTCAAGGGACCATCAAGAGTAGCCTGATTCAGGTCAGCCTTAAAACCCTTTGTCTCATCAAGAATGAATGAGATATCAATGATTTCTCTGGTTATTTAAAATTTTCATTTTCCTATGAAAAGTGACTTGCGGATTTCTTGCAACAAAGGCAACAGAGGAAGTTGTAAGAATTTAACCCCTTTCAAGAAAAGAAAACAACGATATCTTCCACATCATTGATCAGTAAAATTATAAATGAAAGACCCTTTAAACAATTTAATCCTAGTTTTACTCTATTTTATAAAAAGATGTTTTCCCGTCTTGAATATACAGCAGGTGTTATGTATGGGTGAAAGGAAAGGAAGTATTGAAAAAGAAATATATTTTGTATCTATATATTATATACCTCATAAGCCTCAGCTATCTCTTTAAATTTTTCCTCTGCTCCAGGCGACTTATTCTAAATAATATCTAGTAAACCTTCTATTGATGAAATATTTTGATAAAAATAAAAGTTGTGTAAATATATTAATAAAGTGCAGGAAACTAAGTGCAAAGCTTCATATCATAAATATCCTTATCAGTTTTAAATATATCTAGCAATTTTATAATTACTCACTTTATAAAAGATAAAAACAAGTTTAACTCAACATAGAAGGATATAAAGATAGAAGGATATTAGGATAGAAGGATAGAAGGATAGAAGGATAGAAGGATAGAAGGATAGAAGGATAGAAGGATAGAAGGATAGAAGGATAGAAGGTTAGAAGGAAAGAAAGTCACAAGGATAGAAAGATACAAGGACAGAAAGATACAGGGATAGAAGGATGAAAGGTATAAGGATACAAGGATACGAGGATACAAGGATACAAGGATACAAGGATACAAGGATACAAGGATACACGTATGTAAGGATACAAGGATACAAGAATAGAAGGATACAAAGATAGAAGAATGCAAGGATAAAAGGATACAAGGATGTAAGGATAGAAGAATATGAAGGATAGAGTAATAAAAGAATATAAGAATAATAGATTAGAGGAATATAAAGGAAAGTAGGATACAAGGGTATACAAGATAAATGATAATACGAGGAATGGATAAATTATAGAAGAATAGATCAAGGTGAAAGAAAAAAAGATTTCACATTATAGACTAGTAAAAGAAATTTTTTCACTTTTCAAATAACCTTTAAAAAATTTTTATTTTTGCCCGCTAAGTATGTTTTTGTGGTTGGGTAGAAAATAATATTTTTCATGAACAACTGATGGGAACAATTTTACAACTGTGTTTTATCATCAACCACGGTTTAGATTAACAAGACATCAGCTTGTAATCAATAATATTTAAACGACTAACCTTGTCTGGATGGTATTTAAGCGCCATCTTCCGATAAGCTTTCTTAACTTCATCCTCAGAAGCGGACTTCTGGATTCCCAGCACCTTGTAATAATCCTTTCCCATCCTACAAACATGAAACAAATATAAAAAAAATCTTTAAGAATAGTTTGAAGAAAATGTTTCTAAAAATAGTTTGACCTTTTTATGATTCAGACACTTTGAAAATATCGCAGATTTATGTGATAGGTTTCGTAGATTTGCTGTATTTTAAAGTTTCCTAGTTCCTAGGAACCCTTTGCCTTACAACGTCCAGATTGTAATTCAAGTTCACGATTAGCATGAATATTTATATAATTGACAAGCTAAAGTGCACGGCGATGCCCGTGAAATTTTAAAAGTTCCCATGGATTCCCTCAAAAATATTTTAGAAAATTTTGTCCAGTTTATTATCAGTTTATTATCAGTTTATTTTCAGTTTAATATCAGTTATTTATAAGATCATGCATATTACATATACTTGCAAAGAATACATTGTCTACTGTCCACTGTCTGCTGTCTGTTATCTATTGTCTGATTTCCTTTGTCTGCTGTCAACTTTCCACTGTCAACTGTCCCTTGTCTACATTCCAGTGTCCAGTGTACAGTGTCCAGTGTCCAGTGTCCAGTGTCCACTGTATAATGTCAAGTGTCCACTGTCCAGTGTCCACTGTCCATTGTCCACTG